TGGTAACTGCTAACGGAGCTTGCTGCTTCTGCACGTCTCACAAACCCACGCTCCAACACAGTCATTTCCTCTCCCGGCTAGCTAGCTAGCCGCAGACGGAAAGAAAGGAGTTACAGAATGCCAATAAACACAAAGGAAACGGTTAGGATGTGGCAAACATGCGCGAATGTAGCGAGGAGGCGCTCGTTTTGACAGCTAATCACTTACCTGGCTGTCTTCTCATTGGCAGAGATCTGCCTTCTTCGTGAAAACTAAGAACAGTCTGTCGAGGACACCTTGTACAGGTATACGCCTTGCAGCGAATGAATTCTCGAGGACAGTCTTCGCCGAATATCTTCGAAGTAATTCGTTGTTCTTCAGCTCTTCACAACACAGCTAGCTTGCAAGATAGCTGGCGAAAATATACCGGGGTAATACCACATGGGGCAGTAAACTACCTGAAGCACAGAATGAAGTGAGTTTGTGAGATGTGTAGCAAAATATTTCCGAAGCAACGCGGTCTTCTTGCAACTGTGTGAATCATGGTGAATGGGGATGTGCGAAGGCGCTGATAGAACTGTAGTTTGGTGTTATAGACCGGGCGAGGGTGTTGAACGCCTTTTCGCGCCACGCCACACTTGTCAGTGTGACTTTCGAGCCTTTCTTGTTTTGTTTTGTTGGAGAACAGCACCGTACTACTAGACTGTGTAGATCTACGTGTAGAAACTTGAAAGGCGGCGTTAGCGACGAGCCGCCGGCAAAGAGATGTGATTATGTTCTGTACGGACTCTGGAGTGAGTGGCGAATGGCGGGTGCCCAGCTTCCCCTGCCTCTCCTATCTATCCTGCCTCTCCTATCTATCCTGCCTCTCCTACCCTATCCTCATACTGAGTTATAGTCATCTAGTTGCGAGATGATGCGGGCGATGGTTCCAGTCTCACATGCACTTGTCTTTGTGGTGTGGCGCGAAAAGCACACCCGACACCTCTGGTGTCAAGCTAGCGCCTTCGTGGTTCACACAGTTGCAAGAAGACCGCGTTGCTTCGGAAATATTCCATTACACATCTCTCAAACTTACTTCATTCAAGTACAAGTGACTCCCCGCGTTACATGTAGTCACCTGTAGGCTGTACAGTCTTGTACTCGTTCTGTAAGAGGGTTAGCGGTATGTACTTGTACACAATAGTGGGATTCCCAGATTGTGTAGAGTGCTCAACACCGCTAGGATGGAGCAATACCTCGGCACAACGGCAGAAGGGAACGGTGACAATCGGTTAAATTATAGTTTTTTTTAGGGCAATCCTCAGACAACTGATAATCTGATCATCTTCTGCCGGGTTACACACTTTCAGTTTCATCCAGGAAAGTAGTAGAGGACAACGTTACACTTTACTAGGCCTGGGCAGATAATGCTAGCATTATAACACAACATTTCCCACATGGCACGTGGTGCGAGAAAGCCACTTGCCCTATCGATATACATGTATCATTATAATTATATCACCAAGAGTAACCTGTGCACTCTTCCTAATCCTATCACTGCTTCTCACTGCTTCTCAGTGCCCCAGTATAATTATGGATTAGACAGAAGGATGTCCACAACAGCAGCAGCAGCAGCAGCAGCAATAACAACATACATGTAGATGGCATTTCATACGTATAGTCACATCACTGGACAAGGCAGAATGTAGCACTCTTTCACAATCAATATTCACGTGACAATTACAGCCATGTGCAGTACATGTATGGCCAAATAATAACTAACGTCACTTCGACTCACTAACTTGGCCTGGCCATGCAGATCACAACCACAATCAAAGTGACGTCAAGTTCGAAGTTCACCCGGTTGACTTGGCTGGTGGAAAAGCTGGAAACGGTCAGTGTGGTAGATTTACACCTGGTTGTAGTGTACCTCTTCTTTCATATCCATCCTTCCTAGCCTGGCCGACAACCTACCCGTTGACGTTCAGTCTTCACAACCTACCCGTTGACGTTCAGTCTTCACGTAACGTTAAATCTGTCTGTTACAAGGCGGCACACTGCTCGATCAAGGACGTATCTCACATCTCTGTTTCCTCGCAGTTCGGAGACTTGAATGTAGAGCACATCGTGGAGAGACGTTAGTTCGGCGGTGGTCATCTAGTACTGCAGCACCTAGTATAGTAATGTAGTCCTTGGCCTGCACAATTCATTACCACAACAAGGTACGTTCATGTTGTTACTGAATTTGACTGAATGCGATCAGCGTTGTGTGACCGCCTGTGTACCATGGTGTACGTAAGATCATCATTCAGATGGTCGGCTGTTCGACGGCAACGGATCTAGGCTACACGGCCACTCTATGATCTATCACTGTCAGTGGAACTGCTGACGTGTGGATCTAGCTTGAGCATAGTCGACATCGACATAGCATTGTGGTGAGAAACATCATGCCGCCAGGCAGACCTACAGCTACAGTCAGACGGCTTCACAGCCGGCCTTCAGTGTGCCTTCACACTATACTATTAGGCACTTCAGTCACGTGACACGACCTGTCAAAAAGTGCTAACGCTGAATCGCGTACATGCGTGGCACCACGGAAAGGCGCATGCATAGATCCAGCTGTAGCTGCACGGAAGCTGCGCAGGGCCTTCTCGTGTGGCGCAGCGTGTAGCTGAGGCCCTCAGCTTTCGTTTGAGCCCACATACGTCATGATGCGGCAATTTTTTGAACTCACGTACAGTTCGAGTAAAATCGGCAAGGATTTTTCGGGCATTTCACTTGATTGCACGCATTTGCCATGTAGCTCATCGTCTTCAGCGTCGTATTTCCTTTCGGAATCAGTTGTCCTCGTTTGTCCAACACTTTGCGCATTGCTGCGCAAGAAGAAATAATGCGAGGTGTTATTGAAAGCGAGCCGCGACAGGCGTCCTCCCGGCAGTAGTCCTTGTTCGTCGGAGCCCATGCGCATGGCTGCGCAAGAAGAAATATTGCCAGGTGTTATAATTATATTGGAGTCGCATCGGAGCAGTCGTCCTCTCCTGCAGGCGACGAGTAGGACAGTATATACTTCGGCGACTGGACCAAGAGAGCTGACATCAAAACGGCCTGCTTGGAACAAATCGTCAGCTGATCAGCAGGTGGCTTCCAGCGACCAAGAAAAGCATTGACGGTGATATTATACCAAGAATCCAGCACACACTCTATGCACAAAATCTCTCATGCTGGAGTTGCTGAAGTTTCAGTAGTCCCAAACATTTGCAAACGATGTTCTACATGTAATAGTTTGTCATTTCTTTCCGTCAAATACGCGGTAAAATTCTAGTTTGCTCAGTCTTCGGCTCATTGTTCTTCCGTACTCGTCACCACATCAGTACTGTACATGTAGCAACAATGTGTTCTGGCACTGAATTATTGTAGTTACTTTATCTTACCTCAAAGTCTCATCTTATGTTTTTCCAAAGGCTTCTCTGCACTGTTTTCATGCTGTTGCGATGGAGTTGCTATGGAGTTGCCATGGTGACCACACCCGATATCTTCGTCTGAGCTGCCGGACGGATGAAAAATGCGAAGTTTTTCCAAACCATGCTGTTTCTGCATTCATCTGGTTATTTTGACCTGCTTCCAGCGAGCCTGGTATTTTGCCACTATAGACACTGAAGCAAGTCCTACCAATTTCTGATATGCTGCTGGTGCCGTCGAAATACTGAAAATGCCGTTATTCAATTCTCCGACTTTGGATGGCTATATCTCTGTGCCAAGTTATTCTTTTTGCTTCAAATTTTCTGTGGAGTCTTCCTAGACCTATCTGAATCGGATACAAGAAAGAAATACGAGTATTTCTGGTTTTGAAAAAAACGCCTGAAGTGCCTAATACTATAGTCAGTGCCAGTGGCCTGATCGATCAAGCCATGTTCCCCACAGGGGGGGGGGGGGGGGGGGGCACAGCTGGGACCCCACGCGACCTGGTCATGAATCATGATGGTTGGAGGTACGAGTCGCACATGTCCTGCAGCCGTAAAGAGCGACCAGAATGTAACCTAACCGTTGGAGCGGGGCCACCGCCAACAGGAAACAGACCGTCGCCAAGGCAGGTGTATAAAGGGATCTAATCAAAGAGTCGCACAGACTGTCGATAACGCCTCGTACAATGTATTCCGACTTTTGAAGAGAATGCATACGCACATCAACTGTCTCCATAAGGAAATCCATAGCTGTCAACCGTTACCCTGTCAAAGGTTTCTATTTGGCGGTCATCTTCGCTTCATTTCAGTCAGACTCAGACAGTTTCACTGCTGCTCGGAGCAGGGCTCATACTCAGAGTCAAAATGAGTGCAGTGTGACAGAACACATACCTGATACCTAGCACATGTACTGCATAAAATACTCATCTCTAGCTCTGAGCAGTGGCTGAGTACGAGTGACTATATGAAGTAAGTTAGTATGATTGAATCACGATCATTTGATTCATTTCCATCTAAGTAATTAAATTAGTTACTTAGTACTTGAAGTGCAAGTCCGAAGAAGATCTGAAATCACGTGATACTGTTGTACTTAGTTGGATTGGGCCATGGGGTCGTTATGATAAGAGTCTCCTTGCTCAAAGCAAGAGGCTGCGCGCCAACAATGTGGGGATAATGCCACACCGAAGCCTAGTAGATCTACTAGTAGTAGTAGTGCCTGCTCTGTCTGAAGTCCTACGCGAGATTGACTGCAACTGAGTGAGTGTAGTTGCTCAAGGAAGATCCGAGTGCGATCTGACTCGCTGGGAATCGAAACACCAACTGCAAGTGCAAGCAAGCATCGAGGCATCGACACTGACTGTGAAAACCTGCACCCAAGCAGTAGGTCTACATGACTGTCATAATGCACTACAGTCATAATACTTAATAGAGGCAAGAGCCGTAGAGCTGTAGATTGATGGTTGCGTGGTCGGAAGTGCTTGACCGGCGACCGGTTTCACGAGGGGCAACCTCGAGAGGAGCGACTGGCTTGTATATTATTGGTCATAAAATCACCACGACCTAGACGAGCAGAAGCAGTAGTACGCTAGCTATCGAGCTGTGCGACTAGCACTTCCCTGCTGTTGGAATTTCCTGCCGCAATCACCCACTGTGCTTGGAGTTGCACTGTCTGGCACGGGACTTGCTGTACAATCGCTACCTCTCAGTTCCAGAAAGTGCTGTTTCATTTTGTTTGAAGCACGTGTGCTGGGAGGAAGTATTCTTTCCTGAGGCCCAGTGGGTAGGAGGCAATACACACCACAAAGAAATCCGAGAGAGCGAGTGCGGAGCCCTGGAGCGTGTAGACTGTAGGTACCCCGCGGACTCTTGTCTTGGTCACATTGCGGTGAGTCCGAGCTGGCTGGTATGGGACGGTAACGTTGTTCCAGTTTGGGGTCGGCTCACGCTCGTCCGGAGATCAGACAAATAAGCAGCAATTGGCTACGCGTATTTCTGTTACCAACTGACAGATTGAGATAACTTCAGAACATCGAGTGACCGAGTGATCATACGTGGATAACACGAACTAAAGCGAACGGTGGAATATAGTGAATGTGGAAATCATTGACAGGGAGTGGTGAAGGAGAAATCAAGACAATGTGACTGGAGCATGGAATTGGAAACTAGCAGTATCAACGTGTAGTTGCAGCATTGCTAGCCAATCAGTGATTGATCGTACGTACATGACTGTACACGGGCGGCTATCATCCTCTCAACAAATAGTTTCCCGTGGATTAGTGAAGATCTTACAGTTACAAGCTGAACAACCACCACAGTGAAGATTACCACTCTGTGGCAGTGAAGTGTGATGCCACCAGCCACCATGGGTATGCGGTTGCTGATTTGCAATGGCTGGATGGCTGTGACGTTTGCAGCAATCCTTCCCTCAGTGTTGCTGCTGCTGAATTGCCCACGTGTCATCATGGCCGTAAGTACGCTACACTAAACTACACTACACTGCACTGTAATGCTAGCTATCTGCTGGTACTCAAGATTCAGTTATTGTGGCTATGTTCCAAAGTGCCAAAGGCTATGTCCTAGATTCTCTCTTTTCTCAAGTAGATTGTCATCATAGATCATTATCTCCTCAGCAGAGGACTTTGAGATTTTGTCCCCAGTTCACCCCTTAATGCCACAGCCTGGTGAAATTGATGGAGACATGGGGTTGGCGCCAGGCACTCATAACAATAATAATTATTACTATGTGCGGTTCATCCACCGTCCGTAGAGGGCTCAATTTGCCGAAGGCAAAGAGCGGAATACACAGACAGAAGAACGAGCAGTTGCGGTTTCGTAACTCTGAGCAGGATCAGTACCAATTTTCGTCTCATGATCATTAAGTTCGTGAAACTCAAGTTACGAAACCGCAATTGCTCGTTCTTCTGTCTGTGTAATAATTATATCTATTATTATAATATTATATGAGCAAACCGCTGCGATAGCGGTGCTCATTTATATGTACTTCAAAGTACATGCAGGGGCGTAGCAGCCGCTCCGGCCGGTCCGGCGAAAGCCGGACCACTTTTTCACCCGGCCACGACCACCATAGTAAAACAATGCCAAAAGTGCCCAGAATGCAGGATTTTGCACCCTAATTTCAAAAAAATTACGGGGGCACATCCCCCTGGACCCCTCCCTCCCCCCGGCCGGATCACCGTCAACGGCGGTGCTACGCGCCTGACATGTATGATGCTGGGACTCCGGACTGCTTCCCTTATGGTCCTCCGGATTAGCAGTAGGGAATCAACATGTTGTTCACGACTCAAACTCAAGTTCTCAGGCACACAATGTCATGCACTGAGTGACTCCTGTGTACAGTGCAGAGTGTTATGGTTTGCGCTCAACCGGGGTTCTATCCAGGAGATATTTGTGGTGTGTGTGTGTGGGGGGGGGGGGACTGCGGCAGGTTGAATGGTGTAATCTCAGCACAAGTTGCTCCATGTATGTCTAACGCCATGATACTTCGAAGTAGTTGTTCGCTATCATCACTTCAGCGAGGGACATGTGTACGTGTGTGTGTGTCTATTTGTATGGCTGTCTATCTGGCTGTGTTTCTCTCTGTCTGTCTGTCTGTATATTTGTGTATGTATCATACTATGTGTGTGTGTGTGTACTTTCATGTGGACCTGGCTGTGACGATGGCATAACAGGAGGAGTCAGGCCGCATTGAGTTGCTTCTGGATTTCTACAGCAACCCGGGATTCGAACTGAGCGATGGCAGCAATTGCGATATCTGTGCTTTCGGATGTTCTTCTTGCGACACTTTCATGAGCTTCTGCCTGGATAGCATGGAAGCGGAGCACGCGGGCATGTGCACATTTGGACGCTTTGAAACACCGATCCTCGGAACGGACGCAACAATTGTGTTTGGCTTGTATGGAGAGCAGCTCACGCCAGAGACACCAGGGCTCACCAATCCGCTTACGTTCCTCTTTGATGGCAACTGGAAGGTTTGTACATGATGCCATGCGTAGATCAGTCCCCACCGTGTGTGTGTAATTTTAAACAACCGTGACGTCCAGCCTTGCACTAAACTATGTCTGTGCTCATACATGTTCATACACACATCCTGTCCTGCACTGTATGCAGAATGCTCGCTGGGAGCATCACTCCAGTCGCGGTGTGGTCACAGAGGCACATACTACCATGTACTTCTCGAAGTAGTAAAGTCCATAATTATGCCATGATTGTATGTACATGTATTTTTGTTAGTGTATGGCTGTTCATACCGTAGCTTGTGTGTATACATGGTTGTGTATGACTCCCGTTGATGTAGGGCGGCATCAGTGCAATTGTGGAAATTCTGGAATATGATGCGTTCTCGGCCAATGACCTCATCAATCGCGCCGATTTCTTTATCAGTGGTCCAGCCGGCCAGTCAAACCAGACAACAGGTATGTCTAACCACTGCAGCTGATCATGAATGAAGTGAATCAAGTTTGCGCCTGCGCCCTGTGCCAGTTCACATCCCGGCAATTTGCACTACGGTACATGGCAAATGTGTGACCTTTAGACACGACACGCCTTTTTCTGCCGGCATTATCCGCATATGCCTACCCCCCCCCCCCCCTCGGCCCTCCCCTTCCCAGGCCTGAGAGGGTAGTGTTGTGGTTTGCAATCAACAACCACTGATATACAATCTGTATTGTTTTACGCACGCGTCCTGTCAACCGCGTGCTTCCGACTGTGTTGTGGTTTGTTAGCTAAGTGAACGATCAATCTAGCGTACAATGAAAAAATGAGAAAGAAAGGTCCACAACGACAAGTGCGGTCATCAAGGCACTGTCTGCGGTATTTGCCATCCACGGAGTTCCGCAAACCGTTGTTTCAGACAACGGGCCACAGTTTGCGAGTGCGGAGTTCGAAGCGTTTGCTGCCAAAAGCAAGTTCACCCACCGCACCAGCAGTCCCCGCTTTCCCCAAAGCAACGGTGAAGCAGAGCGGGCGGTCAGAACTGTAAAGCGCCTCCTCGAGTCCCACCAGCATCCAGACGAAGCCTTGCTGGCATACCGCTCTACACCTCTCGCAAACGGTTTCTCTCCAGCAGAGCTACTCTTTGGACGCCGTCTGCGAACGAACCTCCCAGTATCCGACACGGCACTCACCCCGAGCTGGCCCGATCTCCCAGCACTTCAGCAGTGGGAGGCCAAGAGTAAAGAGCAACAGTGTGCAACATTCAATGCCGCTCACCGTACGCAAGAGCTCCCGGTCCTACAGCAAGGGACATCTGTCTGGGTGTCCGACCTCAAGGCTGAGGCGGTAGTAGCTGATCGCCTGTCTGATCGGTCGTACATTGTCGTCACGGCTGACCTGTCGCGCTACCGCAGGAATCGCCGCCACCTGGCCGTGCTGCCCAGCTCAACGCCGCGCCAAACTCCTCAGCCGGAGGAATGTGTACCTGAGCCGAGGATGGTCGAAGTTGAGCGGAACAACCAGGGCCCAACCGAGCCCCAGCCAACCCTGCGGCGATCCAGCCGCGTAAGCCAACCAACCGTTCGGCTTGACTTGTAACAATCTTACCCACAATCCTGACTATTGATAGTCTCTTCTATTCTACTGTCGTGCATTAGTCCCTCCTCACTCTTCTATGTAGCTGTGCCTCTGCTCTCAAGAAAAAGGGAGATGTTGTGGTTTGCAATCAACAACCACTGATATACAATCTGTATTGTTTTACGCACGCGTCCTGTCAACCGCGTGCTTCCGACTGTGTTGTGGTTTGTTAGCTAAGTGAACGATCAATCTAGCGTACAATGAATCCCGTACGATTTGAACTGCCCTGTACATAGTACGTGCATGTAGCTTGCTGTTATGTTCCGGAGTCTTCTGGATTTATCACCTCGTGTTCTTGTAAATAAAGGGAGTTGCGATCTGAGTGATCTCGAGAGTAGACTGGAGTTTTAGGTGCGTTCTCGGAACGCAACAGGTAGGGTGTCAGCCCTAATTAATATGTTGACATCCTGGTCAGACTCACAGTATGTAGTTAGCACTATGTGCAGGCGCGTGCACCGGTGCCCTTCAAGGGGGGGTTCCGGGGGCCTCCCCGGGAAAATTTTCAAAAAATGAAGCAAAATCCTGCATTTTGAGCGAAAAAAAAAGGGGGTTCAGGGCACCCAGGAACCCATACGGGGGCACGCGCCTGATGTGATGGCTGATTGTCACATTCTTGGTGTGGAGAAGGGGTGGAGAGGGAAGGGAGCAGTAATTTCTAAAGCCAGCCTCAAGTTGTCACTGAAGGATCTCAATGGTATGTTCATCATCATCCCATTGAAGATAAGTACCAGCGGGCTCTGGGCTTAAAGTTGCAAAGGCCTTGACATACTACTGCTGATGGTATAGAGTTAGTGCAATGGTCTTATAGGAAGAGACAATATGCAGAGCATGCCCCCTAGCCGGTACAGTTACCCCATCTCGTGTTGGCTCTTCTCCCCTTGTCAGTACAGTCAGACCTCGCTTATCCGGTCCTCGTTTATCCGGATCCCTCGCCATCCGGAAGAAAATTGTTGGTCACCGATTTACAGCAATGCTATGCCCACACACAGTGTGTGTGTTCGATTATCCGGTTCCCTCGCCTATCCGGATATTTTTGTGAAAAACGGATGTGTGCGGTTAAGCGAGGTCTGACTGTATATTTCTCTCATCTCCTATTGGTGCGAGTCACCATCGTGAGAATAAACTTGAACAATGCCATACAAGATAAGATAGATACCTTGCTATACTATTTCTTGAAACATGGATTAGATGGCCATCAATACATCATGTATGGCCCTCTGTGCCGGAATGACTGTGCTGGGTTGTTTTTGCTGTATATACTGTATATGATGTGTGCTGCATATGCTATACATGCTGTGTAAGTATGAGGTGTGCATGTACTGTATAATAATATATTATGATGTGTACTGTATATGATGTGTGCTGTTGTTGTATTCAGCTTGGTCCCAGCCAATCACCCGTCCAATGCACTCCCGCTCCTTTCTCACACTGCAATACAGAGTGTACTGTAGAGAGGGTGTGCAGTGTAATGAACCAAGTGTACCAGGTAAGACAGCCACACGTGTGTATTTGCCCCCCCCCCCATGTGCACACGTGAACAGGTATAAAATGACACACTCCGATTAGCACACATGCAAAACATCCATATAGCCACATACCTTGCTGTCTGAAGATCTCCTCCTCCTCCTCCTCCTCCTCCTCCTCCTCCTCCTCCTCTCCCTCTTCCAGGCTTATTTCCTCCACTTCAGTATTATTACTTCCATTGCCTTGAGACTTCCTCCCAGACTGAGGTAATGAGACGCATGTCGAGGGATGCTCCGGGATAATGGGTACTGAGGTTAAAAGGAAAGATAGCGTAGAAGAGGGAGGCTACAACATGGCTGGCAGTACAATGTACATAGATACCAATGGAGAAATAGAGATGTATAAATAGGCCAGGGAACACGATTCATTACAGAGGTTAACATGCACGTTATTTCCGACGTGACGCGCAATTTCACGTCAAATTTGGCGTAAAACTCCAAATTTCGACATGAGCTGCAGATCACTTGTCTTATTTTTCGACAAGCAAGCCAAATAACATGAGCTGAATTTCCGCGTCACATAGGAAATACCGTGCATCTTAACCTCTCTAATATTACTGATAAACCTGGTATTGTTACACAAGCGAGCAGTGTCAGTATAACCACACTATACCTGCATTGTGTTGCTTGTTTCTCATGCGGCTATGGCCTATGCCCATACAGAGTCACAGTCCGACAATGCCACCGTCCTGAACGGCAGTTCTGTTGTCAGAGAGCTGGGTGATACCTTCAACATGAGATGTGCAACACCCAGCAACCAGCCAGTGGAATGGAGAGATAGGTAGGACACAACGGCAATGAACAATCACGTGTGTACTTGAAGATACCTCTGTGGGTCCCTGCCAATGAAAGGCACGTATAGCAGTTCATGTATTCCTCCTCCGCACTTGGATCTCCAACTTGCTGCGCTTCACACTATTGTAATAATTGGCATCACGTTATCATCATTGTCGTCTGATGATGGACGTAGTGCTATGAAATCCCTGTAAAAGCCTGATCACTGTGATCAGCGCAATTGTAGCAGGGACATGTGTCACTTCGCAGCGGCGGATCCAGAGTTCAGCTGAGGGGAGGGCGCGGGTAATATTCATGACAGGGAACCCATGCAGTACATGCATTTTGTACACATTACGACATAGCGGCTATTTTACGTCATAGGCTTAGCGGTTACTAGTATGTAGAATTACTATTTTAGCACATGCACTCACTTCCACTTTTTCAACCACTTCATTGAGGACTCTGGCTATAGTAGAACATAGCCGTACCACATCGAATTGTGTAAAGATAGTGCTTCAAAGCTCAAGACATGCTGAGATCGAGAACAATAATGGCAAAATAATAAAATGATTACTTGGATGGCCATGTCCAGCAGTAAGAATGGAGTGGAAATACATTAGCAAGAAAACAATCGTAGTGTGACCATTGGGTTCGGTTTCAGCATTTATATACACAAGCACATGTCTACAGCAAATATTGGCATGAACGTGTTATGTACAATCATGTGACACAAGTCAGAATGAACGAACAGCCAATCAAGCAACTTCCGGTGCAGTCGGGTCTGACAACAGGAAACTACGGGGTTTGGCTTTAGCGAACCTGTCCGGCACCCGCTCATGGTCCATCGGAATGGCCTTGTGAGCATACAGCAGTACAAGCACATTCAACTGCTCCTGTGACATGGAGTTGCGCAAGTCCGTCTTGATGATCTTGAGTGCAGAGTTGCTGCGCTCAACGGTTGCCGTTGTCACAGGCACGACGAGCACTTAGCTATACAAGTTCGTCAGCTGAACACTAATTTCAAAACTAAAAGTCAACCAAAGTCTAAGAGAACAACTATTCCATGTTCAGAAGAACTTTCTTATCTGACACTAGAAACTACTTGTCACAGCATGTGCAAACACTTGCGCAACTGCCCACGTGCATGCACTAAAAAAAACGAAATATTTGAGGGGAGGGCGCGCGCCCACCGCGCCCTCCCCTAGATCCGCCTCTGCTTCGAAGTATGTATGCGACATCTATCCATTTTAACAGGGGAACCCCCACAGACGGCGATGCTAACGTTATCCTCCTGTGCTGTTCCTGTATCACTGTTGCTGGCTCACCGGCAGGCGTGGCACCATCATTACGCAAATATCTACATCTCGACGGCGTGCTGATGCAAATGGCTGGTTGAACATCACGAGTGTAGAGCCATCCGACCGTGGACGCTACACGTGTCATGAGCTCACAACGGGCAGCATGATAGCACTGCTCACACTGGTGATCGAAGGTAACAGAACGATGCGGACTGCAGACTGCTGCTGCTATTGTACTTTGGGATGATGGGCATAACTTGTTAGCACCTTTGTGGGCAGGTTTATGAAGAAGCTAATACTGTATGTGCACACACACACACACACAAAGTGCATTTAAGACCCTACAAGGGGAGGGGGGGGGGGGACAATCAGTTTCAGGAACAATGCGATACGCGTATACCGTATGATTGTATCCCGTGTGGAGGTGATGCCACGCGTATGCCCTATGATCATACCCTGTGTGGAGGTGATGCCATGCGTATGCCCTATGATCATACCCTGTGCGGAGGTGATGCCATGCGTATGCCCTAGGGTCATCCGATTGTCCCGTGTGTTGGTGATGAACAGACTGTGATAGATACACTTGGTAGGAATGGTGATATGTTCCAGAAGACGAATCACAGCCATGTTCCAATGTCAACCTCCACTAGAGGCATACTGGTGTTCATTATCACTGTGTGTATGTGTATGTTGCCAGGTCCACCGCAAGATGTGCAAATCTCAGTACTGTCAGACCCGACCGGCGAGATGATTTCCAGACTCGTGGTGTCGACAGATGAGAGTGTCACCCTGGTGTGCAGTAGTGCCGCCTATCCAGGTCCTCTGTTGTCATGGATACAGAACGGCCGTATCCTGACAACCTTGGAGCAGGAGGTACGCATGGTGGAGGAGCTGGAGGAGGAAGCGTTGCAGGTCTCACGCCGTAGTCTACTGGTAGTTGCCAGTGGCAACAATACGCTGGGCAATTTCACTTGCGTTGCCGACAATGGAAAAGGACCCAGGGCGCTCGCTACTGCAATTCTGAGTCGGCAGCATGTTGCCATGGAGACTGGTAAGTGGTGACACTCAGTGCAGTACTGCTGCCGTGCCACTGTCCTTCTTCGGGCGAGCACGATTCCCAGCTCGGTCTCAAGTTAGTGGAATATCTTTCTGCCGTCTAGCTGCGATAATTGCTTCCTTTTTGTGTTGAAAGGGAAGTTATTTTCGGTTAGAACCTTTCATTTCTGATCAGTGTCACTTCCACTTGTAGTGGCATCGTTCTGGTGCTGCTACTGTGTATGTTCCGCCATCTGTCCTTGTCACTTTTTGAATCTGTTACGATGGGTGTCCGGATTGTGGCTTGTTTGCAGAAGTACCCACTGCCCATACAACGACGGTGATAGTAAGCTCTATGCCGGTATCCAGCACTGCTGCCATGACGACAAGTACAGCTCACAGTACTAGCAACACAGTTGCTGTCAACGGGTTTGTCTCGTCCTCTCCGCCACGAACAACGGGTGCATCCCATACTACCTCCACCGTAGATGGCGGTGAACAGAACCCTGGTGAGCTCAACGACGGTAAGTGTTCGATGGCCACCCATTGGTGGCATTTCGCGCTATGGTAGGATTCAATATCACCATTTGGAAACCATTGGTGGAAACATTACCAAATCTCTGGCTGGTGATGAAAGGAAAATGACTCAGTTGTCCTTTTTGAAGTGTAGCTCACCCCACAACTCTCGAGCTCCGTATATATGGTGCTAACTGTGGTGTAATGAGTAACATCATGACAGAACTCTATCCCTGGGCATAGCATTGTCTGGGCCTGCAACTCTTTCCGTTAGGGAAGATGGAGTGTAATGAGTAGCATCATGACAGAACTCTATCCCTACAGTCCATTCAGAAAAAGATGAACTTCTAGCTTTTGGCCATAAATGGGTCAAACTTGAGTTTTTTTAGAATTTTTTTCTGCAATCCCTAAGGAATCCTCTTCCAATTATGTTTCTGAAGTCTATTTGTCCAAAAAGCAAGCCATAACAAGAATAGAATATCGGCCAGGTTTTGCCCCAAAAGCATTGAATTGGGAAAAACCATCAAAATCCAGGCCGTTTGAGCCCGCCTGCAACAGTGCATTGAGGGGTTCGAACCCCAGTTCCGGTACCCTTTTTGGACTCTTTTTCAAAGTTCAAATTTCGCAGCACTGCACTGTGTGCAATGAAATCACGGAAAATTGCCAAATACGGGAGCTCGCCAGAGCCAGGGCCCATCTTTTTATGAATGGACTGTAGGCATATCATTGGCTGGGCCTGCAACTCTTTCCGTTAGGGGAGATGGAGTGTAATGAGTAGCATCATGACAGAACTCTATCCCTAGGCATATCATTGTCTGTCTCCAGGTTTCTCCTTCCTACTCCCTACACTCACTCGCATTGATCTAACGTGTGTACTTGTATAAGAACCGCAGCCTGCCTGCTGTACCATTGACTCATGCATTCATGTACCGCTGCACTTGCTGGCTGCGCATCACTAACCCTTTCCCTTCTATGGCACAGTCCCCGCATGCACTGAATGCAGTACTCGGGTGCGCGTGCGTATTCATGTCTGAGTGCACTGCCCTCGGGCTCCATCTATACATGGCATCCCGTACTGGGCACGCTGCTTCCGGTCGCTGCTGTGTGCACGCAGCACCGCCGTCCATTCCGCTCTCTGTCTTCTTTACACAGTGATTCCCGATTGGAATCATTCTTCGTTTCTGCTCTCCTTAGGCCATCATTTTTTATATCTATGTTTCGCGTCAGTTCAACTTCCAGATTCATATGCGAGAGGTGGAAAAAAATAAAAAATTGCAAAATAATAAAAAAGGCTCATCAGAGATGTATGCACTGTACATAGCACAATAGCTCGTGCATGCATGGTGTACATTCGAAAGAAAAATCGTACATCGAAGCACACCATCTGGGTTATCAGCATGAGTAAATATTCACTTTGGGCAGAGAAGGCAACCGTTGGTCATGGTGCCTATGCTTCGCTGGAATATTGTACTCAGACTTCAGCAGCGGTGCAAAGAGCTCCGGAACGACGCATCCTCTCAGCTTAGGCGATCAATGCGGTCTGGTGTAAGCTCATAGAATATTGCTCCCAGATGCCGAACAAACGATTTACCAACGCTGGCCTAGGCTAGAGGCCATTTCTGAATCAGGCTGAATCCCAGCTTCGCCGTATGCAACCTGTCCACACTGACGACTCGCACGATCGTACACTCACTGTGCATGTTCGATTTTTTATTTTTTTCCGAAAAAATCAAAACGTATGCGTGCGGACGACGCGAAACATAGCTATACAAAATGATGGCCTTACAGTTAGTTGTGCTTTTCCGTGTCCGATAATGTTCCCCCTTATGCAATAAAGATTCAGGCGAAACTACTCTAAGTAGCTACCGCTACACTAACCAGCGTTAATTTATTGTTGTCCGTCCATGGCTTCCCATCATTAGCTGGAAAAGTTGTTTTTGGCCTGCGGCAATACAATGCAAAAAATGCACTTGTCCTTCTTATGCAGTAGAGAGACAGACAGGTCACGTGTGCAGCAGCAAAGCTGGCCATGACCTATCACACCTGTGTTGCCATGACCTATCACACCTGTGTTGCCATGACCTATCACACCTGTGTTGCCATGTACGTATCACACCTGTGTTGCCATGACCTATCACACCTGTGTTGCCATGACCTATCACACCTGTGTTGCCATGTACGTATCACACCTGTGTTGCCATGACCTATCACACCTGTGTTGCCATGACCTATCACACCTGTGTTGCAATGACCTATCACACCTGTGTTGCCATGTACGTATCACACCTGTGTTGCCATGACCTATCACACCTGTGTTGCCATGTACCAAGAGTACATAACCCCCCAGAGTGTGCAACGCCGATCCAGCTCTGTGTAGGGTCTTGGTCGAGCGGAATCGGATCTTCTGATGTCATGCGTACACTTCACACCAGCGCAAGGCCGGTCTCGAGGCAGGGCACCATTGTTTTTGATCCAAGAGTACCCGCGACTCCCCGGGTTCCCCTCAGATGTGTACGGTATTATGACGCAAAGATCCGATTCCGCTCGACCAAGACCCTATGCAGAGCTGGATCAGGCGTTGCACACTCTGGGGGGTTATGTACTCTTGCATGTACGTATCACACCTGTGTTGCCATGACCTATCACACCTGTGTTGCCATGACCTATCACACCTGTGTTGCCATGACCTATCACACCTGTGTTGCCATGACCTATCACACCTGTGTTGCCATGACCTATCACACCTGTGTTGCCATGACCTATCACACCTGTGTTGCCATGACCTATCACACCTGTGTTGCCATGACCTATCACACCGGTGTTGCCATGTACGGTAGCAGCTATGCAGTACTGTAAGACATGTCATTATAACGAGTCGCAAAATTTAACGATTGTCAAAAATTCATAGGTTATTAAACGAGACGATATGTTAACAATCTTGCAGTATTCCGGCATATCCACACACAACATATATGAAGCATTACAGCCTCAACGAATCTTATTATAACGAAGAAATGTCATCCGTTAAAACGTTAGATTTACTTCCTCGTTATATATACATGTCTTACAGTACAGTGGCTGTAGCGTGTACAGTATGCACACACAGAACCTGCACTCGTATTCTGCTGCAACATCAATCATCAGTGTAGACACATTGTGCTATTGGCTTTCACTATTCCCGTGCCACAGACTCATCAAGCAGTAGCAGCGTGACTGTGGCAGTAGGTGCAGCAGTCGCTGGTGTATTACTACTTGCCGTCATCATCATTACACTTCTTATCGTCAGTAGACGCAAGTCACGCCGTCGCAAGAAAGTACCACTGAAAACTGCCAACAGTGCGACAGCTTTCATTGTTGAGAATGATGGTACATCACCGGCATCGTCCTTCGTGAATCCAGGTTACCCTTCTACAGCTACTCCATCAGCTCCGCCACTGGAGCATCCATTCAGGTAATTCCGGGCTCGGGTTACTTTTTCACTCATAGCTTTGCGCGCATTGTGGACAAATAGTGATATTGTATGGCTACTACTGAGCTGCCATGGGTCTTTTAAGAGGACCAATGATGACGGTCCATATACACAGTAGCCTGTTTATATGGACAAAGTCATTGGTTCTGTCAGATTGCAGCTTTCTGCGATGCATGGTTAGCTTTGTTCACTTCACTTGCACCTAATATATACGTGTTTGGCAATCTTGGATCAACCTGTGTGACTCATGATTGGTTTTGTTGTCTTTCTGTTTGATGCTGGCTGCAGTTCAATGTCTGGATCTGGTCCGCGCTTTGTGGAAAAGGGCAGCATAAAATCCACATCCAGCGTCCTGTACGGCAAAGGAAGGTGAGCGGAGAAGAGCTAGGATTGCATGCTGCTATGTGCAACGTGCTACATGCTACATGCTGCTATATATGACACATGCTAACGTTACCATGCTATATTTGTATGCTTTGGTTCAGCTTTGACTTGCACTGCATGGGTATTGGTTAAAAGTCCAGGATCATAGTAGACAAAGGAATATGCTTGCTGGTTGCTGGGTGCGAGTTCACCATTGTGTTTGCATTTGCGCAGAATGTGACTACTGGTAGTTGAATGTACACATATGTGATGCTTACTGCAATGTTGATGTGACGTATGTGGGGTTTGTGTGGTATGCGGTGCTCTGGTGTCTTTGTCTCCGGTTACAGTATGAAGCAGGCCAGTGGACGTCAAGCTGACAATATCATTTACAATAGCAAGAGTACGGGTGCCGCTGCCTTCGCTGCTCCTGCTTCTGCTGGTGGTAACAGTCCGGGCAAGTGTGATGACGGGGCCGATGGGTATGGTGATGATGATGATGAAACGTATGCTACCATTAGTGAGAAGAGAAAAGAAGAGGAAGATGCAACGGCAAACCTCTACCAGTCCATGGATGAATAGTCAACGTGGCGATAACTGGAATCAGTCCAAACAGCTACTGATGACCATGTTTGCCAGTCCGGCAATGTCTGGCCTCACCTTGAGAGCACCGTCGCTAAGACATGTTGAAGTCATGATGCTCGGATTTGCACCATCTGTCTTTTAAAATCACACACCTAGCGATGCTTGCCTTAAATTCTTCTCCGGGCTTTGCGATGCTCGCTCACTTTCATGCAACTCATTCTCAGTATTGCATGCCAATACGAGACAACGTGGGTGTCTGACCCAGCGCACTCGGCGCCTGCTGCTGCTGCTGCAACCTTTGGTTGCTCCTTTTGTTGACTGCATGCACCACTGCAAAGGTGTCACTTGAAACCGCTTTTCAGTTTGCCTTGAATTACTGAATTACTGTCACGCAGGCATATCATGGTTATTATGTTCTGCTATTCTCTGATGTCAGGATCATCGCGTGCTGGCATGAGATAGACAGCCACGTGGAAACACGAATGCACTTGCAATTGTTGTATGAATGCTTGCCGCCGATGCATACACATGCATGCGTGTTTTAAAAGTAACAGGAAAAGTCCATCCTCGGCCCCGGCCCGGGTGGTTTTATCCAGTCACGTCATGCGTCGGAGAAGAGATACAAACATAGTTATACAATACTCCGTTTGCTCTTGCTGTTGCGGTGGCATTACAACGCTGGATAGAGCACCCTGGCCGGCTGGAGTACACCACTCCCTACCTGATATCCTGACCACAGTGACAGTGTCGTGATGGTATCATGTCTTACACAGGGAGTCGTAAAATACCGTATTTTACGACTCGCTGGTCTTACAGCAGCTACATGTACATGTACAGGCAAGAGTCCATAATCCCGGGGGAGGGGGGTATGTACTCTTGGTACAGGTGATACCAAGAGTACATGACCCCGAGGGGTTCACCGGGTACGACTCTTGGTGGTACTTACTGTTGTGCTTCGCCTGCGGTGTCTCCTGACAGTCCCGATGCGTCCCCTTGTTGGCCGTTGCAAGGTCCCTCGGCTAACAGTTGGAATGGGGTTGTAGGGAAAGTCCCCATCCAGTACGTGTGGAATCTGCTGGCAAAAATATTTCGAAAGAAGCAAAAGACAAGTCGTATAGTGCATGAAGAAAGAAGACTAGACATCCTTGACCTTGGGTCTTGAAGTGAAGACTTTCTGTTGGTGAACGTGAGCTGTGGATGACTGCCAAGCAGTTCGAGCCAGCTGCTTACCTTGAGCTTAGGTTATTGGGCAAGAGAAACCTATGTTGATTAGCATGGCTGTTGCTGGAAGGCAGGCTAGGAAGCTCGGCGCTACGTGCAGCAGTGTATGGAGGTGTTCATCAACAACGACACCAGTATGTCTTGTTTTTCACTTGTTGACTAGCAAACTGACTGACTTGCTTATGCTCACGGTTGAATGTATAATATACGTGGGATACCGTGGTCAGAAGCCTGCAGCTAGTAGAGAGAGCTAGATCTGGTGAACGCGGGGTTTAGGGTAGACTGCACTGTTGGTACACTGGACGTGTGACTTGTTCACACTCCAGCAATAATGTGTGAATAAACATCACCAGTCCTGTGCATTGGTGCCGTTCATGTGAGAAATTCCTGCCATCGATCACGTAGAATTGTTGCAGAGTGCAGTGCACAATCGCTGACTTGCTCGTATGTGCCACCTCACATGAATGGGCATCACCATTCCTTCTCAGTCTGGACTAAATTCAGGACAAGCCAAGCACCCAAGTTCAAGTGACGATTGCGTTATCTTCCATGGCGAAGACCTCCAATTAGCTGACATTAGTGCACATTGTAGGCGTCTATACTGGAGTTGAATAACTGAGAGTGAGAAGGCTGAACTTGGTTTCAGCTGCAACTTGGGTTTCATGCAATATGTACTGCTGGAGTTGATTTTAAAAGCAGATAGCGCGGCATGTGTCAGTGCATGAGAGCACACGTAGTGCGGATACTATCACCTATCACACACAGACCCACGCACTGTGCAATGAGCAGCGCCCTTCACACCAGCACGTGCAACTCTCAACAACCAAAGGGCACGAATAGTCCACAAAGCATTCGAAAAGGTTTGCGCCGCACTACCTGTAGCTCAGTCACGTTGTCGTGTAGGTGACATCAGCACTGATCATGCTTGCTTGTTCTTGCAATGGGTTGCAGATTTGGCATTATAAACTGATGAAGTGTTGCATTGTTTACAACATGTACTGTTCTTGTACACACTTGACTGCCCAGTGCATCAGTTTGCCTATAATGACACTGGAGATGTTTTGCTTTGCAGCTTTAAGTTGAGTTGTGTGTGTGTGTGTGCGGAGAGGATTGATGAAACAGTGAATTGCCAATGCTACTGTGTTCGTTGCAGGCTGAAAGCAAGCGGGTTGAGAAGTCTATGATAGGACCGCCACATCCTGTGTCTAACATCAGCCCAATTATCCTGGCTCAGCCGGAGAATGAGACGGGACAGGTACGGTATAGGCTGCCTGTTGTGTTTCACTCACCATGCTTTCTCCCAAGTGTCTGACCTTAGTCTTACAGATTGCTCTAGTTGTATTGTGGTCCTTGTGTTTGCTTTCGGGATGTGAGTTTAATGAAGCCTTGGTCACTTGTGCTCACTAAAGACAAATGTCGCTCAGTAACCTCGATATGCCACACACTCAGTTTTTGGTACACAGGACTTACATGTAGGTACGTGCCTTATCATGAGCGTGTGACTTACGTATATACACGGTAGCTTGCCGTCTTGATTGCAAAGGTGTGCCGCTTATTGAGGGCGCTTGAAAAAGAGAATGATTGATTGTGAGTAGACTCGACGGTAGCTGCTGGCATTTACCTCTGGTCTGGTGTGCTTGTGTGTGTGTGTGTGTGTGTGTGTGTGTGTCACAGGAGAGGCAATTGCGGCTGCATCATTTAGCAATGAATGATCGCAATCACCAGTTCTGGCTGGCGCACAACATGCAGTTTGAACAGGTACTGGAGTAGGGGATGTTGTCCGGCTGCTTTTCAAATAATTCCTCCCTACAATGCCTGTAGGCTATCATCTACAGTAGTAGAGTGTACAGTAGAACTCTGACATGTAACTGTGTAAGCCAATGACCCTGGGCAGCAGGAAAGTGTTCTTTAACTTAGTGTCCCAGTACAGTACATTGTGTCCCGACATACATGTACTTCAGCATCGATCAAGTCGCCCGTGCTCCGGGCAATGTCCGTACTAAGCAAGAGTATGTCTTATCTCAGAGGAGGAACTCAGGTTACGTTTGGTTGGTCACATTCCCAAATGGGAATCACTTGGAATCACTCGGAATCATTCTCGCCCGTTTGGTTGGTCAAAAAAGTGCGTTAGGTTGGTCACATTCCACATGATTCCAGAATGGGAATCGCTGAGAATGATTCTTTTTGGAGAATGATCATTCCACCTCACATGCTGGAATGAGCATTCTCATTCCGGAATCAAAAATGATAATGGCTGCGATGAGCCAAACAATGTAGCAACAGGTTCAAGTGCCTCAAATCATGCACTCAGAAGTACCTTGACTCTCTCAAGGAAACTAGAGTCGGGTAAAAGAAAAGACAGCCGCCGTTCCACAACGACATCATGGAATTGCTATGTCAAGTGATTCCTAATTGATTCTGGCGCGTTAGTTTGGTCAGGTGATTCTTGCCGATTCCCATTCCAGAATGGTTCTCATTTACATTCTGAAAATGCCCAACCAAACGCAACCTCAGTAAGTTCCACTGTGCTTGGAGTGTATGTATGCAGTATGCACTCTGTGTGCTCAACAAGTAGTTGTGCTCGAAAACCTAGTATTATTAATCCACTGTACGTGTATGGTCTATCGTGCTCAGGATAAAGAAACGTTCAAGACTCGCCGGCTCAAGGGTGGTGAAGCAGTGTTGAGTAAGAACTGCATTTTGATTTTATCATTTTAGGCCACACTTTGTTTTTTCTATATTTCTCGTCGGCAAATTTTAACAAAAGGTACGCGGGCGGGCGGAAAAAAAACAAAAGCCAAGGAAAAAAACAAGAACAACTTCCACTGAAAACCGTGTATATTTTTTACAATGTACATGTATATGCGTGATTCATACAAGACACTGCGTATACCATGTATACAGCACTACATTGTACAATCATGTACTGTACATGTATATGTAGTCCCATATATGGCCATACATGATTGCACTACATTATCACATCAGCCCACGAATATCAGGCAAACTGCAACAATGAGAGCATAAAGTTTGATTACGAGATGGCGAAGAGAACATACATATCTGCTATCGCATCAACAAACGTTTCCCACTCGTCATTGATTTTTGGTTTTGCTACTTCAACGTTCTTGTGTCCGTTTATCAAACTCTTGTCTCCATGCTGCTCATCTTTTCCTTGCCATGCGTCTATTGCTTGGATTTTCTGCCTACGACATCGTTCCACAGACGCCAGTTGCCACGGAACTCGTCCGACTTACGGTATTCCTGGGACCCACGAAGCTCAGGCAGTGAACGACTGAAAGCTTCGTCATGACAGCCTTCATCGCGGAGAACGGACGAGGAGCGGTCCTTTGCTGCTGTGGTGCAAACGTTTACGATTATTGATTGACGCATCTAGCTGCTGCAGCATGTGCAGCGTACATACATCATTACATGTACGTAGTATGAACTTTTTTTCTTCCGAAATTTCTGAAAACCTACGCGGGCGATGACGAGAAACATAGAAAAAACAAAGTGCGGCCTTATACACATTCCAGGAACTTCTTTGTCACAAGTTATCTTCCTGGGCAGCAAGATTGAGGACAACATGAGGTGGAAACGCACTGTCGAGGAGTAGCATGGAACGATGTTGTACAATCGTGTATCTCAGTAGTGTTGTGAGCAGTACAGACTACAGTACAGTCTGTTGTTGTACAGTGCTAAATGTACATGTGTTGTACAGTCAGACCTCGCATAACCGCACACATCCGTTTCGCACAAAAGTATCCGGATAGGCGAGGGAACCGGATAATCGAGCACACATACTGGATGTATGCATGACATATGCTGTAAATCGGTAACCAACGATTTTCGTCCGGATAAGCGAGGTCTCACTGTACAGTGCTACATGTACATGTGTTGTACAGTGCTACATGTACAGTGCTACATGTACATGTGTTGCATGGTATAGGACTGCATGCACTACACCAAGCCTATGTCATAAACTATCGTTAGTTGAGAATTACCGTAAAGTACCGTTGATCCGCCCCCCCCCCCCCCCCACGCCATGTCGATTCCCGCTGCTGGGTTTTGGGCAGGGGGCGGGAATAAGATCAAGGCTGTCAAGTGCAGTACGATGTACAACAACATAGAGGATCAGACTCGATGTGCTGGATTGTGCACGTTTTCATCCTGGATTGGCACGTATTGTGTACTGCAGTGCATGCTTCGGTTCAACATCGTATCTCGTTGTATACGCCGAAGTCGCTTCACAGGTAGAAAATCGGCAGGGGGCGGGAATTGGAGAGGGGGCGGATCAACGGTACTTTACGGTAATACTAAACTTGACAATAAGCAGTACCGGTTGAACCCAGTACACTGTAGTACTTGTACACAGTTGCCCAGGCTAGAACAGCACTGAACTCAGCCTCAGAGTATGATGGTCTTGTCAACTGTGCACGTGCTGTCTATCAACTTCCCTTTGTTTTATCTAGCTGAAAGCGGGGCTCTCTCACCGGATGAGTTTGCGACATTTTACAAGGATTTCTTGGTCAGCAAGAAGGCATCACTGCGCGAATACAACAGGTAGGTCCATGCATAGTGCATGCCTGTGCAATTATACTGTAGCTAAAGAGCAGCTATCTTTCTTGAGCATGTAGTGTAGTTTATTTATAAGAAGAAATGAAGACCAAGGAACTACTGCTCCTTGGCTCTCCACCCATGTCTAACATTATAATTTGTTCATGTAATTCAAGTACTTGTACCGTATTTTTCGAAGTATAGTGCGCACCTTTGTATAACGCGCACCCCCAATCTTCATTGGGGGTGCGCACTTCAATCTTCATTGAAGTACATGCATGTCATATTCGGAGCATAGTGCGCACCTGCGATTTAGGGCCTAAAATAGCACATCTAAAGTGCGCACTATACTCCGGAAAATACGGTAACTGTATCATGGCTGGGGTGCTCTGGCTCACATAATACTTCTCTAAGTAGTATGAAAAGCAAGCCTTGTATAGTGAACGTGATGAACTGTTTTGTAGCTCCATTCAGTGAGGAGCACTTGGTCATTGATTTCGTTGCAGACTTGTAAGTGTGCAGATCGCTTTATTCGATGCGTACATTGAGTCGCAGTCCTTTCCTAATATTTTTTTTATACGCATGTTTTGAATATGGACAGTCCACTACTACCCCAAAGTACCGCGAGAGTGCCCCACCTTGGTTTTACAGCCAGGGAAAGGAAAATCGTATTGCAGAGTGCAGCGTAGTTTATACGGTGTGAGAACCTTAGTGTACTAAGGTCACACTTAGCGGGTTTTGTGTGGAGCTCACGTCCTCTCGAAGGTACGGATTAATTGCACAACGTGCAATATGTGTACAAGTACAAGGTTCGTATCGTATGACCTACAGACAGCAGACCACCTCCACAATACGACTACGAAAGGACGAGATGGTGGGGCGCTCTTGCGGTACTTTTAGTGTAGTATCATTTGCAGCTAAGCTTGAAAGAGACAGGAGTGGAATGTTTGGTATTGCTGCCCAGTACACAACCTGTTGAACAGTTCTATTCCTACTTTTCGTATTTATTATCATTTCCAAAGGTGTGTTGCTTGGCTGAGATAAAGTCAGTATTCTGTGTACTGATCTTGTCTGTGTATGTGACCATGTATTGTGTTGTGCTGTATTTTGCATCCAGAGCCTGGCTTCGTGATATCACTACGTTCATGTGGCTATCACTCAAGGTCAAAACACAGAAATGTAAGTGCAGTCCACACGATTGTTTTTGGTGACACGACTAGTCTCTCTGTCTCTGTCTGTCTTTGAGTCTCTGTCTGTTCGTCCGTCTGTCTCTGTCCGTCTCTCTCTCTCTCTTTCTCTCTCTCTCTCTCTCTCTCTCTTTCTCTGTCTCTTTCTCTCTCTGTGTGTCTCTCTCTCTCTCTCAGTCTGTCTGTCTCTGTCTCTCTCTCTCAGTCTCTCTCTCTCTCTCTCTCTCTGTCTCTCTCTCTCTCTCTCTCTCTCTCTCTCTCTCTCTCTCTCTCTCTCGTCTCTCTCGTCTCTCTCGTCTCTCTCGTCTCTCCTCTTAGTGTGACCACCTAAACAGATGATCTTCTCCTGTAACAAAGGACACTGTTTCTGGTCTTGTGTTTTCCTCTGATCTTCCTTGCTATGCTGTATGCAGTGCTGTTCTGGAAGAGATGAATGGCTTGGATGTATTCGGTTCCCTGGCAGACTCAAGAGTTATGCGAGTGGCTGGACGATGCATGCAACATCAGCAGCAGCAGCACCTCACCCAGATGCTGACTGTGCGCTGGCTACGGTGTGAGGCAGAAGCAGTAGCCGAGCGCAGGCCAGTAACATCAAGCGGCGGAATTCCAGAGCCCGTCACCAGCGTCTACATGGTGAGGGCAATTCTGCAGCTGATGCTTATGCTGACATTTTGATTGGATTGTGGTGGCACTGGTCTCTCACACTAGAACCCACGTATCACTTCACCCAGTGGCTGCAGCAGCAGCAGTGAAAGGATCAGATGGTGACGCCAATCCATCTCTGAACAGCTCGACAACAGGTCAGCCGCAGCGCAACAGGGCATACCTTCCCGCTGGGCTGGCATCTTGTATTCATCGTCAGATTTTCTTGATATGTTTGCCATGAACAGACCACACGTGCTGCCCACAGCTTAGTGGGGAGTTGCTTAGTGGGGAGTTGCTACAACTAACACCACACATCCAGTGATATGCTGCTGCTGCTGAGGATGGGATGTCCGCACTTCCCCGAGGCATTTTAGATGCAATGTTCATTCTATTATATTACTCAAGGCTCAATATATAGACCCAATTCCGATAAATCAGTGCTTGTAGCACGTTACATAAACTTTCTTTATACATGTACACGCCAATATGAAGCTCCTGTCTGTTCCTATTTTTTTAGAATCCAATTTATAATCCCTGTTGAGGTGGCGGCTGGCACGACAACCTCTGGTAGCTTTCTTGTATGATTACTTGGCAGCAGTACCTGTATCCACTGTATTCGCATTCATAACAATATTATACTGATGTTCTTAACGAGGCTGATCATGCCGTGAGTGCACACCAGAAGTGGTCTTGCTGAAACTCGTGAACGGTCCACATTAATTGAAGGCATGACTCGTGTTCTCCATGAGTTTCAAACACCTCCGCCATACACAGCAATCTTGAATCACATGCTCGCTGCCCCTAAGGGGCCATCCAAGGTTACCAATAATATTTTCAAACGAAAAGTTTTCGTTTGGGGGTGGGTGGGTTTGAAGAGTTTCGTTTTGAAAAGAATTATTCACTTCAGATGGAGAAAGCCCAGTTACTTCTGGGTGTCGAAAATCGACATTAATTAATTTTTAAGTATTTTTATTGGAACTTTTGCTTTACCTGCAGGAAAGGTGGGTGGGGGCTGAAAAAATACTAAAGCTTTTCGTTTTGTAAAAACAATCGGTAACCCCGGACGGCCCCTAAGCACCAGCAACCTCCAGCAATAAACTTGTACAATGTTATCACATGTGAATGAAGAAAAATGATATCGGAAATTACAATTTCAAATATCTGTCATCGCTTTATCATTACACGCCTCACAAGTGAAAGGATGAACCAAACTCTGTGTGTGATGAAAACAAGTACACGCACGCACACCTTGTATGTACTTGAAGTATACCGTATACGCCCGTCACAAGAGAAGCGTGCAAATCTGCAAATGCACTGCATGTGCACCCACAGATTTTCTCTTATAGCAACAAGATCTGAATGAGACAGATCAAGACTTGCACCAGATAACTGTCCAATCCACACAACCTGCGAAGCCATGTAAATTGACCACCTGGTCTACACCACACGGGGTACATCGGCATAAAACGGCCATGCCCATGACAGTTACCTATAATGCACACCCTACACTTGCTGGAGTAACCAGTATAGACAGCATGCTGCTTTGATAGAAGCAGACACTAGATGCACTGGTACCTTGAAGTGAAATTGGAGTTACTTTACCAACCAGCCTCGGCTACTGAGTACTGGGAACTGAGAGCCAACAAACATACCAACAACCTCAGCCAAAACAGCTATAATTATAGTAACGACACACTGGATTGTGGAGCCGAAACTTGTCCAACTTCCAAATGCTTTGGCAAGAAGGTAGCCTTCCGACAGGTTGCCCCCCCCCCCACACACACATGTGCGCGCACGCACTCCAAGAGGGCTTCGAAGATATACAAGCACAGGGCTTATAATGGAGAACTGTATGGATCATGTCCATACATGTTTGACGTCACATACATAAACAACACAATCATGCTGTGGTAAAAGTCTGGAATTAAACTTCAGACTCAGCGTACCAGGATGCATAAAACTGCAGTCCCAGTACCTGCTGGGAAATTTTGTGCTACTGATATAATGAAAAATAGGAGAATAGGAGGCAATGTACATTTACCAGGTGGTTTAAAAATGATAAGACCAGTCTCTAATATAAGCCCACACGTACAGACTGGTTTAAAAAATATAAACGCGGGGCTTATAATGGAGATAACATGGCATGTTAGTTTGCAGCAAGCAAGCAGGTGTACAGAATAGGTTAGGTTGCATCAGGGAGCAGGGCTCCCTGGATCGCATACAAGACGGAGGGCTATCTGCAAGCCCTTACATGTACATCAGCATGTAACAACCGCGGGTGCCCATAAGGAAGAGGGGTCAAATGAACATGAGGCCATGGGATTTTGTAGACAGTTATCTGAAACAAAACAATAAGCACAAGATCAAGACAAACAAAGAGAGAGAGAGAGAGAGAGAGAGAGAGAGAGAGAGAGAGAGAGAGAGAGCCTCGGCAGCACAAACCAATGAATTTGTTATAACATCTCCATCGGCGGTTCATCTCTTCCAGTTACCAGTCCAAAGGATAGCGGTCGCGTAGCATGTCTTTCAGCTTGAAGCACTGTGTCTCCACAATGTACTCGTCATAAAAGAAATGATCGAAGTAGGAGTTTCGAACCTGCAAAGCAAACGAAATCATCACCAGGCTCGGTGCTTGGCAATCACATACTGTAGTAATTAATTGGACAATGTCTGCGTACTCTGCAGAGTACATCACCCCATTGGCATTGGATCCCAGGAATAGGCAACTCCCATATGCAGACCAGTCCTGACAACACTTCAAGTTGACATCGTGTTTACAATGTAATGCTCATGGCACACAGGGACGTCGGACCCCGGTGCCAATAATGTAATGTTGTGATCAACACATTTATGGACTGCTTGGGCTCAATGTTCCAAAACATTTCCCTATCATGTTGGATAGTTAGCTGCCTGTAGGCTGATGTACATGTAGCGCGTCTACGCCTGTAGCATGTCGATATAGAAAAGGCATATGGCATGTCTACACAATGTGGCATAACTACACAGTCGTGTACTGTAGCATGTCAACATAGAAAAGGCATATGGTATGCAATGTCATGTAGTGTAACAACACAGTCGTGTACTGTAGCATGTCTCCGATCAACACAACTACGGTCGTGTTGGAAACACTAACACCTACCGCACAAGTACTAGGTTTTAGCTGGTCTTGTGGAACGTAGTAGGTCACGCAATCGGCACCCGCATCGACCGAATCACACATAACCATATAGCAGGGGCTGTCGACATTCTCATCCTTGTTGTTGCAATCAGCAGATATCGACACACCAGAGTACAGTCCACTTAGTCATAGCCAAGGGAGATAGATACAGAGATAGATACATAGATAGATAGATAGATAGATACAGAGATAGATAGATAGATAGATAGATAGATAGATACAGAGATAGATAGATAGATACAGAGATAGATAGATAGATACAGAGATAGATAGATAGATGGATGGTAACTCTCATCTTTGTGGTTGTGTCCAATCAGTTTAACACGCCGCATGGAGGCTGCAAAGTGTTCAATTTAGACATCAATCACCCCCCTGTGGGTGTTTGTATGTGAGTGTATGTGTCTGTGTGAGCATGGAAAGCAACCAACAGCGAGGGAGCGTCTCCCGTTCAAGTTCTGCTGTGCGTGCGGCGAGAGATATCGCAGGCAGCAGGATCTGCAACGGCATGAGGCCGGATATTCTGCCGCGAAGCCGTGATGATACCCCTTTGTTACCCTCCTCATGGGGGCAGCTTAGCTGTTTAACGGCAGCTGTATGTCAAGGTGAAGGTCAAGGTGTATGTGTGTGTGTGTGCGTGCATGCATGCGTGTGTGTTTGCGTGCACATGTGGATGTGTACATGTGCATGTATGTGTGTGATTTTCAAGGCAAACAATGCACTGTGTAGGACAGTGGATCTAAACTTTTTCAAGTAATTCTAGTACAGAGCCAAGCTGCCCTTGTGACTTGTGAGAGGGCTCAATACGCCAGTTGCAACACAAGTGACAATGGTGGAAACTAAAGTCGATTGTTACTCAGAGTTGTGTGTCACTTGGACAATCATCACTATTCATCAGACAACACAGTCGTGTGTCAATCCCAGCACATGAACTGTACCTGGTCCACATATTTCTCTGGTACTTGCAGTTCATAGTCGTATCCAAGCTGGAAAAGAGGTAGACAAAAACACTGTATTGTGAATTTGTGACAATTTCAAAAATAGCAATAAATAGGATTACATGTATGTCCCGGACTCGTATGTATCACGAATCCGCGTTACACTCGTTATTATCTCATTATTTGTTCATGTCTACATCATCTGTACGTCATGCTGACGTCTTACTGGAGTGATCGCGTTATACCCAAGTTCTCCAGGATGCAGCTGGCCCAAAGTATAGATGAAAAGCAGAGTTATTATAAGGCCATCATTTTTTATAGCTATGTTTCGCGTCGTCCGCACGCATACGTTTTGATTTTTTTTCGGAAAAAAATAAAAAATCGAACATGCACAGTGAGTGTACGATCGTGCGAGTCATCAGTGTGAACAGGTTGCATACGGCGAAGCTGGGATTCAGAAATGGCCTCTCGCCTAGGCCAGCGTTGGTAAATCGTTTGTTCGGCACCTGGGAGCAATATTCTATGAGCTTACACCAGACCGCATTGATCGCCTAAGCTGAGAGGATGCGTCGTTCCGGAGCTCTTTGCACCGCTGCTGAAGTCTGAGTACAATATTCCAGCGAAGCATAGGCACCATGACCAACGGTTGCCTCCTCTGTCCAAAGTGAATATTTACTCATGCTGATAACCCAGATGTTGTGCTTCGATGTACGATTTTTCTTTCGAATGTACACCATGCACGAGCTATTGACTACCGTACTGGCAATATATGTTGCCGCAGTGAGGCCATGAAGCGTTACATTGGCACATGTTTGCCGCACGCAGGGCGTTACGTGCAAAGTCGCACAGGAGCCGTTACACAGGTTTCTATATTGCCGCAGTCCTTTTTTGCTATTGCCGCATCACTTTTTTGCTATTGCCGCATCATTTTTTGCTTTTGCCGCATCATTTTTTCTTTTCATCCACATTGAAGGCACAGAAATTCAGTTGCTTGCTATCCAACTGTTACAAACCCGACGGCAAAGGGCGACAACGATATCAATAGAAGACTGTATATTTTAACTATCAGAGTGATCTGTTCACAAAAAGATCATCAAAAGGAAAGTGACATAGGGGAAGAGCGCTTCCTCCAAAAACTACTTTTCACCACGCGGTACACGTGCTTTCACAGTTTTCAGCCTTTTTTTTTGCAGTGCAAACTGCAATGAAAAGATCGCCGCACCCCGCCGGACGCGCGTTACGAACTCAACGAAAATTTGTCGCACTAGCCTGGTCGCGCGTTACGCCGCACCCCCTGCGTTACGCGTTACGCGGCAACATATATTGCCAGTATGGTATTGTGCTATGTACAGTGCATACACCTGTGATGAGCCTTTTTTATTATTTTGCAACTTTTTATTTTTTTCCACCTCTCGCATATGATTCTGGAAGTTGAACTGACGCGAAACATAGATATAAAAAATGATGGCCTAAGTCCCAACTTCGGTACTTACTGGTATCTCTGTTATTATAAGTCCCAACTTTGGTACTTACTGGTATCTGTGCCACCTGTTATGGGAAATCAAACTTGAAATGAATTTTTGCGCACTCGCAAAAATAAGTTAACACAGAAGGCGCATGCGCCGCGCCGGACACTTCACAGTTTGCTTCCTGCTCAGAATTGCATGGCTGACTGGTGACTCTCTTCAAATTCTCTTCTCCCCGCCTACACCCACCCCAGCACGAAGATAACACGTGCATTGGATCGTCATTCCTTACGTGTGGTTTTGCGTCCCAGCCGAAAACGATACCTCGATATCCTTTGGTGGTGAACTCAACAACCTGCCCAACCTTGAATTCAATGTGGGCCGGTCGCGGGGATCGGATTTTTGGCGAGCGAGCATACCAACATGTGTCTGGTACCAGTGATGCGTCCTCCACCGTCAGATCCTGGGCCAGAAACGCCTTGCCCATTGTGTCCTTGTTCAGGGTTGAGTAGTCAATGGTATTGCTGCTCACGAGTCACTTCTATTCCACGTGTGTGCAGCAGGCTCTGAGGTGATCTGCAGCATGGGACAAGGGACATTTGATACAATGTATGTCCATGTACGCAGAAAAAACTAACCCACGAAACAAAAATGAGCTTTTTAGCAGACAGATTGTTGCAAGTGTGATGCAAATATTAAATAATGATAGGTCAAATCACATCGCAATAGCATTTGCCCAACATACACACACACACACACACACACACACACACACACACACACACACACACACACACACACACACACACACACACGGACATACTACGCACACACACACACACACACCATGTACGGTGTACCATGTATACGCCCGTCGCAAGAGAAGACATTGGCATAAAACGGCCAAGACACACACACACTCACACACACACACACGTGCACACACGTGCACACACACACACACACACACACACACACACACACACACACACAGCATGAAAGCATGAAGGAGTATTTTACTGGCTTCAAAACTGCATAGCACGACGGTAGATACATTGTACAGTGCATGGTATTAGATAAACCTTGTTTTGTAACCAACAGCATGTTACATGTTACAAGGCGGAGGGTCTGTGTACATTGTACATGTACATGAATTACATCAGTAACTTCTAACAAAGTACAACAAATCAAAATTAATGCTCAATTCCCTGTGATGACTAATTACTTTGTACGATACAGTACTTAGTCTGACTTCATTCAATACGCTTAGAAACTTTTAGAAAAATGTACACCGAAAAAAAGAAGCCTTCATAGAGTCTGAGCAGCAAAGACGTTTGACACACACGGTCCAGAATCCGCTAGCTATGGGTGCTCACAGCAGAAAATAATGTATCAGCGAGTCAAGTCAGTACTTACCCGAACAAGCTTTAGCACTGCCGCTTCATCACACTGTAACAGCAACTCAGCTCTCCCTGGTAAATTAACCTGTAAGAATCTCGACTCTTTGCATCGTCGTCAGCTAGATATCGAGTGTGGTGTTGGCAGTTGTAAGCTAACCATTTTTTAAACATTCTGACTGAGTACGAGTGGGAACCCACTCGCGCACGCCCTGCACCATTGTACCCGAGTGCCTGTGATTGTGATCGAACCTCTCAATGTGATTTCATTTCACACAATTACAATCACCCGTTTTCTTTGTCAGCTTTCATTTTTCTCTCTCTCCCTCTGACACATTTTTTGAACTCTGCGCGCCACGTGAGGAAGCTTGGCTACGCATCTCGGTTTGCATGACGACGAAGCAGTCACCTAGCTGCGATGGCAACTGACGTCATGTACAGTCAAGCTATGAAATCTACGAAGCAGGCACTCAAGACAAGTATCTCTTGGTCTGGCAAAGCCTATATATAGGCTTTGGAGCTGATGCGCGTAGATTGCCTGTTCCCTGTTACCACGGAAACAACTGCACAAGGCCAAAATGGCGTCCAAGCGATTCCAGGCGATATCAGGCAGTGTTGGCAAAAAAAATTTTGAAGAAGGAAGTTGTAGTTTTGTCAGGTTGAGGTATTCAGTTGGCGGATATTGTGTAAATTGTTCGAGCCTATTTATAGGCTTTGGTTTGAGGATGGAGGTTGGGGCTGCTGAAGCCACTGGGAGCAGTAGTGATGTAGAGTTTGCGCCGGGTGTTGAAGCAGAGAGCGATGATGAGCTGCCGGCGAGTCCACTAGAATCTGTTCCACCTCCTCCAGCAACTAACAACGATGCTACTGGAGCAAGCCGAACAGATAATACTAGTAGACGGGAACATGCAATTGACATTGGATGGAGTGAAACGATGCCATCGAACGACTTGCCTGAGTTCACAGGTACCCCAGGCCTGCGAGTGGAGCTGTCTCCTGAGCAAGTCAGTTCACCGTTGAACCTATTCTTGTTGTACATCACGGACGAAATGCTGACGGTAGCGTGTGCTCAAACAAATTTGTATTTTTACCAACGAGCTGCTGATGTATGCCTTGAGGGGGCTGCTCATGCCAGAGAGTGGTCAAATATCACCCCTGCAGAGCTGAGAGTGTGGCTGGGAATCCTTTTTACCAACTCCTTGCATCCATACCCCAGCATGCCTCTCTATTGGTCCTCTAAGAAGTTGTTTGGCCTTGATGCCGTTAAGAGTGCCATGAGCCTCCGTCGTTTTGAGCAGATTAAGCGATATCTTCACCTGGCAAACACAGCTGCCGAGCCAAAAAGAGGCACACCGCATTTTGACCCCCTGTACAAGGTTCGCCCTTGGCTGGATGGACTGCTGAAGCATTCCCAGGAGCTTTTCTCCCCCAGTAAACAGGTTAGCATGGACGAGATGGATGTGTCCTTCAGTGGGAGATGCGCATACAAATCGCGAATTAAATACAAACGAGCCGGCGATGGATTTTTAATCTACGCACTATGCGATGCTGACACTGGCTACACCTGGTCTTTTCGGTTTACTTTTGACCAACCAGGTGCTGTGGAGGTTGGCCTGAGCAAGACCTTCAATGCCGTGTTCCAGCTGATGAAGCAGCTACCCGGCAAGGGGTTTCACGTTTTTGTCGACAACCTGTACTCCAGTGCTCTCCTTGCTGAGAAACTTCTTGCTTTCGGCCACCTGTACACGTGCACAGCTCGTGCTGATCGCATACCAAACTGTGTCAAGCAAAAGGCGCTAACAGGTCAAGCTGCACGACAGGCTCACGGCACTGTTAAATGGGCATCTAGGCGAAATGTGGTGGCACTTACCTACTATGATGCAAAGCCTGTACCGATGATGACCACTGCTCACCATGACCTCGAGGTGGTCACCTTCACCCGACCTCGTTGTCAGGTAAACCCGGAGACTCATCTTCCGCACACAGTGGATGTGGAGCTGACACGACTCAACGTCATTCATGATTACAACTGCTTCATGGATGGCGTCGATGTCGCTGATCAGCTCCGTGGCTATTACAGTTGCAGTCTCAAATGTATGAAATGGTGGCATGCTATTTTTTACTGGATCGTGGATACTGCTGCCACCAATGCCTACCTCTTACACAAAGAAGGCATGAAGGCACAGGCAGCATCTCCCATGACCCATCTCGAGTTCATGGCCGACCTTGCAGAATCGCTTCTCAGCACACCGCATGGAAAGGAAAGAAGCAGCAGCAGCAGCGGGGCAAAGCGGCGCCGGTCAGCGGACGCCGCCATGGACAAGCCAGAGAGTCGCCTTATTGGTTCTCACATGATCCGGGCAATTCAAGGGAGCAGTGCAAAGAACCCCCAGCGTGATTGCGTGAGGTGCAAAGCCAATGGCAAGCGCTCACGCACCAATTACGAGTGTGGCACATGTAATGTCGGCCTTCACTCTGATTGCTTTGAGGAATGGCACAAGTGATGAGGTTTGCTGCTCAGCTATCCAGCAGTGAAGCATTTGTACATATTATACCTGTAAATAACAGCTGTACATAACATTTTTATCATAAAAAAAACTCTTAAAATACCAACAAAAACCAAAGCCTATATATAGGCTTTGAGCTGCCAGACCAAGAGATAGTACTAGTAGGCTATCACAATGTCATTTTGAAATAATTGTCTCTGGCGATCACTGAGTATCACAGTATCCTCAGTGCTATCGTCATCCAACTATAATATCAGATCCGGGAAATCCGCCAATGTCTTCCATTTTACTCCTGGGGAAGTGATTTCGTGGCACACTACAAGTAGCACCTCGTGGCCGTAGACTACAATTTTAAATTATAGTCAGTTTCAGGCGAATAAGAGATATTTCTCGCAACATATGGTGTGTAGTCCCGGGCTTATTATCCGTGCCAATGGCAAGTGTGTTCGCCAGCAGTCATTTACTGACTGAAGCACCAAGGGTTGCAGTTCGGTTCGAGCAGGATGAAGGCAGAACTTTGAGAGAAATTCGGCGGCAGTTCGGATTATTTGAAGCTGAGCTGCGGGAATTGAATAGTCCTGGTCGTCAAGCGAACCGCACCAATCCCGATTACGCAGTTGAGCGTGGCAAAGAATATGAGCTGGTTGCTGCCACGAAAAATAGAGGCTGGTCAAAAGGTACTACTAGTATTTGCATGTGTGTACATGATATTGTATGCCCCATTTCCTGTAGAAAGTGTAAACAAAATCACCGTACCTTATGTACCATACATTCAAAAGTTCAGTGGTACACGGTGCGACCTTTGACCTTTTCCATGCCAATTGTATAATTATCTCAATGACCACTTAAACTTGCATGGTTGATCATAAAGCCTGATTCATACGTCCTTTCGCGTACGAGATATGCATCGCAGTACCAGTCACTGAGAGAAAGCTGACTTGAGTTCAACTTGTTTGGCTCATCGCACGACCGTCGCGACCGCACTGCAAAGCCGGTTTCTCCTATGCGAAAATAAGTATGAATCAGGCTCAATTCTTTGTATTGTGTGTGTGGGGGGGGGGGGGGGGGGGGTGAGTAAAGTAAATCAACAAATTTTCGCAGGTGAAAAACTTTCGCCGATCTCCAAAAACCACTTCACCGCCACTAAACTTTCGCCGTGGGCGTGCAAGAGTCCAAAAAAGTGATCGATGTCTCGTGTGCGCATGTACTAGTAGTATCAGGAGTCCATACAGTAGACTCGTTCGCCCAAGAACGCGGTTTCAGAGGGCCAGCCTAGCAAAGTTCTTATTTTTCAGCGCCCCAGGCTACGTTCTTATTTCGCGTTCTTAAGCGCTACATGTACCGGTTGTACACTTTACATGCACGTGTAGTATGTAGCGCTGCACTGGGTGATGTTTTCGCGAGGACCCGACAAGAGTTTGTGGTTGCGGACTTGTTTTTCATGTAAAAATGTCGCGTTCTTAAAAATCTTGGAGTTCGTTCTTAAATCCAGGCTGGGGCGTTCTTAGATTTCCAGCCTGGACGTTCTCGGGCGCCATGTTCTTGGGCGTACGAGTCTACTGTAACCCCAGAGTGTGCAATGCGCGATAGGGTCTTGTCACGACTCGTTTCAACATTACGTCATTTTCACGATGTACACTTGGCGCGTAGCTGCGCGTGCAGGCCGCGACATTCGTGACACCGCAACAATGATTGATCGATGCGAATCACCACATTACATCATAAAGATGACGTAATGTTGAAAACAAGTCGTGACAGAGATTTGTGTGGCGTTGCACACTCTGGGGGTTATGGACTCTTGGTAGTATAGCTGTACTGGCAATATATATGGTCGCAGTGAGGCCATGAAGCGTTACATTGGCACATGTTTGCCGCATGCAGGGCGTTACATGCAAAGTCGCACAGGAGCCGTTACACAGGTTTATATATTGCCGCAGTCCTTTTTTTGCTATTGCCGCATCATTTTTTGCCAACTGCAATGAAAAGATCGCCGCACCCCGCCGGACGCGCGTTACGAACGCAACGAAATTTTGTCGCACTAGCCTGGTCGCGCGTTACGCCACACCCCCCTGCGTTACGCGTTACGCGGCAACATATATTGCCAGTACGGTAGTACAAAGGTCCGTGTAGTTTGTAGACCCCTGTGTACTGTACGCATTTTTTACAGAGAGTCCGGCGGCATAAGACTGACCCAAACTGACATTTGGTTCTGGTGACAAATTTTGGCCGGCGATTACAGTCCATTCAGAAAAAGATGGACTTCTAGCTTTTGGCCATAAATGGGTCAAACGTTGAGTTTTTTAGATTTTTTTCTGCAATCCCCTATGGAATCCTCTTCTGTTTCTGAAGTCTATTTCTCCAAAAAGCAAGCCATAGTAAGAATAGGATTTCGGCCAGGTTTTGCCCCAAGAGCACTTAATTGGTAAAATCCATCAAAATCCAGGCCGTTTGACCCTGCCTGCAACAGTGCATTGTACGGTTCGAACCCCAGTTCAGGTACCCTTTTTGGACCCTTTTTCAAATTTCACAGCACTGCACTGTGTACGATAAAATCTTGAAAAATCGCCTAATACGGAAGCTCTCAAGAGCCAGGGCCCATCTTTTTGTTAATGGACTGTAATTTTGGCCGATTAACATCGACCGGAGAAATCAGCGAAATTAAATTGCCAGCGAAAATTTGTTGATTTGCAGTATGTAGCATACTCCTAGACCTTATACACATGATACAGATGTACGAAATCCCGTAAATTCCCGTAGACCCGGTTGGGTGTTGTGTCTGCAGGACCGTATTGTATTTGCTGCTATTCCCACGGCCCAATGTGCCCTAAATGCATTTGACACGAAAACCGTTTTCGGACAAAGATCTAGCTAATCAATAGCCCTATTCAAACATTTCAAAGTGATGAAGCTGGAAAGGCGATTGTCTGCCTTTGATCATTTGGCTAAATTGGTCAAATGCGGATGTATAGCGCACAATGAACATTCAACCGGGCACGTACACACCCACGGGATTTCGTACATCTGTACAGTGTGCATAAGGGTTATTGACCTGGGAGAGGGTACGTCGCCCATTTCCGTGGATCAAGTGCGACTCAAGCCGGGCGCCCTTACCCAAAGGTGTGTGTGTGTGTGTATGCGCATGTATGTGTGTTTGTGTGTGTGTTCTGTGTGTTCTACTTGCAGATACATGCCGTAATGCATCTCAGCTAGTGGTAAGTGTGCACTGTCATGCTGAGTCAATAAGCCCATTGCGCATTGCCAAATATGGAAGGTACTTCGAAGTATGAGTAATGCATGTGAGTACACTGGGATCAGGATTCAGGAATGCACTGTTCAACACACCAGACGACCATGCCCAGGTGGCTGGGTGGGGTGTTTATGGTACAAATTACGTCATTGCGCAATGGGCTTATATTTTTGGACACTCTGAACATCTGACATCAGCAGACTAACAGTAACAGTTACAGATGATGACTTCTGTACTCTACAACTAAGCAGGGTGATGCATAGCTTTATTGTGGCGATGATCATGATAGGCGTCAGCTCATCGGTAAAGCGTGGTGATGATCATGATAGGTGTCAGCTCATCGGTAAAGCGTGATGAAGTGCTCAACACACGCCAATGGACCTGCATATTATCAACCCCGAAAATGGAGAAGACAGTTTGCAAAATTAAAGAATTTCTATTTCTTGTAGTACTATGTGTTTGATACACTTAGGGGCTATCCGGCATTATCGACAATTTTCAAGAAATGAAAAAGTTTAGTTACGACCCTCCCTCTCCCATCCACCCGCCCACCCACCCCCCTGAACGAAAAATAGATTGACTTGACAGCAAGAATGCCTTGATGGCTCACATATCAATACTTTCGAAACGAAACTCCCCTTGACCCACCCACAAACGAAACTTTTTCTCTTCGTGTAAAAGATCGATAATTATGGATGGCCCCTTCCGGTGTGTTGGGTTTCGACTTGTTGTCTATACTACCGGGACCGAGATGTGTTAGATTTCGCTGTACCTCTGTCTCTTGGCACTCTGATTCTCCAGATGCAAGCAATTAATATCCCATCGGATTGCTGGCAGCGGCCAGTGGAGGTAGTCAATAACTCAGTCAGTGTGCTCATGCTGCTAGTGTTTCGATTGTTTCGACTGGTGATTGCATCGTGGATGTTTACGCTGGGACTCGCCTCCACTGGGTTTACATTACCTGTGCAGGTACGCCGTGATGTGTGCTGCTGGTGCTGTGTGCTGCCGTGTGCTGTGTGCTGTGTGCAGGTACGCCGTGCTGTGTGCTGTGTGCAGGTACGCCGTGCTGTGTGCTGCCGTGTGCTGCTGTGTGCTGCTGCTAGTGCTGCTGCTGCTGGTGCTGTGTGCTACTGCTGTGTACTGCTGTGGACTGTGTACTATGTGTTGCTGTGTGTAGCTACTGTCACTAGTGTGCTGTGTACTGCTGTGTGCTATGTCACTAGTATAGTGTGCTGTGTACTGCTATGTGCTATCAGGTCTCAGTCAGTGCACCGTGTAACTAACTGCTGCTGCTGTTTCTGTTTCTGTTATTCTTTATTCTCACAATGTTGTTGTTGTTGTTGTTGTTGTTGTTGTTGTTGTTGTTGTTGTTGTTGTTGCTGTTGCTGTTGCTGTTGAAGTTGTTGATGGTTGCTTATTGCTGTTGATGGTCTCTTCATGACTGTATCTTTGCGTTCTATGTCATTTCTGCTTGAAACATGTTTGTTGTGTTGTCTACCTGATTGGTTTTACTGTGTGTACATGTGTGTATGTGTGTGTATATGTGTATGTGTGTGTATATGTGTATGTGTGTGTTGCATGCAGGGTTTGTACCATTTGTTCAGCATGGCGTTGCGTGTCCTTGCTCCGGAGTACTCAGCCGACCTTCCACCTCTACGGCACACCCCGCAGTTCATGTTCATCTCCTTCAGCTGCTTCTTGGCACTGATTGGCTCGTCGTTTGTGTTTATGATGCTGTTGATGTCCCTAGTCTCTCAGGCGTTCATTTGCGTGCTGGAGTTACTAGTCCGCTCCATGGCCAGCCTGACGTGGGTCATTGCCGTGTGTCTCGGTGGTAGTGGCTTCAGTGCCCGCAAGCGCATTGACCTGCTCTTCTTCCTGGTCAGCCTGCCATGGCTCAACGGCGTGGTATTCATGAGCGCCGAGTTCATGTCCCGCCTAACCTACCTTCTCGCGACCTACTTCTTGATGCTCAGTCGACACAAGCTGGCTACGCTAGTGTCTCTGCGACCGGCTGGCTCCCCGGCTCACAGACCTGCTCTCATACAGTATGTGTTGGTGTGGGCTTTCCCAGCAGTGTGTCTCTTAGTTCATCATTACCATGGGAGAATGAGTGCGCTCTATGCATGCTGGTCATTGCTTGGGCTCTCATTGCTCGTCCCCTTCCTCATAGACCGTGAGTCATGGAATCCGCTGGGCTCATAACTATTGCCCATCACACTAAAGTGTGTTTGATTGGGAATTTGCTTGATGGGACATCTACATGTATGTGTGTGTGTGTGTGTGTGTGTGTGTGTGTGTGTGTGTGTGTGTGTGTGTGTGTGTGTGTGTGTGTGTGTGTGTTTGTATGTGCATTTCAAGTAGGAAAGTGTGTGTGTGTATGTGAATTTGTGTGTAGTTTTGTAGCTCCAAGACTTTTCTGCTAGTGTCTTGCCGGCTGTGCTGTACTTCAAGTTTCTTGGTCCACGGCTTAATATCTTAGCTTGTCCTCCTGGCCCACAGCTTGCTGGTAGCGTAGCCTTTAGCCTTCTGATCGCCTTTTTTAAAATCTCAAGCTGCCGGTGCGGTGTTATTTGTTTCTTCTTTTATATCCAGCCAGGGTTCTTATCATTGGTTTTAGTTTGATCCTCAACACAAGTCCTACATTCTGCTCATTTCAGAAAGAAGTCGCTGCTTCAGCATTATACCTAACCAGCATGCTCATATCCCGAAAGAAACTCTTCAAACACAACAATTCTTCTCATCTCCTAACATATTTTACCTTGCCTCCTGATCCTGGACGCTATTCAAAATTTATACTGAAAAAACGTTTTTTAAATGTTTTTGTTCTGACACTAGTGGTGTGGTGTCCTGCTGTACTATGATTAACTAACTCTTACCGAGCTGAGCGAGAACTGTACAGCATGTATTTGCCTGGATCACCTTTCTGCGTCTGGCATCATCCTATTAGGCTTTTCTTTGATTTTATCTTAAATTAATCTGACTTAAAATATCAGTGTGAGAGCTAGTACAAGTTTTATGTACTCAGGAACATGTTGAACTGTGTCCGTTGCCGAGGGAAGTCGGGATGGGGCTGCTAACACCCGGAGTAACGGAATACTTACCATACAGGCAGGCAGCACAGCGGTGGGTTGGTTTGTAAGGCCATGATTGAGATACGAGAGGTGCCTGGTGCAAGCCCTTCCTGAGATCGAGCCGTTTTCCTGTGCTGGTTTGCCATGGTAATGGTTTGGTGGAGTACCCACAGTACGGCCCCCAGGCTTCCTCAGGCCAGGAAATGTAGTGTCTGTAGTCTGTGGATGCCGGGATCGTGCGGATGGATATGCGATGCTATAGCATTGGCAATGGCCAGCAAGCGGCAATACGGTCGATGGCGGTGGCGGTGCCTACGCAATCATTGTCGGGCTAACCCGATGCATTCCCCTCAGCCTGCACACTGCACACTGCACAGCCACCTAAACTACAACATACATGTAAGTAGGTACACACTAACATGTATGTGTAACCACTTTAAAAAGTTTGCTCGGACTCCTGCGACCAGGCTGCACACAAGGACACCAGTACTACAAATAGACAATGGACTGACTAATTATTCACTTGTCCTGTCTTTATAAATAACATGTTATTGCATATGTTCTTGGTTTAGTTTTTGGCCTTTTTCGTGCTTTGGAGTTGATAACATTTTCCTCACTATCGAATAAGACCTGCAGGCTGCTGCCGCTCTCCGTTCTCAAAAAAACAAAAAAACAAAAAACAAATATTACTAGCAGATCACGATGTGACCGGTACCAAGTACGGTCAGTTGCTCAGTAGATCGCTGCAGACACCTCGCTCAGGAAATGTAAGGGGAAGCAAGAATGGTGGCCGCGGATAGCTGCCAGCTGTGGCTACTGAGTACCTTCCTCCAAGTATGATATTCTCCACGCTCCTACTACTGAAGCATAAACTGAATAACACTCTAGTCTAGTTCAACTTCCCAGCGAACCCCATCACGCTCCTACCAGCGAGTGCTGTATAATTATAGTGTATTACTACAGACAGTGTACAGTCATCAGTGTACATGTACATGTACGTACCGCAATACTAGTAGTTGCCAATACTCCTCCCTAGCCTGCTCGGCCATAGGACATGACTGAAAGAATCCGGGACATTATCATCAGGCACTTCTCACTTCCAGTCCGCACTCCCAACTTCCTATCCTTCCGTGGACTGCCATCCTGTCAACGACTACCGGTACGTAGAGGACTGAGACTTGAGTATGAGAGGAAGCCGGTCTGATGGTGAACCAAGGAATAGTAAAGTACACTTCCCGTATGTCACGTGATCGTCGCCTTGGAGTTGACCAATGACAGATCAAATGGCGCGGGCTGGAAAGCGCGGTCCTGCCTGCTCAAAGCCTGCCAAAGGCAAAGGTGATGGAACTGGATCCACTGCCCGTCGTCAAGTGACGACGGGCAGGAACGGATTCCACTGCCCGTCGTCAAGTGACGACGGGCAGGAACGGATTCCACTGCCCGTCGTCAAGTGACGACGGGCAGGAACGGATTCTACTGCCCGTCGTCACTTGACGACGGGCAGGAACGGATTCCACTGCCCGTCGTCAATTGACGACGGGCAGTAGCCACTGGACTCGACTCTCTACTTCATGCCCATGAATCATGGTCTTTCATTGGTTACTTGCCGCATGTTTCATAAAATACAAAGCACCGGATTGCGCGGAAAGAGCGACTAAGTGGAAAACCAACAAGATCAAAAAAAGAGTTGACTAATAAATAACTAAAGCAGAAGAGCGACTGTTTGCAACCACAACTGTCATCATGGCGCTCCAACATTTGATCTGGAACTGGGAGAAAAGAAGCCCCTTTGTTGAACGATATTGGCGATGTGAATGAGCTCCTCCGAAAAGTTGAGGAAGAAACTGAAACTTTTATTGCCGAGTCGCTCGCGAAGGAGATCTTGGACGAGCCGGATGAGCCTCAACCAAAGCGCGCAATGCTCAGCAACCTGCAGGATCCACGCAATTTGCCGAGGTTTCCGATCAAGACGTGGGAAAAATCCGTAGGAATACATAGAACAGCCAGAATGCCCAATGCCCAGTCGACAATGTCAATGGCACCACGAGAAAAAAAGCACTATGGACTACTACGAAAAACTGTAGCAGAAAACAATCACAAACCACAATGCAGGTGTGTCTGTCATGTACATGTACGTATCTCTTTATTTGGCTTGGGTGCACACGGGAAACACGTTCCAGTCACTCATACTCGGCCAGTACCGCTGTTCATCCAGCCCTTGCCGCTATCGCGGTGCGGGCTGGATTCCGCGGTACTGCCCTCGTACTCGTGCAGGAACCTGTACTTCTCCCTGGTACCATGGTCTAACCGCCACTACTCGCCACTAGACTATCACCATGATCACAGCCAGGCTACCCTATAACTATAATATAACATACCAAGAGTACCCCAATTATCGCCGAAGTCGCACCAACCTCTTCTTCACATTGTTGTCCCCGGCGCGGGCTTGCGACTTAGATGGTTTGGAGGCAACAACGTTGTGAATGGTCAACGGTCGGGTCCTCAGCGTTTGTTCAGCACCTCCATGAGCGACACTGACTCACGCTGCTATCTGGTGTTCACGAGGTGTTTGTGGCGCTGGAAACGGAGCGTCTCTGTAAGCTTGTATCCCTGGTGATGTGTGTGACTGGTTTGTTGGTTGGTTGGTTGGTTTTTATTTCACTTCGCACATTCAAACGGGATGACGACCCAATAACTTGAATGACGGCGAAGGCTTAGCCTAGAAGTGACTGGAGAGCACTATACACTATAAGTGGTGCTCTAGTTTAGACACAATCTTCCTCAGCCTACTCAAGCTCAACTGATGAGGGGTGAATTCCCCGAAACACTGTGAGCACTGAGCAGGGAGTGGTGCTTTCTTGCAGGTTTGCCGGGTGGAAGGTTCGATGGACTTCTCGTGTGCCCTGGATGGCAGTCGTGAGTCAGTCAAAATTAATGAGAATTCAAGTCGGCAGGAATAGCGCAAGCCCCCACTGTGACGTAGGGAGCAGCACACAATACAACTAGTACTAGTCTTCTTTCGTTGAGCAGCGCGGATTTCATTCTGCAACTACAGTATCTAGAGTCCAGACGGCACCAGGTTACCATGCAGCGATGCAGCGGTGCAGTCTGCTGTACAGTCTGCTGTGTACGCTGCTGCGCAGTCTGCTGTGCAGTCTGCTGTGCAAATCTCCTAGAAGAAGGTACTACACAGTCATGTACATGTACGTTTGATGTGCTTGTCGGGCTGCTGAATGTTGTTCACACCGGAGATTGAGAAGAGACCGCAGAGTGGTAACCGCAGAGTGGAAACCGCAGAGCGGCAAGTCAGGACGAGGTTGGACTATGGCCAGTCAGCTGACTATACATGTAGGTTGGAGGTTGGACTACAGTACAGCCAGTAGTGCAGTGGCGATTACTTCGTATCGTATCGGTTATGCATGCACTCAGTGATGGGATGGGATTGGGGAGGGCGAGGCGAGGAAGTAATCGATTGCTAGCGGCAGCAGTCCTTAGGTTACACAGCGCCTAATCTCTGCCTATGATGATTATCGCTGATTTCTCTACATGTAAATTCGGGGCATTTTAGCGTAACGATCGGGTACGTCGCTTACCGGCCGAGCACTGATCTCCTGTACCGGTTGTATGAAGCTCAGCTGATCAGCTGATCATATCGTTGGACATGATGCCCCAACTCACGCACCCACTCATTCCTTTTACTGTCTTTCACTCGTAATAGTCGTATACACTACTATACAGCTGTCTGCTGTTGAAAAGACACTTTAATACAAATACACAATCCTGTAAAGCAAGTAGTGCCATTGTTTGCTGTTCTGCCTGGCGGCCCTGGTCCGTCGTCACGATACGTCAGGTTAGTGGTTTTATCCATCTGCTGTACATCTACATGTACATGTACGCCAATGAGTCCACAAAGGACGAACCAGTTATGTCCACAGACTAAGTATCCATCTACATCTACATCTACATTGTATACCTATCTTTACCATTTCCACGTAGATCTACAGTGTACATGTACATGTGTATGTGCTAACTTGTCTTGGGCCAGTTTGTGGGGGAGGTCGATGTGCACTCATGCTGCTGACATCCCTGCTTTGGTAACTACATGTACATGATTGTACTTCCTACAACAGTACAAGGCTACATGAAACTCCGTGTTGTCGCAGTCCCACTGACTGTCTGTCATATTTCCGAGCTTAGCTCAGCTGCTCATGACTTGAGTCGTGTGCTGTTCAGTCTTAGTAACCTTAGTTCACTACAGGGCCAGGCACCGTACATGATTGTATGATTTGAAGAACACCCTATGGCCTAGGGCCTAGCTATTCAGAAAATACGGAAGAGGTAATAGTTACTATCAGGGACGACTTTTTAAATAACCTGGACTCGGATGGAGAGCCAAGGATAGTATATTTTATAGTAAAGAAAAAAGGACCAAGAAATTACAAGTTACGCTATATCTTAATGTCCAATAACACCACCAGTTACTAAACAATCAGCTCATGCGATAACATTGCACGACCGTGACTGACCGACGGTACTGACGTTCTACAACTAACTGGCGAACAGCTCTAGCACATCTTGGATGCGCACTCCAACAGCCTTCCGACTAGGAAGGTTCTAAGTTAGTTATAAATAACATGAGGAGGGGAAGGTGCGCGCAACCAAGACAAGCACGAGCTGAAGGACGCCAACGTCCTTCACAGCTGAGACTTTCAGCTCGTGCTTGTCTTGGTTGCGCGCACCTTCCCCTCCTCATGTTATTTATACTAACTTAGAACCTTCCAAGTAATAGTTGGAAGGCTGTTGGAGTGCGCATCCAAGTTGTGTTAGAGCTGTTAGCCACTCAGTTGTCTGAGAACGTCAGAACCGTGGGTCAGCGTCGTGCAATGATTATGTTATCGCATGAGTAACTGGTGGTGTTAGTGGGCATTATACCGTATAACGTAACTATGTTACTTGTAGTTTCTTGGTCCTTATTTCTTCACTGTAAATGTAACTAATTATTACTTATTGTAAGTACATGACGTATAATATTAGTGACGTCTCACACAGACGCACACCCCTTTTACAGGGAGGAATAGGGGAATACCCGTTGCTGTTCCGTTCGTGACAGCCGCAATCATGATATCAGGTGACGAAAGAGGGGGCTTGGCACAAGTAACTAGTTACAACTGTTAGTGTTACGATCTCCGATACTCTTGCAAGGAAACTGGGGACGAGGGGTGCATCATATCAGTGGAACTCACTGGAACAGCAACTGCCAACAGCAACTGCATGCACCCTGCCATGCCGCCCGCGTGCGTGACACCAAACGTCACCTCATCATGTGCGCACGTGCCGGCACTGCTGTCAGTGTTGTCTTTGTACTTGTGTGTGCTCAGCTGTACACGTCGTAATACAAAAGAAACTACGGTTAAACTTAAAGTTTTTAGACAGTGTACTGTGTACTGTGTAGCTTTGCGTAATGCATGCAGCACAATATCAATGTTGAATGTAGTTAGCTGCCAGCTCGGGGACCGACAAAATACTAGACCGCTAGAACGCCAAAAACTCCGCAACAGACTGTAATAGTGTTAGGATAGGAATAACAAGACCACATAAACATTTTAAAACAAGGACACATAAGTAACAAACTACTATAGCAGCGTTTTCTGGGCATACTCTGTACTAACATTCCCGGTTTTCTGGGCATACACTGTACTTGAAGTACTAACATTCCCGGATCCTCTCTTCCTGGTGGTTGCGATACTGTTTACGCCGTTACGCTCCAGTGGTGCAGTCAATGAGGCAAGTAAGAGTTAGCATTGTGTTACACACGGCATCCTGATTTCACGGTCGGTGATTACATTGTAATGTCAACAGTAGTGCTCACAGAGTCATCGCTGATTATCGGTATAACAACCGCCAGCGGACAGCACATAATCCGTCTGGAACCACGAAATGGTCAATTACGGTACATGTGCATGCACTAACTACTACTAGCTTGGCGGTTGAGTCAGCATATGAGCAGGCGTGCCTGACACAGATACTACTAGTACCTGATGGCCACCATTGCAATACACACTGCTGGTAACAGTGGCCAGAGCCACTTCCGCTCCACGCATCAATGCATCCTTCAGAATTTTGGCCCCGATTCCAATGTTCACTTGAAATTGTCTTGGAACATACTTGTAGACTCCTAGCACTAAACGAACAAGACCAATGAACGAACAGGAACATAGGATATGCTTGAGTACATGTACCAGGAAAGACTCACGAGACACCAACGAAGATCTGAACTAAGGTCGAACTACATGACTTGTACTACTACTACTAGTACTAGCTAACACAGTAACAGAGAAATACATGCAAGTAATTTAGTTGTGCATGCTACCAAGACTCCAAGACTCAAGAGTATAACCCCTTGGCCTTGATGCTACGGTGAGGAGGGAGGCTCCAATGGCTTGAAAGCTTCTCAAGACCGTCGGTGAAGCGGATCCAGCTATCGGCATGAACTTACATTGTACTGACTGGACATGTATTACGCCACCACTTGTAGAACTTTCATCCATCGCCTTTCTTTCTTTTTAACCATCAAGACCAAACCACTTCGTGGTACACTTATGAAGCTACATTGTACAGCTTGGAAGTGTAAAGAGGCACTCAGAAGTCTATTACATTATCTATATTATCAGTGAAGAGCTTCAAAACGTGGCCATCATTTAGTAGACATTACCTTCTCAACGAGTCGACTAACACTATAACTAGTTTTCGTGCAGCTTTATTCACAAAGCCAATTGTCACGGTGAAGGTAGTACAGGAAGGCTGAATAGAGGCAAGGCGAATGAAATGACCAAACCGGATACATCTACAGCACTAGTCTCGAAGGATGGATTGAGGCTGGTTGCATATGGTTGAAGTGAAGTGTGATCATTACTAGCAAGGGTCGGGCCCGTCAGTGCCCATCACCCATCTAGCGGCGGCCAAAACTAAATGTAAATATTCACTACTGTTGACTATGACATTGCGTAGTTGACCTTCCCCGTTTGTGTCTTTCCCTCAAACCAGTGAATACTGTAGTTGCGCTTGAGGATAATGCAAAGTTAGTTCATTTTCGCAGCAGCTTTCTTGGCACGGTTGCGCTCCTGACGAACTTGGCGTTACTTTTGAACTCAAATTGAAGCCTACTGCTGAGTACTGGGCGATGCACTGATCCAAATCATCCGGGCAACTGGCCTGGGGCTTTTTCTTGGCTTCAAAGAACAATATTCTTGATTGGTCTACTTGCTTACGTGTACATGAATGTACTATATCATCCTGGTCCATCTAGTGCTGGAGATTGTCAATCTGTTTACAAAAAGTGGTTTAGTCCTCTGTCCTCTGTCTCTCTGCGACAGTGACTTGTTAGCGCCATGCATCCCAGCCAGGGAGTTGGCTAGCTGGAGTCCAGGATTAGATTCTCGAGTGAGTTCCGGCGAGGCGGTCCTGCCAAGTACTGCCAGTTATGGGACCGCAGATCTCACAAACTGTGTGTAAAGAGACCGTCAAGTCTGGAAAAGACAACGTTTACAAGTCTTTACACGCTTGATAGTAATAATGCCGAATAATGCCGGTGGGTTCACGGGCGCACCGAATCGCCCGAAACCGCCCAGCACAACAACCTTTTGCACATTTACAACGAGTCTACCTGGTCTACCAGTGGATCTACATGTATGAGACAAGCACAGTCACGTCAAATGGCTTATTCCGAAATCCGAATATTCGTTATCTAGGTTCGAGGATTCTCCGAAGGCGAAGAAAGCTTCGTTTGCACGAGTAGATGACTCATTGACTGTCTGTTTGTTGCTGCTGCTTCGATCCTTGCGAGATTCCTCATTCGATCGTGGACTCATGCCGTCTACGTGTTGCGTCTTTCTGTACCGGGGAAAGGTCTCGACTACCGGCTACCACCATCACGGAAACACGCTCTCCATATCTGTCCAAGTGTTCAGTCTTTATCCACCTCACTGATGATCGCGAATCAATCCCGGATGTCTTGACGCGCAATCCACTGGAAAACTGGAGCCCATGAGCTAGATGTGTGGGGGGGGGGGGGCAGCGACTAAAATACTGTTACTGTTAGTGTTAGTGGCGCAGACTCCGAGGCAGTCTTCATGATACAATGTAATGCTTCACTGGCAAGACAGTACTTGCCAAAACTGCCAAGAGGTCATGCATATTAGGCGACATGGTTAGACTAATATAATATATTATGTAGTAATAGTTGACGTCACAGTGTTGCATAATTATTATTGGTGGAGCCGAATGCCAGTGATGGCGCCAGTACAAAGTCGGCACAAGAAAGAGAAAAAAATGATTGTCGAACATGTTAGGGCCTAGTTTCCTCTGTTTTCTGCCAGCAATTGTCAAATACGTGTGGAATACAGTGTGGAATACAGCGGTGTACATGTTGTGAGTACATGTACACTGTACACTGTACACCTATTGGCAGTATTGGCACTTAGTGACTAGCTAGGTTAGTAAGTACCTGGGACTTTAGAAAGCGGATGCTTGACAGTCACACGGGGCTTCATGGGGGATATTGGGTCAGAGTACCTGAGCTGTACGTCCTAGAATAGCAGACCATATCGTTATTACTGTGTCCATATTGGTTACAAACTCTTACTCTTTACTGAGTCAGTCTTTTTACCTTGATTATGTACTAGTCATGGTGACTGTAATTGTCAGCTGACCAGTGCATGCACTATGCAGGCACTATGCATGCACTATGCATGCACTATGCTGCATGCAGGCCCGGATTGAGGAGGCAGGAGACAATGGTGTAACATTTTATTCTTATGGCATGACCGTGTGGCGCCTCGTATGCCCAACTCTCATCAGGAAGACGCAATACCTAATCTTTCCTTGGCCTTGGCCTGGACTATACTAATGCTACGCGAATACCCTGAAACTTGAAAAGGTGAAACTCGAAATAAAAGCCATTGTCATTGTGCTTGCGCTACTTGTACACAGCGGTTAAAATGGGGGTGCGTCGATGCAGTGTGTGAACTCACTGACACCATGGACACTGGTCTTGCGTTGGATTGCGTGAACCAAGCCTGCAGACGCCATGCCCCAGTCACTGCCACTTCACTTAGTTTAGTCTTTAGTGCATGCATGCAGTTCAGCTGTAGATCTACGGTTCACTGCGGTGACTACGTAATCTTGGTGTTGGCACCGCTCCAGCTTGACTCAGCTAGCCCCCGATGCCAGAGCTCGCTCCTGCGCTAAAGTCACAGACAAGTAAAATCAACAACAGCACAGCTCGAGAAGTACATCATGATATCATGTATGTGCTTACGCGAAATTCGCGCCACTGCTGGGCACGTTTGCTCCGATCTAACAGCTGATTGTGACGGCTACACGAGAAGTGTGTTGAGCTCTGCTCGTGGACTCTTGCCAGAAGCCGCTTCACTGCACAGACGGGCAGTCAACGTGGGTACAGACTCAGTACAACTGGGACTGGCCCTAGGCCCTGTCACCAAATCACTGCCAGTGCCAAGCCTTTGCCTGCCCGGGATAAACACCCGAAGTGCTGAACTGTGAACACAGAACAGGCAGCGCGCCTGAGTCATACATAAGACTGATTGCACGGAAGATTTTTCTCTAGATCCGATCTTTGCGACAGCACTGCGTTTGCATCGAGCCCATGGCACCTGGCTAATACTACTATTATCTAAGAGACAACTCGGCAAGAGGAATATTGTGCTTGATGCTTGATATTGGCCTGCACAAGGATCCATTTCTCAATGCCATTACGGCATTACTTATTAGCCCTAGCGTGCTGACTGGTGGAAGCTGTCAAGAATAAATCTTCAGCTCAGACCAACGACGATTTGCTCTCTCTCGACACAATGGTGAAAACGTTCAGAGCCTACCTGGACGCTCAGTCTCCCACTGGACGTCGCTACAGCTGCGTGCATTGCAGAGCGCACCTAGCCAGACACGAGGACTTGATCTCCAAGGTCAGCTCCCCTTTTCGATCAGCTGTTCTATTCACTGGCCTCTGAGCTGTCTGAGGATTATCGACTATCGTGCACACGAGATGTGACTCGATCGAGTCTTCAGCTGATTTCCAATGACACCTCCACTGTAGTCGAAACGAGCGTGTTTTCTGTTTTGTGTGTTCTTTGCCTGGCCTACAGTCCTTCCAGGGCAGTCAGGGCAAAGCCTATCTCTTCCGATCGGTGTAAGTGGGGCGATTGTAATTTCCATTCTGTCAATACGGTGTGGCACTGGTGTCCCGTCACACTCGCTCAGTGCAGTGCTGTCGGTCGATTGGGCGAGTGTACTGCATGCATGTGCCTGTACATGCTGTCAACCGTCCAAAATTTAGTTTTCTGCGATTGTTGCGATCCCTGGACTGCTGCCGAGTGTTACGGGCTGTGGTCAACATCGCTGATGACTCTTGTGTTTGTATACGATCATGTAATTGTTGCTCGTTGTAGGGTGAACATTTCCACTGGCCCGATCGAGGAGCGTACACTGCTCACAGGGAAGCATCACGTCGCTGATATCCGCTGCTGCAACTGTAGAGAAGTTCTAGGCTGGAAATACGTAAGTAGTAGTTAGTTATACAATAGTCTCATTCCTAGCCTAGGCCTAACGTACATGTGCCTGACCTAGTTTAGTAGTTAGGCTAGTGTCGGCGGATCCATGTGTTCATTGACATTCTGTAACTGCGATTGTACCATGCTGGTAGTCGGGCATCGGTAGAGACTACACGTCTCTGACTTGGAGTGGTGGACACTTCTCCGCGCTAAAAAAGAAACAATACGTCTTGCCGTGTTGTGTGCCAAGTGTTGACTATTGCCAGTATTGGTCCTCTCGTCGCCACACGCACACTTTTCTGTACGACTCCACGAGCTGGCGAAACCATCCAGCAGTTGTTGTTGTTTTAGTGCACGTGTCGTGTGTATCAGCTGAGTCGTGTTAGGGTGCTTGTACCGTGATGTACTTCTGACAGGACCACGGTCTGTTGCAATGTTCAGTGCCTTTTGTCGAGAGGTGATCGGCGGAGCAGAACACCTAGGTTTGTAAACTAGTGATGGATGTCACACATTGGGAACACTTTCTCTTTAGACTTAGTCACTACTAGTATTATCATGATTATAGATACCCATGATTATAGATAGTCATCGCAGACTTACTTACAATACACTATCATGGTAGTCGAATCTGACAATTTCGTATTCAGGCGCCCCTAACTAACTGTTACTTCAGAGACCTGTTGAGCCTGGTTTGTTATCGTGTTGTCTGGGCCCCCGGCGGTACGTCAAGAGTAATTGCTTGTTTTCTGTGCGTCGTGTGATGAATGGACTGTGGTCGGGATCGAGCCGCAAAGCCACCGGGTAAAATAACGTTTGATGAGCACCAACTGGATTTGTATTGGGGAAGGAATTGATTTGCATCTGATTTGGGTCCACGACGGAACGCAAGAGTTGTGTTCAATAGCCTCGAGTCGTGAGTCCAAGTAAAAAGTAACAATGAATCATGAGCGATGACTTCCGATCAAGTTAGTTGAGATTAGGTTCTGTTTTGCGTTGCTCGCAGGTGGACTCATCTTCGAGTCCTGACGGGAACACGTGCCTTGCTCTCCTGCCTTTTGGGCCTTGGCTTGTTGGCTTGTTGTAGATCTACATGACATTGCACTACATAGTCATTGTAGCGCGCCACTGGCCGCTGCGATAGGTTGACGGATCGTCAGTGGTAGTAGTGCGGGAGTGTAAGGGTTTGGTGTCCGACGTCGAGAAGAGCGCCAGCAGGGCAGTGCAACCGCCAGCTGCAAGGTCGCGCGTTGCTCTGATCTGCCAACAGTATCGCTGGGAGTGGAGAGTCTGGGCTGGGACGCCGGTGTAATGTGCTATTGTACACAATACTGTCAATAGTGCAGAGTATCATGTTCCGTGTTCTAGATTGCAGGTGAGTGAGTGCTTGGGTGCTTCACTTCTTCACTTGTTCTGGCTGGCTGATGCTGCCAGCCACTGAACCAGTGTCAACCACAATCTTCCCTGCTGGCAGAATGAGCTCATCATGTAGCTGTTGCAGACCTTTGTATCTGGGCATGGCTCAGTGGCAGCAGGCTGTGCAGAGTCACTGAGTGTGCTGGTCCACGAGTGCCTGGGCAGGATATGTTTTGTACATGTCCTGTAGTTTGTAGAACAGAAGTGTGCTCAAGTCAAGATGGGCTAGATTACCTTTTATTTGGGAATTCAACTTCACAATTGCAGCCAATGGAACACTTCCTCAGCCACCATACCTGTTAGGAAGTGTACTATTTATGTTGTGTCTGAAACCAAAAATACAAAACAAAGTCACTGGGAGGACATGGAGGGCAGACCACGTCGCTGTCAGTGTATCAGTCCTATCAGTGTATCAGTGTGTAGACCATCCCTTGGACGCTTGTCTACAGTACAGTGCTAAATGACAGACTGCCTTTGGCACTGCCCTGATAGCCAGGGTAAACTGTAGTGAACAACTGTGGCTAGACCACATGCCATTTTACTATGAATTCCAGCATTGAGTAGACAGCAGGTCTGTGGCCAAACCGTAGGCATAGGGCAGGAACATAGTGCTGTAGTGTGCACAATACAAGCCAGATGTGTCAGTATGGCTGGTGACGGTCTGCCCTGTTTCGCCCTGCAGTGTGCCTTCAATTTAGCTTCAAACTGAGTAATTTGATTGTAAGTTGAGAATACACTGAGCCAGGATTAGGCCATAGGGCGGCTCTTTCCTGTGCCTGAGCCATCTGCTAGTTCTCACTCACAGTCCAAGTGATCATCATGCATGGGACACTGTCCCAAATTACCCACTTGCTAACGGTTAACGGGTATTCTGTGACAGAGCCATTACTAATCACAACACAGTCTTGGGCCATGGCAGTGATTAGTGTGCTGCAAGAGCCGTGTAGATAAGATATGCTGTATTGTGAATTTGTGATGGTAAGGTGGGATGGGTGAATTGCATAATCATCTCCAGTCCAGCTGAAGTCATGCTGAGTAATAAACTGTTCTGCTCATTCCAGTAGTTGCACAATAAGTCATGAGAGGAGTTGAGCAACTCCTGAGAATCAATTAAGTTCAGCTGCACTGTCTTGTTGGGTTAGCTACTAGCTGTCACAGAGTTGTGAAATCAGTCAACAGACATGGGTTCAGAGCTGAGTGTGGAGTGGTAGCGGTTGAGAAGCGTCAGCTAGTCTTGGCACTGTCATTATGGTGATGTGTTGGTTTGGCATAATCATAATGATCATTGGTCCAATGGAGCCCAGTGTGGTGTTGCTGTCATAGGTTTGTGTGCAGTTTGGGGAACAGCTATCAATGAACATAAAGCTGCGGCGGCTGTACTGTGTACATTGTACTGCAGCAGCCTGAGTACATGTACTAGTCAGCACATGCACACATACTACTACTAGCACCTGAGCAGCCTTGACAAGTTGAAATGCTGCCAGACCAAGCTGTCCAGATTTCACGTGGGCCAATAGTTGATACAGCAACCGCTGGCCCCAATATCACCTCACTACACTGACAGACAGTCATGACAATAACAAGCACCATTATCACTGTGAGCAGTCAACTGACCAGCACATGCTGGCTTAGCAACCGTCCTGTCGTTCTGGCTAAGAGTTATCAGGCTCTGGAAAGGTGTGCAGTGGTGGTAGTCGTCATGATGGCAGACTCCTGTAAACATGCTGTGTACGACGTGCATGGGACATGCAGAGTCCAAACGTCATGGCTTGACGCTGGTGACTCTGAGTGTCGACCATTCTCCCACTACTCGCCAGTTTTTGGTTGTGCCAGCTTCTGCCTGGCTGAGGTGCTACTTTGCCAGAGGCAAAGCTGTGTTGGCGCAGGTCAATGTCATGTGTTTCCATCCACATGATGTTATCAGGATGAGCATGTCTGGAGCAGTCTTGTCAATACGCTCACCGTACCTGTGGAGATAATGTCATGTGCAGTCATTGCATGTAGTACAGTCAGATAATACTAATGTACCAATGTTGGAGCTTGGTGTGAATGCTGTCAGATAGAACAGTTGCTATGCTACAATCACCATTGACACAGTTCTAGAAATTCTCTAACTCCTCTTCTCTGTTCTCTCACTCGCTCTCCATCCCTGTGTTGCGTTCCTTCAGGAGCTTGCATTTGAGAACACTCAGAAGTATAAGGAAGGCAAGTTCATCATAGAGCTTGCACACATGGTCAAAGACAATGGATGGTAGTGCTGCACAATTGCTTTCTAACCGTGTCATGGCCATCACTGTTTCCACCACGAGGAACTCGACCACTCACCCGTATCCGGAATATCAAACTGATCATCGCCACGTGTCATCTACATACGCCATGCTAACACTGCATTCTTGTGTCAAGACATTGTGAAGATACACCAAAGCAAAGAATGTAATATCCCCTACTGCTCAGTCCAGTTTATAACTTGATCTCGAAATTTGTACAAATGCTCTTCTTGAGTTACGCTGCATCTGACACCCAGCGATAGCTATGCCAAGTAGTGTACTGCTTACGACGACTCAACTTTGCGTGTTGTGTTAGCACCTGTAGCATCTAACATAGCAATACCCAACCCTGTAGAACTGCTGCTGCTGCTGTTGCCTCTTTGGTGGACTTTGCTGCCGGAGTGTTGCAGCGGCGTGTTGCAACGGGAAGGAAGCTGAAAGAGTCATAGCATACACATAATGTGCGCCACAACCTTGTAAGCTGTCTTGCTTAGTGTTCTTGATTCTGCAGTGATTATGTCCTCACCTCATCACCCTCACTTGCCAATCACCCAGCATCATTCATGTACATACGCTGATGCTAACACACCTGCTCTTGAACTATCTTGCTCTTTTCTGTCTGTTTCTTGATCAATCTATCTCAAAGTCGTCTTTGTCAACACTGAACAGTAACATTTGATTTTCAATCTAACTCCTATACTATAACCATCAAGATTAATTATAACAGTTTATGCTCCAGACCTCCTGTGTTGTGATTGCGCTCACTTGCTAACCAACAACTCGATAAGCCACTGATCTATCATGGAACAAGCCAATATTGAATGTTCACGGTGTCTACCACCGATGTCCATCTGGTCTGTCTGTCTGCATCATTGTGCGTTTGTGTGTGTGTGTGTGTGTGTGTGTGTGTGTGTGTGTGTGTGTGTGTGTGTGTGTGTGTGTGTGTGTGTGTGTGTGTGTGTGTCTCTGACAGTACCTCCCTTTGGGGAGCGGCGTGGCCATTTCTGGCAGCTGTCAATAGTAGTAGTAGTAGTAGTGTGTGTGTGTGTGTGTGTGTGTGTGTGTGTGTGTGTGGGGGCTGAATAGTGGTGGTCAATTCTTCAGCCATACAAGCTGTTGAATGATGCAATCCCAGCACAGGTTGCTATGGCTACAGCTATGCCTTCTGCTGTAGCATCGATGCATCACTATCAACGCCCCTGGCAATGGGAGTCAAAATGTGTATCTGCACAGGGAGATCAGTCTGAAAAGTGAAACACTCAACCAGATATAGTGGAAGTCCTTTGGTCTCGATACATGTAGGATACACGTTCTTAGTTTGACAGCATATTACAAGGTGGTGGAACACCGTGTTCAGAAACAGTGTCCCTTACTACCACTACAACCATCCACAGTTGGTAGAGCCCCGGTCTTGCGACCATCTGAACCGTAGATTTATGGGTGCTAGACCCAGTTCTGACCCTCATTGTACTATGGGAGTTACTAGGGGGAGTTGTTCAAGTCTTCTTGTTGTTGTACCGCCACGTTTGTTCTGAATTGATCTTCCTTTTATTTTATACTCTTTCCTTTCCTTTTTTTCAACTTACTTCTGTGTAGGATACATGTAGCCTGCTTACCGCAATCATCGTCGGAGTCAGTGATCAGTCCAGGGGTAGGCCAGACTCCCAGATCAGAGCACTCCGAATGGCTGCACCCTGGTACAATACCAGTGGTACTACATGAGGTCTTCAAAACAGTCCAGCAGTAGGGCTCTGAAAGTGTACGCAAGGTGTGTTGATCTGGGTTTCCACACACTCACAGAACATAGGAACAACTTGAACAGGCAATAGAACAAGATCACTGCACGCGTACCATGTATTCTGCTGTGTATATGCGAGCAGCTATGCACATAGGTAACCGTGTACGTGTGTAAGCCGAGATCTGTCGCTTCGTTCACCCAATTTGGGGGCACAGTGCATATTCAACGGACAGCTGCTTTCAACAAATTTCTTGTATTATAATTTATAATAAACTATGCTTTGTTATCAATACAAATACAAAATTGCTCTGCACAGCCAGCCGAGATGTTACTTCAAGAAAGTACAAGAAAACGCAGTAATGAAGGCATGTGCATGCACATGTTGCAATCTACATACATGTACAAGTATTACAGCCCAGCTGGACTATTTGCCTGCATGTGCGGACATCAGGTATACTAATAAGGGAGTAAAATAAATATCAGGGTTTGGAAATGCTGTCGACATGTCAGGCCAAAACAAATAATGACCTTGTTTCCGGTCGGCCGACCGGGCCACTTTTTCCCAAATTCTGCCGGAAACTTTTTTTGGTCCCAAATGTATACAAACGGTGGCAATGCCGTGTGTGCAAGTGCACTCAACGAGTCATAACTCAGTCAAATCTCAACCGAATTCCACAATCGAAACACCTACAAGGTAGCAGAGATGCTCAGCTGTCGGCTCGAAAACCTCCGGGGTCGATACGAGCTAGAATAACGCAGCTGGAAGGACTCAAACTGTTTGCTTGATTTCTCAGGATGTAAGAAAACAGGAATACAGTGTGTACACCACATGCTGTACAAGAACAGTGAGTCGGTCAACTTTGGTATTGATCCTTGCCATGATATATGTACAAAGTACATGTGTAGGTGCTCTTGTCCATCAATACCACAACGATTGAGGCCGGAACCGAAAAAAAGTATCCAAAAAAAGTTTCATTCCGGCCGACCGAGTCTCCTTTTTGAGGGGTTGCCGACCGGAAACAAGCCTATTTTTTTGTTTTGGCCTGATCATTAATTCTTGCACGAATTTTAGGATTACATGTACATGCACAAGCATGTACTACAATTTTTGATAGAATTATTTCAAATTTCTTTAAATAGGTGGCGAGGAGACAAAATTAAAAGTAAAGTGATGAAAATAACTAACCGTGATGCAATGTCCACACCTTATGAAGCAACTAACTTTTCATTTCTTATTGAATTCTGGAGAATTGGACGGTCCCGGTTGTTTGCAACTGCCTGACAACAAACTTAGCTGTAGCGGTTTATCAGCCGAAGCGTGAGCTCCACGTAGCCGGGATCAACCAAATTCTATGGTCTGCCTAAGAATCACGAGTATTGTAACGCATCAAACGGACAGTTTGCCATGCTCAGGTTTCCATGGCGATAGCAAGTACAGTCGGTGTCATACTGGTCGGCAACCAAGCTCACGCTTCAACGATTGTAGCCATGGCTCGAGCAAACGCAGCAGCACACGGCACAGCACCACACGCTGCTGGATCAGCCCAGTCCTGTAGCATCGTGGCACGGCGCCTGCCCGTATCCAAGTGACCGGAGAATGTCTGCTATCACAGCTTTGAGGCGACGGCTGTGACGCCGGGTAAGCGTAATGCAGGCATTGCAAGCTCCACAGCATCTTCCGCACAGCCCCAGTGTATCGTGAAGCCAGACCCTCCATGCCCGTAGTTGTGCACAACTGGCAAGTACCGTCCGTCATGCAATCTCACGTTCTCCAACGCAATGCGTACGCCGTCTTTTCGCAGAGGTCTCAACCCTACCGTCTCCTCTAGGACGGTGGCACGGCGCAGGCTGGGTATCACTTCGCAGCATCGCGCCCAGATGTCTGCAGAGTCGGTGGGACTCACTTCCGTGCTCCAGTTTCCCTCCTGAGTTGTTCCGCCGAGGACCACCATGTCCTTGTTGGGTATGATGTACGTGAAGACACTGCCTGTGTTGAAGATTGTGATGTGCTTGATCCACGGGGCGCGCACTCGCATGATCTGTCCTCTAACCGGCACCATACTCATGTCATTGAACAGCGTACGTGACGCTAAGCCCGTGCAATTCACCACCAGATCGTACTCGGCTAACTCGTCCATGCTCTCAATCTTCTTCTCCACGAACTGAACGTCTGTTTGAACGCAGACTCGTTTGAGATAATCCAGATACAGGCCGCTCTCAACTATAAGTGTTTGCCACATCCAAGCACAGGGCGATGGCAGTCTTAAAACAGACTTCTCCTCATTGTTCAACATCTTGAAAGCATTCATTTTCCTCATCCAGCCGGGCGGGTCATCCTCATTGTCTGAACCCTCCACAACGAACATAGGGAAAATCCCACGCTCCGGACCAGACACGAGAGCCATATGCTTTTCCAGCCACTTGCGAGTGGTAGTTGTCCATCTGTCCAGCTGCTGAGGCGCAGCATTCGCTACGCTGAACGGACGAACCAATCCGGCAGCCACGTTGCTCGTTGTGCTGGGAGGGAAACTTTCCGACACGATCGTCACCGACGTGCGAACTGGCGAGCCATCGCCATAGTGGTCCCTCAAACGCTCAGCGAGTAGCACAGCCGTTGAGAGGCCAATGCAACCACCACCAAGCACACAGACTCTGCGATGTGCTGCAGGTTGAGTGCGTTCGCTAGCGCCACTCAAATCTGACGATGCGGCCATAGCCCACAACAATCAACAGACTAGCAAGACGATACAGCGATAGTTCGTTTCAACTCTGCATAAAATACAGGCGATGAGGGACTTTTCCTGTGGCCATAAAGAACGATGACTTACTTCAGCAAATTCTTACCAGTTTCCTAAGCAGCCGCCAAGAGTTTTCGCACGTGTCGTCCTTGTGACTTCGGAGTTTCGCAACTTTCGGGTTCGTCGTGAGTTACTACGTGGTCGGCAGCTGCGTTAGTACCATGTAGCTCTATCTAGATGAAGCCCTGGTCCTCGCAAGAATGAATACTAGTAGTATTTAATTAATAGCTGAAAATTAATAATAATTGCTGCAGGTAATAAATATCCGCGACCAGCACCAGCACGAAATCTTCATCATATTTTCAGGACACGACATCTGCATCATGAATGATATCAGGACTGCAGAGTGCGCAGTAGGTGGAGATGGTCGATCTGATCGGACGTCATCATCGCCATGACAATTCCACTAAAAAAACCCTAAAAATTAATGATAGAAACCGTTCTAATGAATGGGATATGGGCGCATGGGACACTTCAACTACATTGTAATCTCTTTTAAAAATTTGTTCTAACATTTGATGAAGACAATTCGAACGCCCCCTAAGAATCTCAGCTGATGATGTTCGTATTAGGTGAACAGCAGGGAGCCTTCAAATACTTTTTGACGACTCCCTGGTGAACAGTACTTAGTTGCGGCACAGTGTTGCACTGCACTAGGCAGGTGCACTAGCGTCTCGAGCTGCCACATACAAAGCGTCCATATGTGGTTCCGCTCATTCCGCTGTATACCTATCCCCCGTTATTGATTCTGCTGACTCCCCCCCCCCCCCCCTCCTGAAATCATTCGCCTAAAAGTAAAAACAGAAAGTAAAGGAACACATTACTAATCGTTAGTTTGCACATATCCGCGTTACCACCTGCTACACATGTAGGTGTTGAGAAACACCAACACCAACACCAACACCAACACCAGCTCAGTCATGAGTGAAACTATTACTTCATTCGCATAGCCTCTATGCAAATCCCCGGAATAATAAGGGCCCGGATATTACAACAAAGAAAACGTCGCAAAATGTGTGCAGGACAGGTGCACCTCTGTACATGTACTGTATTCGAAATAGCTACAATGTAGTAGCTGTCCATAGATTGTGTATCATCGGTTAGCCGAAAGAAGTCATAATCAAGAGTCATGTTAGCGGAATTCCGGAACCGCTTATGTGCGCTAAATACACAGCGGAATTGTTTATGAGTGCAATCACTGCAATGTCTATCATTCATAGTACATGTACTTCGAAGTATATAGAGTGAGTCGCTAGTGCATCGCATCACGACGCTGTGCTGCTACTTTGCCAAGTCATCTCAACTGAAGATGTACTGTACTGTAAAGTGAGAAACTTTCGCTAGAGATTAAATTTCGCTATTTTCGCGACCATCACACATTCGCGAAAATAAATCGCCGTAAACCTCTCCGTACACTGATTAGATCTCTGTCCCTCCAGGAAATCGCGATTCCACGGATGCAACAAATTTCGCGATTTTGGCCCAAACCCGCGATTTTCCGCGTTTTTCGTTGTTTTCTGCACTACAGTCAACTTCGCTAATAACGACTTCGGATATAACGACAATTCGCGAATAACGACAGAATTTCCATGCCCAGAGCGAAGTCTCATCTGACTGTATACATTTAACTTCGGATATAACGACTATCTGAATAACGACAAGTCGCGAATAGCGACATGATTTTAATGCCCCGAGGTCATATTCACTGCTTGAATAACGACTTTCTGGCTTTTTGACAGCTATTTCAAGTACCTGTCAGTACCAGAACCCGTTGCGATGGATAAGGCACACATACAAGAAGATACAGCCAGGAGGGGGGGGGGGGGGGGGTGCTTTTTCTATTTTTCTTTTCTTCAAAATAGTTGGAATGATCAGCACACCTATTGCACATGTAGTTGTACATGATTGCACATTATAAGGGAAGTTAAGGCAAAAATTAAAAGTTCACCAGTTGTAGTCTTCGGGGTGCTGAGTCGAATGGTCTTGGTCCGAGGAAGCTGAAACGCTCCCTTCCTACTTAAATCCTAATCGAACTCGCGCACTTCCACTGATACTGGGTGACTGCGCCCTACTAGATGGGGATTTGTATGCAAAATGTCACTAAAAGCGCCATTTCGTTCTTATTAAAGCGCGGATGACCGCGATTGGCCCATAGCACCCCGAAGACTACAACTGGTGAAATTTTAATTTTTGCCTTAACTTCCCTTTTAATCTTCATACATGTAAATGAACATGTCCCTGTAGATGGCTCCAAAAGGTTAAAGGGGAAGTTAAGGCAAAAATTAAAATTTCACCAGTTGTAGTCTTCGGGGTGCTGAGTCGAATGGTCTTGGTCCGAGAAAGCTGAGACGCTCCCTTCCTACTTGAATCCCAATCGAACTCGCGCACTTCCACCGAAACTGGGTGACTGCGCCCTACGAGATGGGGATTTGTATGCAAAATGTCACTAAAAGCGCCATTTCGTTCTTATAAAAGCACGGATGACCGCGATTGGCCCATATGTTGTAGTCCTTTGGACGCTGAGTCGACTGGTTTTGGTCCGAAAAGGCTGCGATGCAGCGTTCCTCCTTTATTCCCAATCGAACATGGTTGAACAAGCGGTCACGTGCTCCTGGGTGCCAAAATCACCTGGTCACCACGCCAGCAGGGGACAACTTTCACACCAAGGTTCAACTCGAGTGACAGGACTGCACCCAAAAAAGGTCAAAACAGGCTGTAAGTTGTACCCTGCAGGCACGGTGACCAGGTGACTGGTGTACGCAGGAGCATGTGACCGCTTGTTCAACCATGTTCGATTGGGAATTAGGGGCGAACGCTGCATCGCAGCCTTTTCGGACCAAAACCAGTCGACTCAGCGTCCAAAAGACTACAACATATGGGCCAATCGCGGTCATCCGTGCTTTTATAAGAACGAAATGGCGCTTTTAGTGACATTTTGCATACAAATCCCCATCTCGTAGGGCGCAGTCACCCAGTTTCGGTGGAAGTGCGCGAGTTCGATTGGGATTCAAGTAGGAAGGGAGCGTCTCAGCTTCCTCGGACCACGACCATTCGACTCAGCACCCCGAAGACTACAACTGGTGAAATTTTAATTTTTGCCTTAACTTCCCCTTTAATTTTTCAATAAATTTTTCAATTTATTTCCCTTGGATATTGACTTTATTGTTCCTTTCAATTGCAATACGAAAATAAAGTACAAATTGACCTAGAGCATGAAAAGAGCTTCATTTCGATATGCATGTCATACTATACAAAATATGGGTTCACATACATTCAAATGGGACTTCGGATATAAGGACACTTCGCGGATAAGGACACTTTTCTGATGCCCCGCCGAATGTCGTTATTCGCAAAGTTGACTGTATATCTCACGTTTTAATGCACTTTTTTCACGCAGTTCTTTGAACCTCTTTCCATGATCCTGTAGGTTATTTGCACAGTACGACTCCCGAGTAGATATACGATGCAACAAATTTCGTGATTTGGTCCAAATCCGCAATTTTCTGCAAATAATTCCGCGAATTCCCGGTAAGTTCTGCATCATTCCGCACTTTTCGTCGCATTTTTTCTGTTACTTTCTGCCGCAATTTCTTGCGCAAGTTTTCGAGAGTTTTTCTCCGCAAATTCCCGCAGGGACAGACTGATTGTAGACCGGACAAGATCCAATTGAAAATATAGAATCGCAAACGTTTCTCATCGTGAACCAGCCCGATTTATGAAGACGCTAAATTTGCACGCCGCGAAATTTTATCGCTTTACAGTAGTCACAAAACCTCATTATATAGATCATGGCCTACTTATAGTACAGTAGCCACTACAGTATTCACGATAACATGCAGGGTTTACATCAGGGAGTCGTAAAATACCGGTATTTTACGACTCCCTGGTTTACATGTATGTAAGAAATAGCACTAAAATCTCAAATGCTTTTCAGAGGGCCAAGCTCTAGCTCAAATGCAGTCTTCTCTGGTCTCACTGAATTTAGTTCAGTCGCGACTCCCTGGTTATGACGCAGAGCATATCGCAGCGACTCGCAGGGCCACACTGGAATTACATGTACATGAAGGCAACACAACCGAGATCGGGGATGCGAGAACAATACCTGCGCACACACAAAAAGTACACTGGAACAGGACATACGTGGACAACTTTTCATCATCTGCCTGGCTAATTTGAGCTAGAATGTCTACTTCATCATGTGAAGTCAGTGCAGGTCTGGACATGGGCATAACTGACAAGTCCAGACCAGTAGTGGCAGCTGCATGGGTTGTGGTGAAACACACACTGGCAGACTCACAGGTACCAGGCAGCCATGCACATTGCCATGTCCAGCAAGAGTGGCGACGCGTTAAGAAAATGAAAGCGGGGCCTCAATATTTCTTCATCTCTGCCCGCAACACAGCATTTAATAATAGACAAGGAGAAACAAACCTAACAAACAAAGAAACGGATGACAAACAGAAAACCCCGGTAAACTAATATACCGGGTTCGAGGTTAAAACAAAGCCTTGAACACGCCACACGGGAACATGTACCAGCAACCGGACATACAACACCAGCACAAAAAGAATGCAAGTCAACAGCGGAAAGGCATTGGTGAAAGGAGTCGGAAAAAGCGAACATCCATGGCGATAAAACTGATCCATAAAAAAAGACAAGTCGTTGGTAGGTGATAACTAAACAGTGAATTATACATCTGTACGCAGCTGTGTGCAGTTGTACAGAATGGGACCAGTGACTGACAGGTGGGGTTAGGTGATTCTAGTCGCACAGCAGCAGCAGCAAACTAAGTAGATTATTCAGTGGTACAACACTGTGGCACCGCTGGCATTGCCATGACAACAATGTGCGAGACAAGGACAAAAACAAGAATACAAGTCATGTAGCAGTATCAACAATCACAACAACAACAGCAAGAACAGTGAAATGGTATACGTACTAGTATACTGCTCCTCGGTGTCAGCAGCAGCAACGAAAAAGGGTGCCCATGCATACTGCTCGATGGCGCGGCGATGGTCTCTGCCACCTTCCAAGTTCTACCGTTCCGCAAAGCGTTAGTTTTCCTTTTTCGCTTTGCTTCGCGTCTTTCGTGGCTCACTCTCCCGAGTCTCCGCTGCCCGCTTTGCCGGGTTAAACCAAGGAAGCGAGAACTCCTTGGGAGGCAACTTTGGCACCAGTCGACCAAAAGCAGTAACAGGCAGATCATCAGTGACCTCAATACTCTCAATGCGGTCCAGTGAAGGCATGAAGGTATTGATGACTTCGCGACTCTCTTCCGCGTTCTGGTTGTGCCAACGCACTTCTTTCTCTTCGTACCGCTTCAGTAGCTTCTCGTGTTCACGTTGTTTCCGCACACGCTGCATATCCCAACGCTTGATACGCTTCTCCTCTTGTTCATGTTTCGAATGCCGCTGTAGGAATGCCTCATCCGACAAGTTCTCGGTGTCTTTACCACCCTGAAGGCGACGTGACGTTGCGTGCGTGGACTTGGGTTCGGGCTCAACAATGCGCCATGATGGTACTTTGACGACCTCGCCGCGATCAGCCTCAGGCTCATTGTCCCTGGAGAGAGCGGAGGCAAACTGCTGCGTTACAGGTGCTTCATACATTGTGTTCGTGATGAGATGGTTGGGTGGTGCAGGTGTGCTTGGGCGCTTGTTAGGCGCCGACTTATTCGCACTAGCACGGGCACATGGACTCGGCGAGCGGGACACGGATGGGGAGTGTGGTGATGAGGTTGCTGACAGGTGTTTGGCTTGAACTCTGCTGCTGGATCTGAGCTTCGCGTGTTGTGATGATCCAGTACTAGTCGCGGGCGTGGATGAAGAGTTGGATGAGGCTCCAGCCTCTCCATTGTCTATTTCTGGATTACCACGAACACACGCAATAGACAAGCGCCGATTCTGACGTTCAAGACGTCTTTCTAGCCGAGTATGGCTTTCTCGCAGTTCCTGCATTTCTGCTTCACGTTCCAGAAGGGTTGCACGCTGTTCGTCAATCATACGTAACTGCATTTGCCACAGCTCACCAAACTCAACCTTCTCTTTACTACCATTAAGAGACGCACCGCAATGAAGGCAAACTGAATTTGTTGTTGGTTTGTTGCTTTCTGCAACAGATGAACTGCGTGATCTTCCCTTCTTCTCAGACGTCTGCTCACTGATTTGCTCTCTCCCGAGTGAGCTGGAACTGGAGCGCACACTGCTAGTAGTAGCTTGGCCAGTCCTCTCTGATGTGCGCCTCGAGCGCTCACCCACCACTTGATCACCAATAGTAGTAGTTGTCGACGTAGGACTATCACCTGCTGCGCTCGTCAATGACGTCGAAGCATTCTGCCCCATTGAGATAGGTTCTCCTGGCGGGATGGCTGAACTGGAGCGGAGGCCTGGTCGGGAGCCAACGCCAAATTCTAATGTCTTGATTTGTCCTGCAGAATCCATTCGCAATTATTCTAAATCAAGAATTCAGTTTCCAATATTTAACTCACAAGACAACAAAGAAAACATCCACGCTTCATGTTAACAACAGCGGCATGAAGTAGGATGCGGAGGAGGCCAGACAAAATCTTCACTCTTCTTCTCGCATGCTACCACTTACTAATAAAAATCTAGAGCCGTAGGTGCATTGCAATACCGGTATTGCATATTATTGGTCTCCGCAAAATAAATTTGAGCATCTGTACTGTCCAGATCGATCGTGCAAAATGAAGATAATTGAAAATTCGATTTCGAGTTGTGTTGGCTTTACTTCGAGCTTCGCGTGCGCGTGCACGCAGCCGCGTAGCCGCCCCCGCGGCCGGCGCATGCAGCTGCGCTGTGCAGTATGCGCAGTGTGGATCATGCATGCGCTCGCTACGCCCGACGCGGTGCGTGTACGCGGTCACGCACGGAGCCTCGGATCGCGGCCGGGGAATTGGAAGTACCTTTCGAATGACGTCATCACACGATGGAAGGAGAAGGATGACAAAGACAAAAACTCAGAAAAAGCTTTGATCAATCAACATTCAAGAATCAAGGACTTTCTGTGCTTTCATTGAGATAAAGTAATGTTGTTTGACTAGGAAATGGTAACCTAGATGGCGGGGCTTGTTTCTGTATTGCACCGATATAGAAGGCCGTGAAGGATCATGTCTTCTGCATCGCAGAAGCAGTCAAGGACGTGGTTTCGTGCACTGACCTGCTCACGTAACCAATTTGACACTGACACAGCAATGGACAGTACTGATGGAAGCTTCATCGTTGATGACGATGCCAGTCTTATCGTTCCAGGACTGGGTGTTGGTTGCTGGAGGCTGGGATTAAGCCTACATCAAGCTCTGTCTGTGCTGCAACGCCGTATGACACCTGATCAACGCGTTGGAATAGAATTGATTGGTGCGGCAGAGTGCGATGTGTGGCTGACAGTACCAGGTTACGTGAGGTTAGAGTTCAATGGTGACACTCACCTATTACAGCAGGTTACTAGCTACTGGCCATGGTCACGTGGTGGTGTCTTCGTACAACTACAACCAAGACAGATCAACAACGTGACGGCCTCCAGAACTGAGCTGGTGCTGCCGCGACCATTCCGACTATGTCGACATGGTGAGCAGCTGAAAGTCCAGGATGTGTTGGATTTCAACTTTCCAGTGTGCAAGGAGAAGGTTGATGCAACAGGCACGATAGATTCTTGTTCGCGCCACCGGTTGCGCTTCCAAGGCTTATCGTTCCAAACCTCGGTGTCTGAACCGAGTTTGTGCTCGGCAGTGTCTGTGTTCAGTTTAGATAGCGATGATAGGAGTGGCAGTGCTATTGCTGGGGGTAGTACTAGTACTACTGCTACATGTAGTGGTAGCTTAGACAGACTGTGTGGACGGAGAGGCATGTGTCCGGTGAGTGTGTCCAGTATTGTGGAGAACACGCCATCACCGCGATGCACTGGCGTGAAGATTGAAACGCTGGCATTCCGCCGTACAGCCACCACCGCCGGCGCCGGTGAGACTAGCAGCGGCCGGAGCAGGACGAGTGACGGGGACACCGGCAACAACACAGAGCGTCTGACATGCCGGGGGTCTGGCGGCGGCGGCGGTGCTGGTGCTGCTATGACTAACACTCACATGGTGATGTTTGGTGAGAGTGTGCAGTCGGTTGTAGGCAGTCTAGGCTATCCAGATGCTGTCTACTATTGCTCTGCCAATGGTGACGAGATGCATTCTTGGAGAGCCAAGCCAAGGAAAAAGGCGCCGGCGATGTTCACACGACAGGCATCCAAGAAACTAGGAACACCTCAGCAGGAGAAAACGACTTTGGTGTCGAGTGGCAACAGCAAAGCAGCATCAGCTGGCAATAAAAAAGCAGGCAAGACAGCCGCTGGTGCACTGAATGCAGATAAACTGAAGCAAGCTGGCACTGCTGAACAGCAGCAGCAAGGACAGCAGCAACAGGAGGGTACTAGCAGCAGTGCATCAGACACCGATCTCGTGTGCTACAATTACTTTGACATTGGCATGGATATCGTGTTCACGCCGGACACCAGTACGGTTTGCAGGATTGTGTTGCATAGCAACTCGCCGTGTCATCCGTCCTTTGGTCAGTACAGCCGATGTCCGTTCCGATTGACTGCATCGTGTTGCTGCTCGCTGACGCAATGCCAACATCCAGCAGCCAAGCACTTGCACAGCCGGTCCTACATTACCCCATCCACACGCTGGCCCACACTCGTGGAGAAGAATGCATGCGGATGTGCCAGACTGGTAAGGGGGTGTACAGTGGATGGTTGCTTGTATCTCTGTTACCAAAGTACTAGTAATAGTATCTGTGCTGATATGTATGCGCATATCGATTTTCGTGCTGGGGTGTGCCGACTGCTTTGAACCTCTCAGTAGAACATGCTTAGCATATGATTCTCCCAATCTCTCTCACTGACTGTCCCTGTCTGTTATACTGTGTATGCGCTTCGAAGTAGATCGTTTGTTCTCTGGAGTACTCTCATTGTCCTTCTCTCCTACATTTCATTTTGCAGTCTTGATTTTGACAATTCACCGTCTGACTGTTGCTTCTTGCTGCTGCTGCTGCTGCTGCTTCTTCTTGCTGCTGTTGTTACTATCCTCCAGGTTGGCAATGTGGAGTATCGGAATTTCAGCTGTAATGCACACACTGCTACTGTACAGGGCAGTACCGGTGGCAGTGGCGATGACTGTGGCAGCGGTCGCAAAGCTGAGTATCTCTCGCACTGTGCAGTTCTGGACCAGTATCTGTTTGAGGTCATGGCGGCATCCTGTCGCGATGGACATCGCCTGCAGTCCATCACCATACTGCAACACCCTATTGATACTGTTTGCCATGGCAACTACCCGGGCCGCTCCATTAAACAAGTCCACGAAGAGTTTGAAGCCAAGCAAGCAGCGTTGCTGAAGAAAGCTGCACGAGTGGCAGCCAAAGAAACGACGAAGTTTGAAGTTCCTGCGTCTGACAGTTCCTCTCAGCAGAACAGAGAATCGAAACGTCACAAATCAGCAGGATCCAGTGCAACAACCAGTGCTGGCACGGCTAACAGGAATGTCACCTCTCGTGCAACCAAACCTCCCTCAATTTTAACCGTAGGCGGCGGCGGGCAGAAAAGCAACGATGGTGACGCATCAACCAGTGTTAGCACGTCACCTGTCACACCCACAGCGACGGCGGCCATTGCTGACAAAACTGAGAAGAAGAGCAAGCAGATGGCAGTGATCACGCCACGTCAAACAGAGACCAGTAAACTCCGCAAGGACAAGTCTCAGAAATTTCGACTCGGCAGTACAAGCGCCTCACCCAATGCCAGTAGCAGCAGCTCAGAGCAGAAGGCAGCCTCGGCGAAGAAAACAAAGAAGACACCATCACAGGCACGACTGTCTTCATCAAGTCGCAGCACTAAAAGCAGCTCACATGCTGAGAAGCCTACAAGCCTAGCATTACCCTCACACACTGGAGGAACAGACACAACTGACGGAGTTATGACAACAGTGGATAACAAACCATCACCTTCGGAGCAAATGCTGTCAGCGTCACCTACTAGTACTGCTCCTACGAAGACGTCCAGTTATGACTCCGACAAGACAGCCGTACATGAAACATCAACAGCACCCAACGCTGGTCACAACACTTTGCAAGAGTATGCCAGCGCATTCCGTCCACGCGCTGCTCTCGACAGGTCTCCTCCTCGGTCTCCCCAGCTAGCAGGTAAAGCTTCGTCACAGACTGCAGACATCTACTAACAGTCTAGTGCGCAGCCTTGTTGGAAAAATGTAGGGTATATGTTCCTCATGGTACTAACCCACATATCACTATGCTGGACTGGGTTGCAAGGGACATGGAAATATGTGTAGGCACGATATAGCGTTGTTCAAACTACCGATAAGGTTAAAAGAAAGCACAGGTTTTCTTTGCAACTGCCGTGAAAGTGGCTTGATGTTCGCGTTTCTGTCTGTGCTTACTTATGTTGTTTAAAAAACAGAGTCTCCGCACAGTGGAACGGGTGCACTTGCCAGAACTCTGTTCCCGGAGGTTTCTGAAGACGCGTCTCTAGCCATTACCTCTGTGTCACATGACCGCGGTGGACCACCAGACCACAGACCGTTCTCCAGTCGGCAGGAACAACGAACGGCAGATCCTGAGCAGCACCAGGCGCATGCACTGCAGGTAGCGGCACTATCCACAACAAACTTGCACATTGTCGACTCAGCTAATCCTCTAGCATTGTCCATGCCTACGACACCACGCACACCCACTGCCGGCACTCCTTCTGGAGGAAACACTCCGTCGTCAAATCGCCGTAGTTGGACACAGCCGTCAACGTGTGGCATCAAAGACCAGTTGTCAGAGAGTCTGAAAGAGGATGATATTCGCTTGGAGTCCATTCTCCACGATCACGACGACGTTGCCAACGCCTTGTCGTGTCGAGCACAGGTAAGCAGTACATTACCGGTATGTGCAGTTGTCTACTGCCTGGTGTGGACTCTCTATTAATGTGGACTCTCTACTCGTGTGGACTCTCTACTCGTGTGGACTGTGGACTTGTGTGAACTGTCTGCTCGTGTGGACCGTGTGTCATAGTCAGCGAGCTGTCCTATGATGTTAGTAGTAGCAAGAGTACATAACCACGGTTATGTACTCTTGCTAGTAGCACTGGGTGTTTGTGCTTAGTAGTAAATGTATGCACATGTGCAGAGCGGCTGCTCAGAGATGACAGGCGCCACCAACATGCTGAGTATTGCTATGGATGTGTTAACTTTGTGGCCAGGGCATGCACCTGTGCTGTGCTATCATGACATGATTGGTGTGTGGTTCACTGTTCACTGTGTTGCAGTTATTGCGGACTTGCCAATCGCAGTGGAGAAGTGGCGCACCACACATTGCAATACGTTCCATTCTGGGCACAGCTGCCAGCACCGTCGGTCATAGCACACGTACATCAACACTGGACAGCACGTCGACGTGTGCAGAGTGTCTGGACTCTGCAGCATTGGTCAACCTAGTGCAGGTCTGCAATGATGACATGTGAGTAGAGGACAGAGGATTGCTCACTGACACAGTGAATCCAATGTTCGTCTTGGCATGCTTTGCTTTATTCGTAGCTCTGTTGCTCTGCTTGCACAGTCAATCTGCTGTATTTCTGTCTGAGAGACTGTTTGGGAATGGACGACTGTACGGGAATGGAAGACTGTACTTGTACATTGCATTGTCTAGCTAGTACAGGACGATAATACATCATAATAGAGAGGTTCCGGGGTACGATTTTCCGTGCCAAAATCCGTATGGGCGCTACGGATTTTTTCCAGGCGTGCTCCATACGATTTTTCGGCACGGAGAATCCGTGTAGACTGGCTTTCACACGAACCATGTTTCGTATGGAGATTTTGCGTCATCAGGTGCAGAAAGATTTTTCGCGTACATATTTGGCACGAGAAACATCGATTTTCGGCGGGAAGTTTTGATTTCGGTACAAATTTTCAAAATAAAAAGGCATAGCGCGGGAATGTGACGTGTTTGCGATCGTAACCTAGGCAATGACGGCAAAAACATAAGTTCCGTACTCCGGAACATTTCACTGCTCGAAAACGACGTATAAAAATCCGTAGCGCCTCTACGGATTTTGGCACGAAAAATCGTACTTCGGAACCTCCCTATTAGCATCCTGGATGTCATTACATTGCTCTAGAGAAGACTACACATTTATTTCTCTCTCTCTCTCACACACACACACACACACACCACACGCACACACTATTTGAATTTCCCTCCCTCTCTCTCTCTCTCTTTCTCCTTGTGATCCTACGCAGGCCCCTCTTGCTGAGTGTTGATATGTCCGCTGACATCCTACCAGTGATTGCACAACTGTTGAGTCCACAGCAGCGGCTCAGGTAGGTGTGCATGGCCAGCACCAGCATCAGTAGCAACATCAGTAGCAACATGACTTGTTGTTACTGCTACCATTAGCACATGTATCAGATGTAGAAAGGCTGGGACTGATAGTCGTGTACCTGTAGGTTTGCTTTAGTAGAAAGGCTGGACTGGTAGGCCACCATAGATTGACTTTGGTAGATACACACTGTACTGGTAAGTAGTGTGCAGTGTGGAGAGTAACAGCTCAACTTCCATACTGTGCTTTGTTGCTTGATTTCTTCATTCTTACAATGGCGTGGTTGATCTCTTTGACGGGATGTTATCTGCTGTTCTTCGTGTGGTGTGCTGGCTTACTGTCCTATTTATGTAGCTGGACGGAGGTTCTATGTCGTTACGTGTCAATGATGGTGGAGTATGTACAGGGAGAGATCAAGCGAGACTCAGCGTTGACTCGGCGAGGTAGGTGCTCCAGGACCATGTCTCTAACATGAGTTGTACAGAGTGTAGTCTGACTGCTCTCTACCGCTACTCGCGGGTGCTCATTTGTGTTGCTCTGCTTCGTCCGGCGAGCACATGGATCTCTTGTTATTGTGATGAACGCTCCACTGTTTGTACGTCTTTGTCGTGACAAAGATATACCGTATTTCCCCGAACTGTAGGGCCAACTAAGGGGACTTACAATCGATCATGACTTACTACTGAAGTGAAAATATTGAAATGATATGACATGGACCTGAAAATGAGGCTGTGACTTACAATCGGGTGATACAGTACTGGCAGCAGGTCCGGGCTGTTGTTCTCAGCAGCAGGCACATACTTCGAAGTAGTACAGTGGCACTGCCACTAGCACTGCCTTCCTCGTGCACTGCTCTCAGTCTCAGGACATGGTGTTACTGCTGAGCAGAGCTAATGATGCGGTCACATCTGGCTTTGCTTTGGTTTCCTTGTCTACACTATGTCACAGAGGCTACTATGGATCGCACAGTCGTTGGTCTGCGGCGTAACTTGGTCTCTCTGCATGCTAGTCTAGATGAAGCACTCAACTCTAGTGCATCACCACTATCTCCACTGGACTCTCTGCCTATTGCACCGGCATGGAGGCGCACGCTGGAAGAGGCTGATAGCAGTGAGCGATGCAAGTGCACTGAGCTCCTGCATCAGACGCTGCAGCACGTCAGCTTGTTGCTGTAGCTGCTGCTGCTGCTACCACTGAGGCTGTATTCCTCTCTCGCTCGCACATAGTCTGCTACTCTGCTACTCTGCTACTTCAAATACTTGATTGATTTGAGTTGCTAGTGTTGATTCTTCTCACATAGGGTTCCCTAGGCTCTCCCCGTCTGCAGTCGGTTGATATGCAAAACTTTTAGGTTAGAAAAAGTGTTTGAGATATACCACACGTTTTTATTACTCTCGTTTGATAAAATATATAGCAGTATTATGACATACTCCACAAAACACGACTTCATGCCGGTCATGAAAGCATACTTGTCACCTTAAGACTCTTTCACATCTTGCATACAACATGCATGTACAACAAACACAAGTACACGCTAGCTCTTTTCACCCATCAAAAACCTGCGATTGCTTTCTCTCTTCTTCTTTCTTTTTTAAAATCCTTTTTACATCTTGTGTTGGCAGTGCTGGTACATGTTTGACGTGTAACCCAATGTTTAGCAAGTTTTAGGCAGGGGGGGAGTACCCCGCTACCCTCTGGTTAGGGTGCTGTAAAGCGTGCTGTTTTTGTTTTAATTTTGTTTTTACTTTAGCATGGTTTATAACTTGATATCTGTCTCCTAGCCCCTATACGACGATAATACTTTATAGCTAGACTTTATAGCTATGATGAAGAGTCAATGCACTCTTGCTGTGATCCAATGATTGCTAGCTATGCATTTTAGCTGCGCCACGATTTAACAAGTTATTGGAAACCTTGGCGAAGTTGTTGCTGCGCCGGAAACGAGAGCGGGTGAGAAATTGACTCATGAACCTAATAGTATAAGGATCGCTGTGTGCATTCAGGTCCAGACATAATATTTTAGCTCAGGGCGTGTTGTAGCGTGCTGCAATGCAAACTGGCGCAAGCAATAGATACTTGACCCTGCCCAGACGAAACCCTTTTATTTCTTGGCTGCCTGCACCACAGCGGTAGCATGACACATGTTGTCATATCGCACACGTGAGCAGCTCTATCATATGTACGCTAAGTTGCTAACACTTGGCGACAAGAAGATTTTGTCCAAGAAAACACATACTTTGTGAAGTAGAATGCTACTACTACAATGTAGTACAATGCAGTACGTGAAGTAGTTGTAGTAAAGTCCTCAATGCCAGTGAGAAAAAAGTGCTACTAACAGGCCGGCCGGGGGTAAGCCAACTCTAACATGCTTTCACACATCTCCCCCAAAAATCACCGGCTGAAAAGGAAAAGATAGTTTCATGACTGAGGGCGCAATGTGATGTTACCATGGTTATTTGAGCATCATGGCAGTTGTATCATGAGGGAAAGTTAATGTGTTTCAGGAGCATGCTGGGCTGGAGCATGCTGGGCTTGAGCAATTATGAATTCAGTTAGTTCGTAAGAATATGTCCCTGGCGTACAGGTACAGGTACAGGTGTGAGGATTTCAGCAGCTACATACATAGCTACAGACATAGCTACAGACATAGCTACAGACATAGCTACATACATAGCTACAGACATAGCTACAGACATGGATCAACACTTGAATAGCTCATCGTTTCAGCAGCTACAGACATGGATCAACACTTGAATATCTCATCGTTGAGCAGCACAGACCAGGCGCTGTCGTAAGTCTTGGACTTGAGGCGCTGCAGCAGGCGTGTAAGGCGAGCCTTGCTGCTGCGCTGAGCGGCAGAACGCTGCGATTGTGTGTAGGTCACGGCGTGCAGTAGCTTATCGACAAGATAGCGTAACCAAATAACATTAGTCAGCGGCTTGGTCTGACTCCAGTCATTGCTGAAGAAGCACAGGCAGCAGCAACAGTATGGAGAGGAAAGTATCAGCACCAAGAGAGATACCACATGCACTGTAGCCGAAAAGGTGACTCATCCATGAAGACTTAGCCATGCAGAAGGACACACATAGGTCCAGTTCCTAATTTGGCATGCACTTGATGACATAATGCCTCGTTGCACATGACATCATGGCGGCAGTGTCGCCGGTGACTCGGTGAGTGCCACGGAGAAAGGAAGGAAGGAATGGACACCGTCAAGGACTGGCAAGTGACAACGTCGAGTATTTTCATTTCGTGGCACAAAAGAAGTGACTTTCCTCCTCGGCCAAGATATAAGTGCCCAGGAAAGTTCAAAGATGTCAGCGTTCAGCTGCATGTGCCAGTAACGGTACATGTGATTTAGGAAGTGCTACATGCACTGGTGCACTGCTAAACACTAAGACTTTACCAGTGCTTCACAGGGATGTAACAGTCAGACTAGCTGCCAAGGTGCCTGTTCACTTTTCTGCCAGCCCAGTGTGCTTACAGCAAGGAAGCCACCAAATACATACATGCCAACCTGGAGGCTCGAGTCTCCTGGACAACCTGCCTCAATTCCCTTGATTTGGACCGTTTTCCCTGGACACCATTTTCTTTGTGCATCCATCATTATCAGAGATATTTTCACTTCACCTATTCACCTGAAAATTCAAAAAAAAACCAGCGGTGCACAACGCCGTCCGGTGCAAGTGCAGTGTTCCCCATGTCATGATCATCCAACCAAGCTAGGCCCAGGCCGCGCCGCGTAGATCTACACCGCGCGAGGCATGTGTGTGGGCCAGTGTAGTGCATTCAGTGCATGCAGCATGTTGCACCAGATCGATCGAGTACTACAAACTGTACTCGATCGATCCAGTCCACACACGCCGCGCTTCGAGCTGTGTCTAGTACTAGATTCTACGTGCTCAGCTGCATGTACAAGTACGAGCACACGGCCGACTCTAGATCGAGGATATCTGAAAAATCGTCATAAAAATGAAAAAAAACATCGATTTTAATTTTTAACAGTCCCGTTTCGATCCCGGGACTTTCGCAGAACCTCCCGGGACCCCAGGACAAACAAGCCATTCCCGGGACTGTCCCGGGCAACCCGGGACGGTTGGCATTTGTGCAAAAAGTGAAGAGTTTTCGATGACAACATGCTAGTAGGTCTGTAGTAACAGTTACGTTGAGCAAAGTACTGCAGACAGCACTCCAAAACAGATCATTTTGAGTTTGCTGGAGCAGGTCTACTGAGGAGTGCTGCGAATGTGCTCGACACAACCAGAACAACCAGAACAACTAGAACATACTGTTATCCATGTGAAAAACTATTTAAAAAACAGCATTTCAGTGATTTCACGTTACTTACCCCAGCTCCGTGCGCATGAGTCTGTAGACCTCGAACTGGAAATCGCCTTTACCCGTGAAGAGAGTCGGGTCTGCTGCTAGATCGCAGAAGACTGTAGTACCATCTACATGTACATGTACAGACATCAGACACCCACAAAACCCACAAGATGTACACATGTAACGCAGAGGAATAATATATTTATTATCCTCCAACAACATCTAGTAGTAACCTGGTGCGCAGCCTATTGGTATCTATTGGTATTGGAGTTAAAAGTTGCGAGTGAATTCAATATGTCAGCTTGCCATTTCCAGGCCAGCCTAGAATTCGTAAGACCTGGCCGTAACGAAAGCTGTACGAACTTTAGTCAACTTCAGACGGAAAAGAGCTCAACGGCGAAAACTACTTTCGTTGAAATCACCGCACTACCACGCAGTAATGTACGACACCTGTGTACCGTCATGCACTGAGCGTGTGCATACCTGACTACCGAGACCAAGAGTACATAAACCAGAGTGTGCAACTCGGGATGGTTCCTGTGGGAGCGTAATTCGTGCAGTACGTCATTTCTGACGGCATGGTAAGCCACAGGTACGGTGAAAAGTTGCGTAACTAGTCGCGGTGGTGCAGGTCACTGAGTTTGTCCTGATTTCGGTTTTTTGATACGGATAGCCTGGTGACTTTACTTGTCGGTGGATGTACGCAGCGTACACAGTCACACAAAACACCGAAATCCTGAAACAGGACGTCTAAAATCAAGCAAACTTGGCTGATTTCTGGGCTATGAAACATGAAAATTTGAGCTGTACACAAGTCGCAGCTTGGCTGACCTCATCAGGGTGACGTAGTGCACGAACTGCGCTGTTTCAGATCTGATATGCACAGTTGCACACTCTGGTTTATGTACTCTTGCCGAGACTATTTCCTGTACTCCGAAAAAACTTGTCGTTACCACTTTTTGCGCAAGGTCCGAACCAATCTATTTTCGTAACCTTTTTCGTGATGCCAGATCCGGCCAAGGCTACGAAACTTCGTTACGCGCAACCTCTTGAATGATGGTTGATCAAACCATTGTTGCTACCGGCAACATAATTACTAACACTCTGACACTCTGAAGCAAGGCAGAAGATGAGACAATATCTGCAGCACATCAACAGTTACGACAGCCAGCTACGTGGCTGTAGGCATGACAACATACCATGGATGAGCCGTGACAGTGTGAAGTCGATAATGCTGATGTGAAAACCAGCCGACGCTACGGAATGCTGGTCGCCCTGGATACGGCATGTAACGATGTCATCGTCAGCGCATTCTCTCAGCAGTATGTTACCCCAGTGTAGATCACGATGTTCAAACTCCACAGCCTGTAGACAACAATTGACACGTACACGCACGCACACGTACACATACACACACACAAGTACATGATTGTACACGCACACACAAATGCACGTCTACCTCTTCATCAGCAGACAGCGGTGTGCCATTATGGGAATATGGGATTAACTACAGTCATGAATTCGAACAGACACACAAATCAACTCTCTCTCTCTCTCTCTCTCTCTCTCTCTCTCTCTCTCTCTCTCTCTCTCTCTCTCTCTCTCTCTCTCTCTCTCTCTCTCTCTCTCTCTCTCTCTCTCTCTCTCTCTCTGTGTCTCTCTGTCTCTCTTTTTCTTTCTTTCTCTCTCTCTCACACACACACAAACAGAGAATACACCAAGATTATGGTGTTGATACTCAGAACTTCTTGCACGATCATACCGGTAGTGAAATCATCAGACAGCACTATCTTGCATGAAACTAGGAGTAACAACACCATAGCCTTGGTTCACTGTGTAGTAAAGAGAGTAGTGATACACAGTGCAGTGCAGTGCAGTGCAGTGCAGTGCAGTGCAGTGCAGTGCAGTGCAGTACAGTACATGCTGGATGAGCCCTAGACTGTAGGCATGTCACTGCCGCACAGGCAGTAGTCAGTGCAGTACAGTACAGTTGAGTGCAGTATATGCTGGATGAGCACTAGACTGTGTGCATGACACAGTCACTGCTGCACAGACAGGACTTACCCTCTCTGCTGTAGCTAACGCCATGGTGACCTGCTGGAAGACGCTGATGGCCTGGCCAAAGTTACTCATCTACAACACACGCAATGCAACAACACAGACGATGAAGTTCAGTATCATGACTGAGGGTAGAGCTGCCTTGGACTCTATGAAGACAGCACCCGCTGCTATGGCAAGGCAACACTAGTCGGATGACTAGTATCAATACATGGACTGGGAGACTATCAAATGGAGAGCTGTGTTACCTGCCACCAAACTGTGACAGAGACCAGCTTAGAGGTCATAGCTGCCACCGCACAGTTAGAGCAGAGCACACAGACAGGCAGGTAGAGCAAGAACAGAGAATGGAGTTTTTTTGTCATGCTAACCACTGACAATGTGACATGAGTGTGCATGCATGAGGCTAGCTTATCATGTTCAGTGACGACAGAGCTTCGTGAGTGGTCCCAAACTACCTGTGTTACGTGGACAGAACCAAACAACAATGCCACAGTAAGCCTCCAACGTGACAAACAAGGGGGAAATTCATACCCAAACTCACCATCAAAACCACACTGACTACACCAGACTATGCAGAGCTACAAACAACCAGTCAACCGCTATTCAGGCTGGAGACCGTATCGTAGAGGAAAGTACCAACGTTGTCATGGCTCTTCACAAAACCAGTGTAACGGCTACGCACTCATCATGATACAATATCGGCATCTGACATTTGCAACTATAGGTATCCAAACTGACAGAGGACTCAACGATAAGTTGACGAATTCTTGGGAAAGCTCGTGGGGCAAGGCTAGTGAATGGTATTGACATCGCTGGTGAAACGAAATGTCAGAATGTAATGCATGGTAACAGCCAGGACTGGGACAGGTTGTGAGTGAAGATGATGACGATGCAACATTGATGTAACAGGATCCGCCATATCGCACAATGTTGTGAATGATCAAATCTCACGCCATGGAGCAGATAATTGTTCGCATGTGCAACCAAGAGTACAGGTGCATAGCACGCACAGTACACTCAGTTGATGATTGCGGCAAACATCAGATCTTGGCTACAAAGTACATGTAACAATGTGACAAGCACAGCCATGCATTTTTTCGGGGTAACGGCCTCTTTTACGGGCAAGATAAAGTCATGTAGATGTGAAAAAATAGAGATACCATGAAAAGTAAAATAGAATTTTATTCCAGTACAATACATTGGAAAACTCCAAGAAATTCCACGTAAAACAGACGAAATTCAATTGTCAATGGCCGATGCCTACCCCAGCACCATCCTGCGCATTGCATGTTGCAATGATGTGCTATGCTACACACTGTACAATATAACACTATACAGTATACAGTATACTGTACATGTACTACTACTACTACTACTACTACTACTACTACTACTACTACACTACGCATTGCATGCAGGGTTGCTGCTGCTGCTGCTGCTGCACAAGTGCTAAAACTATGTACTGTACTACATTGTTACTTGGTGAATGTGTGAGTGAGGAGTGAATGTGTGAGTGAGGAGTGAATGTGTGAGTGAGAGTGAATGTGTGAATGAGACGATGCCAACACATGCAAGTGAGTGTGACATAGTAGCCTGCGCGGACGGACGTGAAAATACAACAAGTAGTTTGAATGTTGCCTACACATTATGTGTGTTGTTGCTGTGTTTGCATGTGTGTTTGTGTGAGTGGTGTGTGTGTAGTGAGTGTGTGTGTGTGAGTGTGTGTGTGTGTGTGTGTGTTGGCCATGACTGGAAAGTGTGAACAAGCTGTCTTCTACAGTGCTATAGCTGTTACTGTGGTGAGTATTCAACATGGTATGACATCATAACATTGATAACACCAATCAGTATGACATCATCACATTGATAACACCAATCAGTGATTCTCAACAAGTTACAGATCATCACACTGCCTGATACAGTTAGCAACGATTTGTCACAACTCTACAAGCACCAAGCTGCAATAGCTATATCAGTGGAACGCATGCTAGCCAGTAAAAACTATTTGTTAGTAAGATGAGAGACAGTACGTGAGTGCTGGTTGGTTTTTAACTTCTTACCATGCTTCCGTGTACGGATTGTCCCGATTGAGTTGTGTGGCCCCCATGTGCCTCAATTCTTACCTGTTAACTGTATAGCAGTCCAGTAAACAGAGACACTTGGACAGGGATAGAGAACGTGATGGTGGGAACGGGCACGATGGACATGGACACGGACCGAGAAGAGCTCCTGCTACGCATCGCAGCCAGAGAGAGTCGAAACGAAGCGGCCAAGAGTGCCCAGACGGAGACGCCAGCGCTCGGCACATGTCTTGGCCGTGCACTGTTGGTTGCGGCACCAGTTTGTCCGTTGCCACGGCCAGGACTTATGCAGAGGGCAAGAGCGCGGTTAAGACCGGCAATGTGGACATACGACAAGCCATCAGACAAGATGCTGTTTCCAAGACTCGAGATCATCCTCAAAGTCATTTCTCAAATTTTTCCAAATGATCTAACCCTGGCCATGGATGAGCCGTGCAGAGGTGCTCTGGAGTCGCAGAGCGGCTTGCAATCATTCCTTAACGATGAGTTCTACCCGGCGTGCGTCTATTTGAGTGCAATACGCCAGAGACTGGCCCAGCACACGCCGGAGATGATGCTGCGACTGCTGAAGGAGGACGAGTACTTACGGCTATCACTGCGGCGCATTCTGCAAGACCACAACCGCTTGTGCGTGTTGGCCATGGCCCATGCCAAGGGAGAGTGCCAGGGAGACAAGTTCACGCAAGAAGTACTAGCTATATTCTACACACTAGAGTACACTGCTTGCGAACTGTCGCTCATGTACGGCCAAGAGCTAGGCATACCCACGCAAAGAGACAGAGACAAGCTAATGTCCGCCGACGATGTCAGAATTGTACAGGCGCGCGAGTTCTGGAAGCAGCACTTTGCGAACAACATACTTGTCAGCTGGAAAACGTTCTATGCCGAGTTTGAGGAGAAAGGCAAAGCAGATATCCAAAAAGCCATTGATCAGGAGCAAGTGGACAGTGAAGAAGACGCACAGGAGCCAGGCCCCGTTGACTTACCTGGTCCATGCTCTGTGAGGTTTCAGTGCATTGACAAGGAGAAAGGATTAGAGGTACACATTCGCAGACTGCTGGATTTGACCAGGGATGGCTGTGTATCGCTGTACGAATACGACATCTTCACACAGCTCATGCAACCGTTCAGCAAAATCTTCCAAGCCGTCATTCTGCTGACCCTGGATTCGCCAGCATTCTGCTTTCCCGATCGCTACCATCGTGTTCGCCAGGCACTGAAAGATACAGGCCCCGGCAGCTACATCTACACGCCCAGTCGGTCACGCCGTGGAAAGTGGGACGTCACTTACATCACACACAATAACACAGTTCGCAACATCCAACTGAACGGCTCGCTATCAAGATACCTGACTCGCATGCAAGAGGTCGACGGGGAGAAGCGCGTGTGCCGCTACCCAGGCGGGAAGAGCCAGGACCCGTGGAACGGCAACCTTGCGCGCTTCTTCCGCGACAAGCGCACCATCGAGGTGACGGCAGAGATGGACGCGCAGTACAAGGAGGCCGGCCTGAACTTTGGCGTGTGCAAGATCTGCACGGAGAGGAGCAAGGATAGAATACTGTACCCTTGCACTCACCTCATCTGTCACGTGTGTCTGGCGAAGCCTGATCGCCGCGGACGCATACGCTGCCCATTCTGCAAGTCCACCATCATGTCCTGTGAACAGATCATCCTGGAACAGCGGAAGGACGAAGAGGCAGACTGGAACCTGGGCTCTTCGATTGACGATGACTCGGAGGACCAGGAGGTTGACACTGAGAAGGTACAACGTTCAACGGATGGTGGTGACGACGGTGGTGGGCCAGGACAAGATGATGACAAGCGTGATGCTGCGTGATCGCGTCACAGCTGACCCAAAGCAGAGAGCGAACCCTCAGAGCCTGATGCAGGCTTTCCGTAACCTGCTCACCTGCTCAGCAAGGGCAATTGTGAGGGTTAGAGATGGAGGCAGGCTTTCCATACAACTAACCCGCTGAGCAAAGACAATTGCCGGGGTCAGAGATGGAGGCCAGCTGTGTGTACAACTAACTAACCGGCTGAGCAAGGGCATGGTCAGGTACTGGACTATGCCACTGTGGTGCTGTATACATAGACTTGATACACTGTAGTGCTGCACACATAGACAGGTAACATAGACTGGTAACATAGAGTGGGTACATAGACAGGTACCTTACAGCGGTAAGCACACGGGATACAACAGATCTGTTGGTGGTATCAAGCACACAGTATATGTCATTATGTCTGTGTGCCACACCGTGCAGAGTAAAGAAACCCAAGCTGTACAGACTGCTGAAACACGGCGCTGCAGCACTGTTGGTTGTATTTTCTGTTTCTTTAGTCCATTTCCCACACACAAAGAGGACTACTGACCGGATACGACCAATGATTGTACATTTCTTACGACTATAAACCATATGATGACAGAATGACAGTTACATTCAGCTTGTAGGGAACGTGTATACTACTGTATAGGCATGTAAAATAATCCATGTGTTGTGTTACTAACTTAGTATGACAAAGTTTTGAGAATTACAGGATGCCGTGTGCCAACTGCTGATGGTCATTGGAAACCAGTGCAGATGAGTGAGTGAGTGAGTGAGTGAGAGAGAGAGAGAGACCTGTGGAGAGGTAGAAATGTGGAATACTAACCAGACCAAACTGCTACAAACACCCACCTCACTATGTTCCAGGTCCCGGCCACCATTCGCAAACTCAAACACAATGAACAGCTGACCACTTGGGTAGAAATCTGTATGGAGAAACAATTCAGATTCCAAACAACAGCACATAAACCTTGACATAAGAAGAATCGCACTGGCAGAAATACACGTAACACTATATTAAAACAGAGAGGTTCCAGGCTGTCCAAGAGAGTGCTCAATACCGGGAGGCAGAGCTGGTTCAAAACAATAAGAGGACAGAGAAAGTGTGTTAACTCCGAGTTTCACGCACTAAGCTGTTTTCTGATGATCGCTTAGTGCGTGAAACTCGGAGTTAAAACACTTTCTCTGTCCTCTTATTGTTTTTAACACTATATTACATAGACACCCTCTGACAACGCTATCAGTAACCAAGTTGTACACCCCCCCCCCCCAATGGAAATGTGTGAGTACATGTACAGTGAAGATCGGATGTAAGGGTGGTAAGGGTGGTAAGGGTGGTAAGGGTGGTGAGGGCGGTAAGGGCGGTGAGGGTGGTAAGGGCAGTAAGGGTGGTAAGGGCGGTAAGGGTGGTAAGGGTGGTGAGGGCGGTGAGGGCGGTGAGGGTGGTGAGGGTGGTAAGGGTGGTAAGGGCGGTAAGGGTGGTAAGGGTGGTAAGGGTGGTAAGGGTGGTATCGGATGTAAGGGTGGTGCAAACAAGAACAGATTGAGTTTGACAACCAATTTTTGCTGCTCAAGTGTCATCGCAAGTCTTTTAACTAAGATTGGATTAGGTGACAGATCAAATATAGTGACTTTGTTCTATTTCCTAAAATTGTGTAATAATCTGCATTCCATACATGGCATAGGGTACAGGACTGTCGGGTGCAGAAGAACGGAGTGCAGAAGAACGGAGTGCAGGAGAACGGAGTGCAGAAGAGCGGAGTGCCGAAGAACGGAGTGCAGAAAGAGCGGAGTGCCGAAGAACGGAGTGCCGAAGAGCGGAGTGCCGAAGAACGGGGTGCCGAAGAGCGGAGTGCCGAAGAGCGGGGTGCCGAAGAACGGGGTGCCGAAGAACGGAGTGCCGAAGAACGGAGTGCCGAAGAACGGAGTGCCGAAGAACGGAGTGCCGAAGAATGGAGTGCCGAAGAATGGAGTGCCGAAGAACGGGGTGCCGAAGAACGGGGTGCGGAAGAACGGGGTGCGGAAGAACGGAGTGCGGAAGAGCGGAGCGCCGAAGAGCGGGGCGCCGAAGAACGGGGTGCCGAAGAGCGGAGTGCCGAAGAGCGGAGTGCCGAAGAGCGGAGTGCCGAAGAACGGAGTGCCGAAGAGCGGAGTGCCGAAGAGCGGAGTGCCGAAGAGCGGAGTGCCGAAGAGCGGAGTGCCGAAGAGCGGAGTGCCGAAGAGCGGAGTGCCGAAGAACGGAGTGCCGAAGAACAGAGTGCCGAAGAACAAACAGGCTAGGATTTCACTAAGCACAGCATACCAATTATGTACACAAGTCCAGGTGACTCCAATGTGCATATACTGCAGCACATGAAAATAGGAAGAAGGCCTAGGCTGCTGTGCTTGGAGGCTGACCCCCCCCCCCCCCTAGTTCTTTGGCATCTGACAGTACTCTACACCACTGTTTGAAAAAGCGCAGAGTCAAGTCTTAGACAAATGTGTGTGTGTGTGTGTGTTGGGGGGGGGGGGGGAGCTGGGCCTAACCTGGCCTGTCGTTCTCCGACGTATGGTCACGATTCCAAGTGTCCCAAAGTTTGAGCAGCGACTTTGGGTAGGCCCCTTGGCAACAAGCAACACTGGAAAACAATTCACACAAGCAAATATCAAGAGTGACTCGAGTGCACAGTAATCCACCAGAATGAAATACTCGTACACACAGTAATGTACACAGTAATGTACACATTCATCAATGGAAGATTCCAAAGAGCCTAGCTATTTTACGGTTTTCGCAATGTGCAGTGTGCACACTGCTAACACTAAGTACTGAAGTACTAGCTTAGGATGCACACAGTACAGTGTGTGGCATGCTGCAAACAATTCATGCCAGATATTGCATGTAGCATGCACACGAGTCACAGAGTACCACGCGTCTGGATTGATTTCATGCCAGATGGCAAACTTCAGACAACTGAATTCAGTTGTCTGAAGATTGCCATCTGGCATGAAACTATTAGTTACAACAAACCAGACGCGTGGTACTCTGTGACTCCTGTGTTACTGCTCTGCTTCCGCATTGAGCACTCTATCAAACCGGAGGACTCCGCTCTCATGTAGCATGTACATGTACACAAGAACATGTACACTGAGATATGAGTGCTATGTGCCATGCGTGCAGTACTGTACTGCAATACTAGTGACTTGGTTGTACGATGGAATTTCAGAAAGACATGATAGGCCAGGATGTGGCGTATGCTCAAGCATATCAGCAAAATGATACCCCTCCCCTCCCCTCCCCCACCCCCACCACCACCAACACAACCGTAGCACACATGCCAGAATCACAGTGTAGCTACTAGACACAGTCATTGCTCACCGGTGCAACTTGATGAAGTTTGAAGTGAAGTTCTGAAGCACATACACATGCACATGCACACACACATACACACACGTGCACGTGCGCGCACGTACACACAGATACCCACACAGAAGACAGAAGATAGCTATGCAAGTGTGACCTATACACTGCATTCATTCGTATACAGTAAAACCTGTAATGGCGACCACTCGGATACGGCGACCACTCGACCATGGCGACCACTTTTCCTTGTCACGGATGCATTCACATTCAAAACAGCTCGGATAAGGCGACCACTCGCTCAACGCGACCGACGACTACCCACCCGCGACCGCGTTGCACAGTGCTAGTACATGTAAATGTACGCATGGCATGGTGCACCATGCATGGTAGATCTACACATCACTCATCAGTGCAGGAAGTGTAGATGTACATGGTGCATGCACGACACTTGACAGGTCTGAGGACCCCAGGCACAGGAGTCGTGCTAGAGTAGCATAGGTGTGTGCACTGCGATACACTGATCAAAATGATGTATCACAATCATGTGGATATGGTCACGTGACCCACTGAACCTGGATAAGAAGACCACCTGGCCACGGCGACCACTTTTTCTCGTCCCTTGAGGGGTCGCCTTAGACAGGTTTCACTGTAATAGTTGTCGTAGGCCCCAGTGTAGCAAAAAAAGTGTTCGCAGCAGAAAGACCATTTTGGGAGAAGGGAGAAAGAAAGAAAGAAAGAAAGAGAGAGAGAATTGACATTTTCATGCCGCTTTAGGGGCCATCGGTAATACCGATATTAAATTTTATTCGGAAACAAAAACTAGTCATTTCCCTTGAACCCCCCTCCCCCCCCCCCCCCCCCCCCTCCTGAGAAACGAACACATACAAACGGCACATAGTATCGTATTTTTTTCTTTTTTTCTGGACGGGCCCGCACATACGAACCGTGCATCGATATTTTTTGAGAAACGAACAGGCGCTCAACCCACTCCCCCAAATGACTAGTTTTCGTATCTACATAAATATCGATATTTACGAATGGCCCCTTACCTGATTGCTACAGGAGCTGGTACCTGCGGTATCACCTAGCCCACTCAGCTGCCTGTAAGACACAAACACACGCACACACACCATGTACCATGTACCATGTATACGCCCGTCGCAAGAGAAGCACGCAAATCTGCAAATGCACTGGATGTGCACCCACAGATTTTCTCTTATAGCAACGATAGCGAACAAGATCTGAATGAGACAGATCAAGACTTGCGCCAGATAACTGTCTAATCCACACAACTGGCGAAGCCATGTGAATCGACCACCAATGCACACCTGGTCTACACCACACGGAGTACATCGGCATAAAACGGCCAACACAGTTACCTATGCACACCCTACACTTGCTGGGGTAACCAGTATAGCCAGCACACTGCTTTGATAGAAGCAGACACTAGATGCACTGGTACCTTGAAGTGAAATTGGAGTTACTTTACCAACCAGCCTCGGCTACCGAGTACTGGGAACCCAGAGCCAACAGACATACCAACAACCTCAGCAATCAAAAGTCTCCAGAAAAAGCAGTTTTTTCTCTCTTTTCTGCAATATTCCGCGGGATTTTCTGAATTCTGCGGAAATTCTGCAATCCGCGGAATCGCGGAATTCACGGGGGAGAGGCTGTGTACATTCAGTGTACTAGACTAGTACCGTAGTAACGCACATATAGGCACATGTGCCTGTATTCGGATATAAGCGCATGCTCTTATAGGCAAAGCACTACCAAAATTCTCACTTTGACACAATCACGGATAAAAGTCTGCAAACAGCATACAGGAACCATGAAACTGACACAAGACCTAGTCAAACACAAAGACTCTGGCAAACGAACTCTGATCGCGCATGCGCGTTTAGGCGAAAATATTTCATTTTCGAAAATTGGATTCGTAGCAAAAATTCACTTATAAGCGCGCATGTGCTTATATGTGCGTTAGTATGGTATGATGACATGATTGCAAAACCCAGCATGGAGAGAAGGGTGTTCACTGTATCACAGCAGGGCTCTCCCCCCCCCCCCCCCCCCCACACACACACACACATCATCTCTTCACCATCCAGAATTGCAGACAGTCGTTATTCATAACAATCAATTACCATAATCATACAACAGCCTGGGTCAGATGTTTTGTTGGAAATCATGTACTACAATTGTAGTAGACATGTACTTGTCCCAAGTACATCCATCCATCCATCAGACCACCCGCCCGCCTGCCAACCCATTCATCCATACGACCGACCACCCATCCATCCATCCATCCACCCACCCACCACACTCACACATGCCCGCACACAGGTGACAGCGTTTCCGCATGCACACAAAACCACCAAAGCCACACTCAGAAGTGCGCGCACTGCAACAAGATCAGCACATTCTCATAGTGTAACACAAAGCGTGCACGCTCTCTCACACAAACATGCGGCCCATGGCCTCATGCTGGAGCACACCTAACACAATCCCATCGCGTTGGATTACGTAGTCAACAACTAGCCGAACAATCGCCGGTCAACATAAAGAGAGACATGAGGGAATCGCTCCCATTAGCTATTTGGTGAATAAATTGAAAATAATTGAAAGGAAAAGACATAATAAAGGACAACAAACCGCCAGGGAATGACTCAACTATACTTTGCCTACATCAAATTTGAAGAAAGACAAAAGAACGATTTTTACGGACAGAAAAAGTATGATATGTATAAAGACGTCGGACATAAAGTGAGCTATACAGAGACAAAAAAAAGATATATTTTTCATATGACTGTGATCAAGTGTATGGGGTAAATCAGCATGTTATGGTCCTCATCACCAAGCCACCCAGGCAGGTATACTACTACCAGCGGAGACTAGCAGGGGATTAGCAGGTCAAACACGGAATAGAGCACTATAGAAATCCGGCACTGTCTGCTTGACAGCGTGGCTCTTGCACAGGTCCTCGACGCGACGCTTGCGCAGCGCATGCGGCGGAGAGTAACTGTCGGAGACAATACGACGTCGCTTGGCCATGTTCATGACCGTCTGACGGACTAGTGGGCCGAGAGAACGCCGGCTGACAACCATGTCGCTCAGTAGCGGACCAGCCATAACCCAGCGAGACGACGGCGGTGACACACGTTTGATGCGATATAAGCCGGTGTTGAGTGGATGGACAAACAGTGCTTGCACTGGCAGATTACCTCCAGCCATCGAGGAGCCATGCAGGGGTGTGACCAGCTCACCAATCTTGCCAAGCGGGAAAGACGCCCAGTCTTCAAAGCGCTCTAGCCAGACAATGATGATAGAGGTGTCCAGCTGCCAAGCGAGGGGCGTAACTGCCGAGCGAGCAGCGGCCGCATTGGTTGCCGCAGTAGGAAACGGTGTCAGGGATGAAGAAGAAGCACAGCTTGCCACACCGGCACCAGGAGGTAGATCTAGATCTCGAGCGCATTGCCCCAGGATATCCATCTTTACAGAAGACGGTATCTCATCTCCAGTCCCAGTTGCACCTGTAGCAGATGCAGCAGCAGAAGAAGACGTCGCAGCAGCACCAGCGCCATCACTATTACTTGCGTTGGAGTGTTCCTGCAGCTTGGCAATGACTTGGCGTGCTCGTTTCTGCAGCGACGGCACAACGAAAAGCACCTCAGAGTTGTTGTCAGCGAAGTAGGGCATTGGTGATTGACCGGCGTCGTTGGGCGAGTGCAGACAAGACACAGCACCCTTGAAACCGGGATGAGTGCCCAGATCAACAGGCCAGCCAAGAGCATTCAGAAACTCGGCAAACTCAGGCTTCTGCGGGCCGAGCAGGTTGCGGTTGGAGAGCAAATCGCCGAGTGATGACTGACCTGGTCGCACGTAGAATACGTACACGGTATCTGTGTGACGAGTAGGTACGCCGTCCAAGTTCTGCAGCTGCGGCTGAAACGATGCCTTCTCACTGTCCACCAACGTGAACGAGTCAGGGCGATCGACAGACTTGCTGAAAGACGACATCAGACTCTCTGGAGTGACCAGACCCAAATGCGACATCAGCAGTCGACTTGTCTGGAACACGTCACGAATACGCGGCGGCTTCATATCAACTGGCTTGACGTTGAACTTGCTGCCTGGAAGATTGGCAACAAATTCCCGCTCCAAAGCAGACTGCTGCTTGACAAGATCTTGCACGCGGTCGTGAACCTTCGCTGTCGACGGGTCCAGAATATCAGAGAGCGATGGAATGCTGGAGTCTGCTTCTGTGACTGGCATGGTCTTGACAACATCGGGCCACGGTGGACGAGGTGGTAAGACCACCGGTGGGGGGTCAGAGTGTGGCTCTGGACGACGTACTGGCGCTAACTGCTCGACAAGTTGCGGCTGAGCATGGCGAGGCACCTGTCGAAGCTGCATAGTCCATGTGTGCCGGCCACTTGGACCGCGCAAGATGACGGTGACCGCTGGTAGACCTGTGTCTGAAGTCACAGAACAAGGCAGTAAGCCAACCAGGGTGGTCGAGTCCACAGCATAGTAGCTAAATGCCAGGTCAGACACGTTACGATAGCGCGATGCAAGCTTGATGAGCGCGGCTTCATCCAACATGGACGACACGGCACCAGGGCCCATAGGTGGCGGGAAAGCACCGAGGTGCTCCAGAATGGCGTACAGCACCATTTCGGCTGCTTCCAATACACGCCTAGAGACTGGTCTGAACTCCTTTTCTCCGCGCAGGGACTTGACTGGCTCCTCATCATCGCGTGGCTTACTGACTGACTTGCTGCCAGTTAGACCTAGCTCACACACATCCAGAACAGCACGTAGGGGCTCCTCTTCAAACAGCAAGCGATGATTGCAGGTTGTCCATGCTAGTAAGCAGTGGTACGCCGCTACGATCATGCTGTGCAGATCACGAGAGTGTGCGCGTGGTGGCTGGCAGACTAGCGTGTTGATAAAGTCGCAGAGCCAGCGTACAGTGTAGCGCCACTCCACACCGCTGACACCGGGTAGGTTGAGACTAGCAAGGCCACTCATCAGGTCCAGTACGGACATAGTCACGTGAACACTGTTGCTGGGATCCACGCGCAAGAAGCGCTGCGTGATATCGCGACAGGCACGCACGCACAGCGCAGCCGCATCCATGACTCCAGAGGAACTGTTGCGCAAAGAGCCAAGGTGAGCGCCGGGTTCAGCACCTAGCAGATTACCATCAGCCGTGGGTGATTGGGCGGCGGCCGGTGTGGAACTGGTACCAGGTCTTGCTGTTGGGTCAGAGGCAGCCTCCAAGTTGCGGGCCTTCTCCACGGCAGCTACATCCTGCACCATGACCATGACTGCTCCCAGCAACAGCTGTATGACAGCGGGCGACTTCTCACACCGCAGCGCACTGAACACAAGGTTGACGATTGCACCTCGGAAGCTGGCAAAACGCGTACTGCCAGGGTCGTGCTCAACTGGTGAGATCAGATAGTCACTCTTTGAGCCAGGCACCTTGCCTGAATCGGGCCGAGATTTACTAGACAGAGATAGGTCGCACACGGTTAGGTCGTTGAAGTGCATTGGTACACACAGCAGTGACATCAGGATGCGAGTGGAGCAGAAGCGCAGGTCCTGCACATTGACATTGCTGCTGAATGGCAGCATTGCCATTGGCAGGACGAACTCTAGAGCTGCCAGATACCCAGGAACAAGGCAGAACGCACCGGCCAGATCGTTGCAGAAGATCTCTGTGCTGTTTATCAGCAAATTGGACAGCACGTCACCACGGTGATAACTGGGCAAATAGACCAAGCCCTGCTGGAGCACGTAGTAGAAGCGCGCTAAGTACACAGGCACAAACTTCTCGTCGCAGCAACTGGCACAGAATATTCTACACAGGCATGCCAGTGCTTCTGCTCGCCCTGCCTCAAACGCTGCCAGAGGTACACCGACGCCATAGCCATCCTCAATCCGACCAGCAGCATTCGCAGCAGATCCGCCCGCCATGATCCGATTGATATTACGCAGATCTTCCGGGCTGGGTAATGCAGCTTGAAACAGCCATTCGCCAAAGATATGCAGTAGTGTACTACGCTTGGGCAGTGCTGGACGAGAAGGACTGTTGGCATTGCGCGACGAGGCTGCCGCCGAAAATAACGACGCTGGCAGGAAAGAAATGGGAGCGGAACCGGCAACATCATGGACTCTCGGTTCTGCTGTGACCGCTGCTGTAGGAGACATGGCTACAGAGTTATGCGACTCATCGTCGTCACCGGCACGTGACAGCTGGCCCGGCTGCACGGATAACTCCAGGAAAAGATCCACAAGGCTTGCCACTCCTCTCTGGGCTAGAAGAAAGATGGTTGGCAGGCGTTGCAAACACGTATGCTGTTGTTCCAGGTCACCAGAGTCGGCCGCAGCTTGGTGAAAGGCAGGTGTCTTGCCGATGATTTGTGGCCGAGACAACTCCACCGGGTTACCAAGAATGAGCAAGAAGCGATACCAACATTGAACCAGCGCATCTGCAGCAATGCTCAGATTCAGTGTCTCCGCCGTCCCATCCTCATATGAGGCTTTGATGGATAACTCATCACCATGGGAGCCGCCGTACAGATGGCGAACAACACTACGTGTGAGAGCCTCGCACACCCGCGTCCACTCATCCACAACAGGCCGCTGATGGCGCCAGCCAATGACTGCTTCCTGCATCGTCTTCCACAAAGCGGGTGCAGGGAAGTTCCCATCACAGGCTTTGATCCACACGTTGTAGAGTGCCTGCACCAGGCTCTCACCTATTCTCTCAGCCAACGTTCCATACATTCCACATGGTGGCGATAGCAGCCGATCACAAACTCTCACAAGAGAATTCAGCAGCGTGTTCCATGTTGTTTGGCTGAGTTTGGCATGGAAAGCCAGACGTTGGATGATGCCCAAAACGTACATACAAAGTCGTATATGTACGGCAACTTTACTTCCATCGGAACCATTTCTTAGGTTGAAAACTCCTTCGAACTGTTCCAAGATGCGTCTTGCATAAAATTCAGGCCTGTGTCTAATACAAGTCGGAGCAGTTGAGGGCAAATTGACCAGAACGTTCAGCCAGTCTTGGTATAATTGACAACATTTTCGAATGTTTTCGTCGTACTCCAGTGGAAGACGCAGCCCGTAGGCTAAAACATTCATAATCCAGTCGACATCGTCTTCAGTGCTAATGACAGGTGGGTGAGTTGCATCCACCCGAAGAGGTAAAATAGAGTCCACAACAGCAATGGTTATCGAGAGACCAGTCTCTGGTGGAAACTTGTCCAGTACTGAAATGGGCCCTCCTGGGGCATCGCCAAACGGAGGGCGAAACGCCACCCAGCCAGAGAACATCCTTCCTTCATTTGTGGAAAAGACGAAGGCTCACGGCCGAGGCAACACGGCGCTTCTCTCCTGTTCTTCAGCTCGGAGTGCTCATCGATACATCCTATAGCCAGGGTATGAGAAGAATCACACCCCAACAAACAAAATGCGAAGCAAGATTGCAGAGGAAGATTCAACAAACGTGATGACGTCCTCGAGTTGCAAGACTTGCATAAAAAAATATCGATGCACCAGCGCAGCAGCTAGGTTACGTCGACGTCGTAGATCTACGCTGCGCCGCTTTGGCTGCCGCGCGCTAGCACTTTCAATCTGCGATAAGCACGCGCTATCAGTATCACAACCCGGCTGTAGTGTAGAGCGCCCCTGCCCTAGCGCCCAGTTGCCAGGACTGCAGGCCGGAGACGCAGGTCATCCCAGGGAAGACAGTTGAGCGTCGCATGTGGTCGAGAGACAATAAGTCGGTAACTAGTTACTTTACGCCTTGTGTGGCACATTGAGCTCGGCAGACAGCCCACCCTGCTTGCTCATTGCAGCCTGCACGTCATCGATAGAACCACGGCAGCATCTGGTGTTGTGGACAAATTAAGTAACAGTTAGTTATCCCACACACTTGCGGCGCTCTACTGTCAGTAGTCACTGTCAGTAGTCAGAAGCTGCTGTCAGTGCATGTCGTGCATTGACCAGGGAGTAGTAAATACAATTATTTGTAGGGCTCAAACAGTTAGTCCGATTAACCGGTTGCAGACCGGTTACGAAGAATTAACGGTTAACCGATAAAGATATCGGCAAGAGTAGATAAACAAGAGTGTGCAACTCCGGATCTCTCCTGCACAATCTGCAGATGCCCCCGCCCACGGCGGAATTTTTTGTTGACGTCACCTTTTTTCAGAGAAACGCGCAGTTTGCCGCAGAGCAGTGTGAGAGCACGTGCTGGACACCGACCTTGTAGTGTAAAGCCCAGCCAAGAGCACGAGGGAAAACTTTCCGAAAGACTCGCAGCGCGTGCGTCGTCGAAAAGATTACGTCAACAAAAAATTCCGCCGTGGGCCAACCCATCCGCGAGTTGCACACTCTTGTTTATCTACTCTTGATATCGGTTACGCAGTAACTTTTCAGTCAATTTTTCAAGTATCAGGTCGTTGCAAAGTATGCACTTTCGCAGGCTGTCGCACGCGTACGCAATTTCTGGGCTGTCAACTCGGTCATATCTGGTCTCTTGGTGTGAGAGTATGTATGAATGAGCATGCAAGAGAATGTACATGTGTGCGTTGCACTGAATAGGGTACAGTTTTTGAATAAGTATTCAAATATACGGTTAAAAAAGAGTCCGCAGGATTGCCGTGGCTTATAGGTTATAACCGTTAAACCGACCGTTAGCTTAGCAGTTAACCGTTAGGGGTAAAACCGTGACCGTTTGAGCCCTAATTATTTGCCAAAAAATCCGGCCAGTGCTGCACATGGTAGTCGCACATATGTACATGGTAGTTGACTACCATGTGCGACTACCATGTGCAGCACTGGCCGGATTTTTTGCCGAATACACTGGTATATATACTGCCCCCCCCCCCCCCCCCCGGAATATGGACTGATCCACCTAAATCGCGAATGACGGGACCTTAATTCACCAGTAGCACGAGGTCGGGAGCGTACAGGATAGTGCAATAGCTACAATGGGATGATTCATTACCAAACCTCGACTCGGCGCACCTTAGGCTAAGGCAAAGGAAGCAAAGACACCACTGGTGCCAGTGCTACTGTGTTATGTGGGATATGCAACGTAGGACGGCCGGCGACCATGGACCATCGCCGCGAGATACATGCACAGGTAGGAACCCCGTGCTACTGGTGCGGTCGGGTCCCATCATTCGCGATTTAGGTGGATGGGTTCATATTTTGGGGGACAATGCACCAGTTCTAACAGGACCGCCGGAAGCAGTTTTCAATTGGTCCGGTCGTACCATAGTCTTTCAAACAGTTTGTGTATAATATGGCGGTGACAAATGCCCCCCTCAGCAGTAAACATGCGTTGGCAGTTGCAAAGTTGGTCCGGTGATAACCTGACCAACCGGACCGGTTCTGGCGGGCCTGTCTAATGTCTTACTTTGACGACGGAGTGGCACATCCTGACACACCCTGACACACCGGGCCGTGGCTACACCATGCTTACATATGTCATTGAGAACACTAATACAAACTGCTGTGCCTTGCAAGATCCTGACACACGACAATGACATGCTGCTTGTCACAGGTCGCTGAGGTACGCTAGGTATGCAGAGCTCACGTACACATCTAGACTTCTGAACACACTCGCGCGGCGGAGCGATTTGTGGAGGCTACGTCACAGTGGTGTGGAACTTAGCAGATGGAACATATTACCGGTACCACAAGCCCACTGCCACAAGCCCACTGATACATCAATGTATGTCCACACACATCGGAGGAAGACTATAACTTTAAGTTTCACGCATTCGAACTATCATCAGACCAATGTATGTGTACAGCCTCTCTAACCACCCATCAACCATCATCAAGCAAATACCAAAAGCTAGCAGCAGGCAGCTAAGGCCATGTAAAATATATAGATTTCTTATCGTCAGATTTTCCTGAGAAATCGGGGCATACGGTTTTATTATATTTTATTTTCATGCATGGTGTGCCTAGTGTAGGTGTGCGCAACCCCTAGACATGCCTTTTCTTCACTATTCTTTTTTGGAAGCCATTTTGCGCAGAGTGAGATAAGTCCATGTGATGCAGATGAATCATCAGCCGTGAATAACATCTTGCAAGAGATTTTTGAGGATGCACATACGGAAAAGTGAAACAACCAACTTAGGACAACAAAGAAAATCAGGCAGCTGATAATCTCTTTCACTTTTCAAGCCCATACCACCTACACGCATGGTTCAATCTGTGGACTTGGCCTTCCAAGATCTACAGCCACGCTGAGTAAAGGCCGCATATACTTAATAGGCATAGATCGCAGTACATACAGTGCATTTACCGGAATTAAAAATAATAATAATCTGGCCGGGAGGGAGAAAATTCGGGGCGGGCGCTGACAGTAAAGAATCATTTTCTAACTTGGCCCAATACATGTAGTAGACATTTCATCTTTGTGTAACATCGACTGCTTTTGGTGCACATACACACATGCGCGCACATGTGTGTGTGTGTGTGTGTGTGTGTGTGTGTGTGTGTGCGTGCGCGCGCGCGCGCGCGTGCCGGTATGTGGAAGGAATGGAGACTCTGAGCTGTCTCGCAAACATTCAAAATACTTCAGGGAACAAATTCAATGCCAACCAGTGCATCCAGGAAAATAGTCACAGCTAATATGCACAGGTATTGGCTGTACGAGTAGCATGGATTAGCTTGGAGATGCTTAGCAGGCCGTTTGCTGGTGGTGAGACACTGGGACTGGCAAAGTGAGACTTTCAGACTGGGCTTAGCCGACTGAGATTGTAGATCTTACAGGCACATTTAGATACTCCCTTAATTTGACATACAGAACATGTGACTTTAGGAAATACACATAGAATACAATAGAGTGGCTGCTTTGAACTACTACAAGTGTCACACCTCGGCATAGTACGGTGCCACACAACCCCCCCCCCCCCCACACACACACTGGCCTACTGATAAAAAAAAGTGTGCGTAGCCTGTTCACGCCTTACATACAAAAACAAATATGCCTTACGTTGAAATGAGCATCTCTGGAATCATCTCTGCAAAGGTTTTCTGCGGCTCGCCATTGACCACATGAGATCCTTCGATTGGTATCACCTAAGTAGTATAACAAGTATCGACATGTAATTGCAGTGCAGTAGTATCACACAAGTATCAACAGTTCCATACAATAGCAGTGCAGCTGCTCTATGAAATCAGACTGCATAAGTCAACTAGTGCCCAGCCACCCCCCCCCCCCCCTCAAAAATCCGCATACACACACATTCACGCGTGCACCCACACATACACACACGTGCACGCATGCACACATATACACACATACACATACACACACATACCGTATTATCTCTAATATAAGCACAGTCTCCAATAATAGCACGTCTCCAATAATAGAACACCTTGGGGTGGCATTCAAAAAATAAAGTGCTCAGTCTTCATTATAAGCACACTATGTAAATTCATTATCTGTACCGGCGAAAAAATCCTGAAATGTGTGTGTCTGACATGAATTTGGCATGGCAACATGCCTTTGAAATGAGGTTGAAATAATAATGGAACAGTCTCCAATAAAGGAACGTCTCCATTAATAGCACGGGGCGGAGGTACATTGAAAAAATAAAGGACCGTGCTTATAATAGAGATAATACGGTACACACACATACACACACCAACACACGAACATACACACAGACCCGAAGCAAGCATACCTTGAGTGCGACTTGTTCAGAATGACCATTAGTAGCAACAAACACTTCGCCATAGACACCCTCACCAACCTTGCGACACTGACGTAGCATGCTGAAATCACAGCAGTACGCAGAATACCAATGCACAGATACATCAGTATAAATGTTCTCGCCGTAGCTGGTTCTAGCCACCCCTGCCTCGTGTATTTGGCAGATTATTCTCGTTTTGAGGCAAAGGCACATTGTATGGTGAATATGAGCTGTATGAAAGAACTGGCATCATGACTTGCAGTACATGTCTTGTCATTTTCTCCAGGGTCTATTAAAGCCTTATGCAATGCAAGTCGTGTGCATGTCAGTCAGCATCTACGGTGTCCATGTTTCTACTTCAAACAACTTCGCACAAGCTACTACAAGAGTCTTTGCAAAGCATCGACCTAATCCTAAACCCCAGCAGAGGTTACTACGGACATGACGCTGAATTACTGACCTTTTCGTGAAGATGTCACTAAATGGTATAGGTTTGATTTGACCACAGATTGCCAGTAGCTGGTCTCTGGGGGATGCTTGCACCGCCGGTGTGAGAGGAAATACCTGGAAATGTCAATTTGACGCGTGCATACACACATACGCGCATACACACATACACGCGTGCGCATACACACACACACACACACACACACACACACACCTGATGCCACTCAAACATTGTGACCATCTACAGCCAGGCATGTGTTGGCTACTGTAAAACTGCATACCGTTGATATAAACGAGCTATCACGACATGTACAATGTCATGTAGTTTCTAGACTAAAAATGGGTCATACTTAGTGACTCATACTAGACATTCAGTTAGACAAGGAACACAAGTGGCATCGAAATCAGTCATGCGATATGCTGCTGGTGTAGACCATACAGTATTGTACGTCATGTATCAATGTACTTCTCTGAGTGTCTGGCAGTATGACAATCACCAACAGTCCTCCTCGCTTACCCAGTCTGCTATTGTCATGTCACCAATCAGATTTGCATCCATATGCCGCGCCAGCACTCTGGGATCGAGCGGAACGGGCGTTTTCCTGCTGTGATCCTTGCCTGCAGCTCTAGCCTTGCTGCCTGGGTCAGTGGACAAGGCAGGGCTCACTCCATTCATGGAGGTGCTAACACCGCTCTTCTCTTGACAAACAATAGGAAACACCTCGCTAGCAGAACGTTGATGAGTCGCAGCATCCGATATAGACATATCACCCAGCTGATGTTCCACTTCTTCAACTGTGGAATCATCAATGACAATAGTTGTAGGCATGGGGCTTGCAGATGGTTGAGCATTGATGAAGTAGCGACTACACCGCAGGGCTAGTGACGTACGGTGAGCTTTGTCCTGGCGAGTGGTGTTTCGGGTAGGGCGGCGACGACGGCAGGGTTCTGGCGTGCTTACGTCGCAGACGTCACTGGCCTTGTCTTCAGATTGCACGCTGGTATTCTCAGTACTCTCACCACTGCTCACAGTATTGACCCCGCCGCCGCTGCTGCTACTGCTGCTGCCGCTGCTGCTGGTGGTATGTAACTGACATGCAGCTGCTACTGGTTGCTGAGTACCACCATGATTGCACACGCCCGTGTCCATCAAAGAAGAATCGTCCTCACTGCTGCCAACTGCCGCATCGCTGTGGTGGCTACTGCTTGCAGGACCATTCGATGTGTCATCAGACGGTAGAGTACTGCTTGCAGGACCATGCGATGTGTCGTTAGACGGTAGAGTACTGCTTGCATGCTCGCTGTGACTGTCATGCCCGCCAGCCGGCGTCAGACCAAACACTGGAATAGGTGCTGAGCTTCGAACACCGGCTGCTGAGCTGACCTCACACACTGGTGTGGACATTGCTGGCCGAAAATGGGCCGTAGCGTTCCGACTGCACCCTGTAGTTGGATTGGCAACCGGAACACGTGATAACGTGCGACCGCTAGCCGCAGCGTTGCCACAAAACGGTGTGGATGTTGCTTGAAAATCATCCGGACAAATGCTGAAATCAGGCGAATCTGGTACAAAACTAGGCATAGGTTGTGATCTCCCATCGCCCAGCACCCTCTTGCCTCGGCCGCCCGTAGTAAACTGAGCTTCTGGTGTTTCCGGAATTATTGTCTCAGACGGTCGATGCGTCAATCTGAAATCACTTTTAGCCCGAGTTGCCGTTGAACTTCCACTTGCCAGAGCGGAGGCAGTCTTCTTTGGAGCCTGCAAGGAGAGAGAGACACAAAGAAAAGGGGTTGTTGGTTGATCATTTCTTCGCTATCGACAATGTACTGCACGGTCCTGCAATATGCAGTATGCAATAACTACAATCCAATGCAGTGCACAAGATGATGACCATGCAACTACTCACCCACCGCATGCTGCATGAAAACAACGCCCGCCCGCACACAGTCATACAGTCACAATAGCACGCATGTGCACGTGTACATACAGTTGAACATCGATTATCTGCACATCGACTATCCGACCATTCGATTATCCGTAACAGTTTTTTTGGGCGCACGTGCCGTAGAGTACGCACTATGCATGTAGTGAGCCATTCAAAAAATACGAAAATTTTGAAAAGTAAAAAGTAAAAAGGTCGTGCGGCTAGTAATAACCACTGAAAGTGTGTGAGTGACAGTTTTTTCTTATCCAGAACATTTGCCTTATCTGAACACCGCCTGACAGTTGTCTGCCCAGAGGTGGTCGGATAATCGATGTTCAACTGTACTACGTCTAGCAAATCTCGGGGACAAAATTCGTTCTCAACACAACGTTCAGCTAGCCAGACACGATATAGCATAGTCGGTGTATGAGAAGTGGAACACATCACTAAGCTTTGACTGGCCAACCGTGGCCCTACCAACTGATAGTTCCCTACACAACACGGTGAACAAAATCACAGTCACCACTTCTGCTGCATAGCTCGCTGGGCATCCCATTGCTTTGTAACTTGCTAATCCCTACCCCTTTTGTGTACGTGCTTTTCTTTTCTTTTTTCTCTTCTTCCGTGGTTGGTCTCATCCTCTCCTCAATTCAATTGGCTGTCTTGACATGCTACGAGGTGCAGAAATAAATAAATAAATAAAATAACATACACCTCAATGCAATGCCCTGAGATTGAGTATGATGACCTCACAGCACATCAATACACCAGCCTTGTACAACATCAATACACCAGCCTTGTACAACATACATGCACCAGCCTTGTACAACATACACGCACCAGCCTTGCACAACACGCATGCTTATGCAGAGAAGAGGCACACTTACTTTCTCCTCGAAGAAGTCAGAATACTCCAAATCAGTCTTCTGACTCTTCTGTGCCTGCTTTGTTTTAGATTTTACTGCAAGCGCTTTGTTCTCTTTCTCAGCAGCTGTGCCAAACATCCAGGTATCTTTCACTTTCTGAGTCTGCGATGTTGACCGTGACGTCTGTGCCGTTCTTGAACTCCTTCCACGCATGGCTGCAGTAGATGCAGTGCTCGCTGGCTGTTTCTTCTTGCTGTAGGTGCCACCGACCTTCTGGCGACCATAGCCCACGGCAGTACCAGCCTTGCCACTGGCTGCGCAGCCTCTCTTTGTACTGGTGGTAGAGAGGGTACGTGAGGTGAATTGAGAGCTCCCAGCACAACTTGAACTGCACAAGCAAAGAAAGGGAAGATGTGCTGTATTATATAATTATATGATTTATTGTATGGGAGTTTTCTTGACCATACAAGTGGCTTGAACATGTTGGAACGTTATTGTTTCCCCTGTGCATGAAATCGGTTTCTTACAGGTATAGAAAAGGGAAAACAAAGCGCTGTTGTTGTCTCGGAGTTTCACGAGTTGGTGATCATTAGACATTAGGCAGTCAATTGGTTTCTTATGTACATGGATTGCGTTCTCCTCCTTCAATGTGGCAAACTGTGTTATGCTGTGCCCCGTACAAGAGGCTTTGTTCAGATCATATAAACAATGACTTCGCGGTCAAGAAGTGCAGTAAGACAATAATTCTTATCTGATGAGTCGGCCCTCGTGTCACATGCTTATGCACCCTTTCCGGCACAAGCAATGATTATGTATTCCAATCAGTACTGGTGAATGTGTAACCCCACTGCACTGTGAAGGAAACGTGTATCATCGTGTATGGATCCATACAAAACCTGGATCCAATTGGGTCCAAAAAATCAGCGTTGTCATGACTCCATGGCGTGGGCGTGACATAGTACTTGCAAACCCTATGCTATGTGGAATGAACCATCACACGTGATTCTAAGGTGTATGTACATATATGTGCATGCTTATTCCAGAGCACAATGCCCTGCAGAGCAAGTAACTGCAGCTTGACATCCTGACCCAAAAGAGTTTGAAGTTGACCTTGTTCTTGCGATGCAACGCTCACTGAACACTTCTGCGTGTGAAGGTATCAATGTGTCACGTGTGTCTGTTTGTAGCCATGTGTGCCGACTTGTGCAGAACAGTACTGTGGAATGGCCACGGTCCGGAGACTTCGGACAACATGACTATTGTTTGTTGTGTATACTGTATCAGTATAAAGCATTGCATTATCAAAATTATTATTATACTGTACTTCTGTCGGAAGAGCAGTTACAGCTCTGCATATGGGTGTGCACTCGGGGGTTACTCTTTTCTATCCTTATCCAAGCTATTGTGCTGCAGTGCAAATGTTCACAAGTGATATATCTAGCTCTATCCGTTGATGCTACCCAGATGACATGATTGTATGGACTCACTTCACAGTTTACACTGTCAAGAATTAACACTCACCCAGAGGGGACTGACGAGGACGAGGACTCAGATGACGGGGATGACACATCGTATACTGATGCTTTCACAGACTCCTCTTCCCAAGGGTCCTTAGCCCTATGATCATCAGCTGCCTGTTTCCCATAGTCACACGCTTTTTTCTTGGTTTTCTGAGCTCGCTTCGTTTGCAACATTTCCTTAGCCTTTTCAATTTACCGGCTACCCATGCACAACAACATACAGCATACTAGTAATGACAAGAAAGGAGAAGCTATAGACCAAAAGCGCGGCTGGTGAATCGTAAATCAATGATGTGCCCTACGTGCTTCGGGTACACTTCTTGTACTTTTTCAAGTTTTTTGACTTTCTTGAGTTGAGAAAGGACAAGCCAGCTTTCAAATCTCCCACCGCGACACCGGCGTACTCGCATCGCCATGGAGATGTCACTAAAAAGCTCAGTCGAATAAAAAAAATAAAATAAAATAAAGCTCGATCGATCGATCGCGATCGACGTCACGTGTAACGACGTGACGTGACGTCGTTACCAGGTAACTGGTACATGGTACATGGTTACGTCGATCGAGTCCTCATCATCCATACGCGCGCCGCGCACGCAATGCCACGCATACGATCGCGCAGTAGATCTACGGTGTATGTACGGAAGGACGATACATACGTGCCACTTCACGTGATAAAAAACTTCACGTGATCGTGACGAAAGTAATGTGTACGGGATGCTGAAATGACCAATGAGAGACGTTCGTACGCGTCTCATCGTAGCGTCCTCACGTGGAACCATGGTGAAAAGAAAATTTCTGGCTGTTCGTCTTCGCCATTTCTTCTAGTTTCGTGTTCCTTAGGTTGCCTTGCTCTCTGCAGAAGTCGAAGGAAGGGGTTTGGCACTGCTGTTGCACTCTATCTAGCAACAAACAAGGATAACACTTCTCTTGGATTATCCTGTTAGCCGAACCCCACTGGTTTGCTTTTTTATCAACTCTCGTCGGACTTGTACCAGAAGAAAGTTGGGAGCAAACCCTCCTCCGTTCGTTCTGCAGCAAGTGAGGGCAACAACCCGTGCCCCGATTCCTTGTTCCTACCACCTCGCCTATCGTGTGAACGCCATACTAGGTATCCTTAGCGCAATGCAACGGTGTAGATTTTTGAAGCTGTCCGCTACATTATTACAACAACCCCGGCTGCAGGGATGTCAAGCCCCGCTGGTGCAGAGACGATTCCACTCGACGTCAACTGCAGCCTTCACTAGGACTGATTATCTGAAAGTGTTGGGATTAGCAGAGGGTGCATCTGCAGCAGACATCAAGCAAGCATACTATAACTTGTCCTTGCAACTCCATCCGGATACAAATCCTGGAGATGAGGATGCGCATACTCGCTTTATGGCTGTGTTGGAGGCGTACGAACGGCTCAATGACGTGGCCCGCAATCCACAAGATGTGATCTCACGCATGGAGAAGGAGCGGGAAACAACTTGGAAGCCGAATACAGCAAACATGGACGACATAATGCGGAAAGCAAGAGACCATTTGGAGGAACATTATCACAAACTAGCAGACGACCCATCCACACAACCCCCGCCACCAGAAACTGCGGCACACTTTCGTCTACTTACTACCCAAATTTTCAACGTTGGTGCATTAGCTGCCGTAATGCTTAGTATTATCTATGTTATCCACTCATTGGAGCACAGCTAGTCAACTGTATGGCTGCACACACCAGTAGCCCAGGATCATCGACGTCGGTGAATCCACTATTTTCCAGTGTGCGCGCGCGCGCGTGTGTGTGTGCGTGCGTGTGTGAGGGGTGAACGCCAACGCCACAAGAACTGCACTACAGTGTGCATGTGGTAATAGGGCTGAGTATAGTACTGTTTAATAATAATAATAATACTTGAAGTTGATGAGATGCTCCGTACCGCCGTGCAATGCTCTGCCCATATTGGTAGTCGACATTGTGCTTCAGCACTCATACCCGTATTGTTGGTCATTGTGTACTAGCATATCGTCCATCGCACAAATTATTTGTCTACTTTTTCCTAACTTTCGATACCAGCATTCGTATTTATTTCTATATTATTCCAGCGTCACAACCGGTGATCATTAAATTATAATACCCTCTTCTGGGAAACAATTGCCTTGACTATTATTGTCCTGCATCTGGTTTTCCCTTAAAAAGAAATTGATGCCGTTCGACATCATCAACTCTTGCTTGCTTGTATGCTGAACAATCAGTGTGTGAGGTGGGACATGGAAGAGAGAGGTGGGAATGAATGAGCACTGAGACTATACTTATGGTAGAACACTGGCAACAGATTAAGTTAGTTGCTGGTCAACAAGTAACTTGGTTCTTTCTGGTGAATGGCTACCGCCGCTAACCGGGTATTACATTAACATTGGATAGAGTAGAGGTGCTGCAGTTTACAAGTAGTACCATAGTCTAGACTACAGTATAGAAGCTACTGAAGTATGTGATTACATCACTATAATCATCACAGCCTGGTGTTTGCATTCGGCTACCAGGGATATGGGGAGTCGCATTTTACGTCTCCTTGACGGCTACATCACAAGCAGTGGCTTGCCACTCAACGCAAAGCATAATGACGTCATCCATGTTACATGATGCATCGATGATAGACTGAGATCACCTGTCAGCAATCTCAGCACGTTACTAGTAGACAGTCATGTACTAGTACTCAGGTTATTAGCAGTATTATGTAACCCCACCAGGGCAATGATTTACAGCAGCATCAGCAGTCATGTGACCCCACCAGGGCAATGATTTACAGCAGCATCAGCAGTCATGTGACCCCACCAGGGCAATGATTTACAGCAGCATCAGCAGTCATGTGACCCCACCAGGGCAATGATTTACAGCAGCATCAGCAGTCATGTGACCCCACCAGGGCAATGATTTACAGCAGCATCAGCAGTCATTATAATCACCGTGTAGATGGAATAGAGCATCGATTGTCATACACGCACACAGCCTGACAGGACAGCGAGTTGTCTAACAAGAAGTGCAGGCGTGTAGAGTCGGGGAAACAACACAATTACACGGAATGAGACACCCTCGGCATTCTTGTGCACGCATGCGGCGGCACCCATGGCCCATGAAAATGAGCAAAGCAGCAAGAACACAGATAAGTTAGTCCTGGAATTGCAACTATTCTAACCGATACCCTGTCATTCTGCAATGAGTCTACAGTGCGTATCAGTGAGCCATCAGAGCCGTTTCACGACTCCCTAGTTCGTATTGTATTACGGGTAGAATGGTCACAGCACAATACAGAAGCCAGGTCGCCGTTGGAAACACAAACGGAGTGAATTTGGAGACTGAGAGGGATAGAGCTAACCTGCAGTGCAGAACACATGTAAGTAGCAAACACAGAAACCAGTTAGACACGCACTAGACAGACGCAATCTAGCACAACTGTACAACACCCAATAACTACTATATTTGCCAAAATCCGGCCAATGCTGCACATGGTAGTCGACTACCTTGTGCAGCATTGGCCGGATTTTTTGGCGAATATAGTAGCATATCTTGTGGACAGGACCATATGTGCCAGTCACACCACAATAGCCGAGTACATGTACTTCGAAGTGATTCTAATAGCCAACCACTTGTACCGGTAATAGCCAAGCAGAAGATACATGTGCATGCCACACTCTGGCTGCATGCCTGATGCCAATGGTATATGTTGTCCAATGGCAAGCAAGATCAGTTTGGTTGTACCCATGCAGCCATTGTGGAATACGACATGGGGTATACGTTTTGTACTATGCCACAACCCATAGGAAAATGGTGTCAAGCTATGGTCCAGAGTGTCAGTGTGGCCAGTACCTCAGAGTAACTTCAACATGTACATGTACTGGATATACAAGCCTTGCTTGATAACTTAGATATAACTGACTTGTCAGTTTGAGCACTCTGGCAAGAAATGTTCAGGCCTGATTTAAATCTGGCTTTGGAAATTTTATTTTCATTGCTATCAGGTTCGGCCTCATTTTCTCTGTGCTGCGCTGATGAGTTCACAAAGAAAGAAACAGCATGCTGTCCGCAAAAATTGAGTAACTTAGGTATACATGTATGCCGTGTCATCGGCATCGTCATGCAACGACATACATGTAGTCATGTACTGGTGTATGCAAGCCTTGCTTGATAGTTTAACACATACAGAGTGTCCTCCGCCTTGTAAGATGCTGCCATCGTAAAGCATGCACATGTACTGTACTACATTGAACATTCACATCATAACATTACAAATTCATCAAAACTCATGCATAGAAAGTTAGAAACGTACCCCGACCATGGACATGATGTGCATGGGTAGCAAAGCCGATGTGACACTAGGGTCGTGTTCAATGTTCCTGCACGCCCACCGGGCATGGATGTTCATCTCTCTCTCAGTCTTATTGTTGCTGTACCAGCCTCATAGCATCACGGAGCAGAATACTGGTATACAGGACTTGCTCTTGTCATGTGTCAGTATCAGCAGTATACAACATCCTCTCGCCCAAGGTTGGCCGTAGCTACACGGAACAGCACGGTTAAGGAGACACCCGGGGTGCAAGAGCAGCATGTTCCACTGAGAGTATCTCTACATTCTGGAATCGCAGCTGCCTGACATACAAGTGACACGCGCCACAGCCTCGCATAACGTTACTCCTGCATGTGCGTGTCACTCGCTGTACATGATGCGCAGGGTATGTGGACCTCGACTCTCACATATGGAGCAGTGCAAGCGGTGGTCGAGTCCAGTGGAGCAGCATGCTTGGCTGGAGTAGGAGTACAGCTAGTGCGTCCACCACTCACCAGTTGCAAGACATCCCAGCATGCATGGAGTGGTGAAGAACCACACCAGCACAAGTACTACTGGGTGCATAGGTGAGTGGGGAAAGTCCCAGCAAGTCGTGATTGGGGAAAGTCGCAGCAAGTAGTGAGTAGTACTGAAAACTGTTCCAAGTCACAACACTCTCTCCTCTGCTCAACTGGCCGTCTTCACAGAGATTGGCTGCAGGGACAAGAAGAAAACAGCCACAAGCAAAACAGAACAATTGGAAGGAGCTACAGAGCAGGACTGCAGCAGAAAAGAAATAATGCACTTCCCCCTGTGATCTGGGCAGTACAAATCCTTTCAAAACAACAACATCGACAGCAGCAACAACATGCACACAAGCCAGACACCTGAAGCACCACGCACTTTCAATCAGTGGGCAAAGTGATCACAGTTTGTCTTTGGGTAACTCATCTTCGTAACAATTCGATTAACATTTTTGAAATATTCCTCCTTCTTTTGTAGGCTATGCAGCAATCTCCCTGGATCTATCACTCCCACTGGTCTACCTACATGTCACTTTACTGTAGCAGTAAGCTATGGATGAAGATTTCATCTGTTGCCGGTCAAAATCCTGACAAAGTTTCCAAAGTCACCCACCACAATTTCTTGGGTCAAACGCGGTAGAACCTGGTAAAACATGCAATCACTCACCTGAGAGCAATATGGACACGTTCCAAAGATGACATTGTAGCTCACACGACTTGTGGACAGAGTCCGCAGCCACTAACAGCACACAATACAAATCCATAACAACAAATTAGTCGACTCATCACAACAATATTTTTGTTGATGCCATCTTCATTTTAATAGTCCGCAAGTGTCGTGTGGTCTCATCCGGTAACAAACAAAAAAGTATCACTATTATAACATCAACACCATCATCACCAACGCCAACACCACATCAACACAAAAGAAAACATCTAAATTCTAAAGCAGTGACGAGACAGTAAGTGAGTGCGTGAGTGAGTGAGAGAGAGAGAGAGAGAGAGAGAGTGAGAGTGAGCGAGAGTGAGAGAGAGAGAGTGAGAGAGAGAGAGTGAGAGTGAGAGAGTGAGAGAGAGAGAGAGAGAGAGAGAGAGAGAGATAGATAGAGAGGATAGAGAGCGCACCTCATAGAGACACAGTTGATGGAAGGGTTGCTTGCATCGTTCATACGCACAGGCCTCCACCGGAGTGGCATTGTTGAGACGATATGTGTAACATATACCACAAGCGACGAATAATTCCTGGATGAGACAAGAACAAGCACACAGCGGTGAGCACACCAGCAATCTACACGGGGGAAAGTCTCTTATTCCAACTTCCAACACAGAGCAAGAGCTGAATCATGTGAGAACCAGTTGATTCAAGTTCCTTGTCTCGCTACGGCAACCATAGAACGGGTTGACCCTAACCCCATCCCAGTGATCCCACTACATGTACAAGTACTAGTACCTCTTCTTTGGTGGTAGCCTTGCTGGGAAACTCCACACCGAGTAGCACAGTGAGATTATCCAGTATGGATTGATACAGGTCCCTGAAGAACACACACATGAAATACAGTACAGAGATCTATTATCTAGTGAGTGGTGTAAGACATGACATCATCAGCAACAGAATTTGCTTATCTCAACTGTTGTGTGACCTGGGTGTAGGTCTACGTACAAGTGTGCGCAAGCCCATCATCCAAACGTCAGGATTGGAATATGGCAACACATTCCTTCTTTAGAGCTAAGAGCATATTCTATCAGTGTGTGATGGTGCATGGGTGGGAGAGATGGGTGCATGGGTGGGAGTGTTTAGTGAGGCAGAGATGGGTGCATGGGTGCATGGGTGGGAGAGATGGGTGCATGGGTGGGAGTGTTTAGTGAGATACCGTCTACTGCATACATGTACTAGTACAAGGCACCATACCATTGGTCTAAATTGCGATTCAAGTGTTCCTTGAGCGGCGCCACAGCTGCAGAACAACACAGAACAACATAGAAGTGCAGGCAAGTCATTGGGTACTAAAGCAGGCTGTCAACAACTTACAAGTGCAGATAAAGTACTGGACAGCAAAATTCGACCTCATGAATAAAATAGCGAGCGGGCACTTCATAAACCTACAAGTAGCACCACCAACACCATCAACACTGGGTACTCGAACAGGGTGCAGTGCTACTTTAGTTATGAATCAAATTTCACTGAGCAGAAGGAAACAAGTATCTAAGGGGTCGTCGCAAAGGTTTTCTGTCGTCCCTGAAACGAACAGCGTTCATTTCGTACTCGGACCCTCTCCCCTCCCCCTGAAACGAACACAGCTTGCTATGCTGGACGACGAAAATCGCATGCATGTACATGTCATATGTACAGTGTTGGTCGACTTGCGATTTTGGCTCGCACCCCCCCCCCCCCCCCCCAAATGAATCATGTTCGTTTCAGGGACGACAAAAAACTTTTGCGACGACCCCTAAGAAGCCCTCCATGTGATGGCAAACTGTATGCGAATTAAATTATAGAAAAGATGCGTCATACAAGTGAAGCAAAAAAAAACTCCAGAATCTGTTGGGACCAGTAGCAAGTGAACATTGCGAGTCTTTGTCACATTGTTGTAGAACTTGCCCCCCAGGCAGTACTAGGTATTAGCTAGGGCTAGCTGTCACCAGGAGTAAGACAAGAAACCCATGCCTCAACACTCACCTTGTGCAGCACCCAGTAACTGCATGATTGGCAAGGACCTTGGCTTCACTGGATCTACTTCAATCTGTACAGATGCTGTACTACCTGAAAACACACGCATAAACAAACATGCACACAAACATGCACACAAACATGCACACACACGCACACACACACACACACACACACACACACACACACACACACACACACACACACACACACACACACACATACACGTACACAAACAGTGACATCAGTACCGGAGTCAAACTCACACCTAAGAGCAGCACAGTGTGCAACAAGGTAACAAGGTCCTACTTACTGCTGCAGTACTGCATATTAATAACTTACATTGCAGACTATAGAATGTGATCCCAGCCAGCAATCACTCATCAAACAAAACTATACCCAAGTAAACGCTACTTGATTACTCAAGTAAAACAATAAATACTACTACTAGTACTACTACAAACAAGCACAACAGAAAGCACAACCAGGCACAAAACAAGCAGCAGACACAAGCACCCTGGCCAGCTTACTAATAGCAATACGGCGTAGCAATGCGCTTCGATTGGGCTTTTCCGGCTCCAGTACCCAGACATTGGAGTCGATCTCGTCCATCAAGTTCCAAAAGTCCTGGTACAGCTTCAAAGCCTGGGCAAAGAGTGTACAAGTACAAGTACGATTATAGTGCTATTACTCAGTCACCGTATTAGTTTACTAGACAAGTGACTAATGAATGACACACATGCTACATGAACACATACATGTAGCTGGAACAACTTCAACAAATATTAGCCGCTGCTTGAAGTTTCATACCCTAAGCTAGTGCATATTTCTAATTAAAAAGTTCAATCTTCATGAAAAGCCAGGTGTGATCCGAGATGCCTGCAGTGCAGTTTTCAACGGTGCATCAATTCATGGGGGGCGAACTGTTCCTCCCTTTCCCTCCCCTGCCATATGTATGGTCTCAATATATGCATCCACTGCACTCCAGCTACCACCACCCTCGCGTGTAGGCGCTGTCGTGCCTCGCAACTGTCCCACCAGGCCATGATGATGAGTATGGAGTAGTACATACACTCTTAGCTGCACACTGCAGCAATGTGGACTTACTTGGGTGAACTGGTCGTACACCTCCTGCAAACAGCCACCCTGATGCACGCAAACACATAAAATACAACACGAAAGAAAGCTTACGCCTGGTTCACACTAGGCCGGTTTTTCGGCCAATGCCATGCTCCGACACCGACATGAAATCGACCGACTGCGTCGGACTACCCATTCACACAACGGCATGCGAATTTGCTTGTCTGCCTGTCTGTGTACACCTTATACGTGGTACACAGCTGTGCCAGACTGTAGTAGACGTTAGAGAGCAGAAATAATTTTGTTTTTCACACGAGCCACAGAAGCAAAAGCCTGAAAAGGCTAGCGTCTACATTGTAGTAGTGATCCAGTGCAGCCAGTTCACGATCTGCACAGATGCTCTCTGCTGTTATGGTAAAAAGACGTCAGTGATTGGCCGGGGGCCCGCTCCACCACATGCAAGCACTGAAAATTGGCGAAATATAAATCGTACAAGAAATCGCCCCAAAATTTGCCTAAAACTTATACGGCAAATCCGCTCACACAGACACACACAGAGAACAATACAACACGTACGGTACCTTAGATGACCAGCGCAGGTCAAATGCCACGGGCAAGTCCACAGTACAACGTGGAGCACTGATTGGATACTGTAAATAAAAGAGAGAGAGAGAGAGAGAGAGAGAGAGAGAGAGAGTATGTGTGTGTGTGTGTGTGTGTGTGTGTGTGTGTGTGTGTGTGTGTGTGTGTGTGTGTGTGTGTGAGAGAGAGAGAGAGAGAAAGAGAGATAGAGATAGAGAGAGAGAGTCGGTTTCCTCATTATAACAGCACACTCTATAAGTCAATATAGTTGGGAGACAAGGGTAAGAGAAAGAAAGCAAAAAATAAAAAGTAAAAAGGACCAAGAAACTACAAGTTACACTATAATGTCCACTAACACCACCAGTTACTAAACAATCAGCTCGTGCGATAACAAAGCAAAAAATTATAGAAGTTTTAATTCAATTTGCAGCAGTGCCTCTCCATGGAGTGCCGGGCAACAGTCACTCAGTCGCTCATTTACTTACATTGGAATGCAGGTGCACTGTTATGGGATGAGTTCTTTGAGCATCATCTCTACAGCAGAACATGTGTACAACATAACAAAATGGTGAACATGCTGGGACCAGCATGTTCCGATGTATCACTCGGCACTGGATTCGACCTGCACCTACAATGTAGCCTGCATCTTACAAGTCACAGTCATACTTACAGTGACATGGCACGGCAACGGCACATGTATGTACATTACATTGAACATGTTCATGAACTTACTGGGCAGAGAGCTGGAGGGAGGAGAACGACGGGTCAACAAAGGTCAGTCTGCACACACGGGTCGGGAACACATGCACAGAGATAGAGAGGTGATGATGATGATATTCTAGCTGTGACTGAGTGCCCCAATCAGGGATAGTACCAGTGACTAATTAACACACATCACACATTCGACAAACAGTAGAAAAGAATAGGACCAAGGAACTACAAGACTTAGTTATGCTATAATGTCCAGCTACACCAGTCACAACTTGTGTGGCTCTAAGATGCAAACATCAATTGAAGGGGAATTGAAGACTTCCAGCTTGCGCTTGTCTTGGTTGCACGCACCTTACCCTCCTATGTTATTCCTATAACTTACAAGTAGAACCTTCCAAGTAATTTAGTTGGAAGGCTGTTGGAGTGCGCATCCAAGACGTCCTAGAGCTGATTGGCAGTTAGGCGTAGAACGCCAGTACCGTTAAGAACAGCTTTTAAAAACATTAAAAAAGTGTGTGAGTTCACGCATACCTCTCCCAGCCAATCACACCAATCTCCTCCACAATCTTCGAGAAGAACTTTGGCGGCAGGGCTAATGCCTGCTCGCTTGCTGTATTAGATGTCGCCAGGCAATGCTCCTATGAAGAGTAGAGAAACAGGCGAATAGTAAACATTACTTTTAGGGTCAGTCTATTGGACTGACATTTTTCAAAACAGGTTTTTTTAACTCCTCCCCAGTATACAAACTTACAGAGACGCTCCGCTCCGTTTCCAAAGAAAAAAGATTCCTCCCCAGTAATTGATATTGAACGTGTAATCCGGTACGGTCACCAGCACGTTGAAAAGCGAGCGATGCATTCAGGGGAAACAAGACAGTGGAGCTCATCCAGTAGGTGCTCTGATAAGCATGTTTGCTTAGTACAGACATTGCCCGGGTCATGGGGGTATGGCTCCATATGGAAGTAGGGCTGGATAAGAAGTACTGTACGAGCAGAAATATTCGTCTGGAATTTAATTTTGTCTTTTTCGCCCAAGAATACACTCTTATCATCCATGGACGAAATTTACAACTGGACGAACTCCCTTTCTTTGGAGTTAGACGAAATTATTGACGGACGAAATTTTCTGCTTGTACAGTACTTCGATACTATAATTAGAAGCAGCACAGTTTCCTTTTCCACGTAAGTGTATGTAATAGCAGAGCTCCACTCCATTGGCATTGGTCTGAATTCTGATCGGATGATTCTATTATGCGGGAAAACTGTTTGATTGGTCAATGCTATCACTTTGCCTCACACGTTGTACCCGGGAGGTGAGATAAATAAACCTGCATGTTCCTCTACTCCTCTTTATTCAGGCGCGTTGCTTGAGGAGGCCGCACACATGATAGAACCCTCTCCCAAGCGTCCAGCGATTGTCTTCGGAACCCGTTCATTCCCTGAAACTCCTACTTCAAGTAAGACCATAGACGCAGACCCGAAGCTGCCGTTGCATGTGATGAAGAACATTTTGTTCTCAGCCCAGTGCAACTGAGGATGTACTGGGTACGAGCCCTGGAGAAGTTTGAACAGTTCAAGTTGATCCCCGCTGTCAAAGTGGCCATGGTGAAGGTCAACTGTGCGACAGGAGATGCCAGCAAGCATTCAATTGTTTCATTCCTATACACGACCTGTTCTCAGGAGATTAGACTCCATCAATGGATATACCAATGCTTGCCTCAAATAGGACACAGGGTAACACCAACACAGTTATGCTCTTCACCACTCCTTTCTTGTACTTTAAAGAAGTAGTAACTTAATACTCTACACTGAACCAACAAAACCAAATAAGAACTTGGTTCATTTGAAACACAATTAGTGAGATAACAAATCGCAGGCTACGTACCACTATATGCTTGAACTCCACCAGGAAAGCAGACAGAGTGTTGCTAAGGGAGAGCCGCTATACGAGAAAAACACACACAAAACAGAGACCAAAGCATAGTTGAGACATGGGAATGGAACAATGAGGGGTAAGGCAGGCAACTACTCCAGCCCTTATCCCATGACGGTCAGTCTCATCACAGTTCCATTGTAGAACTGATAAAGGCTGATATCTTTATTATTCACTTACAAAAAAAAGTGCAACACTGCCTGCATACTCTCAGTCTCGCGCAACTTTAATTCTCCTCTGTACGACTAGTACCCTTTATGCAATGGGCTGAGAGAAGGTTATGCTTGGATATCAGCCGTGGGGCCTTTCAGGGTAGAGTAGTTATGCGAATGACATCATCATCATCATCATCATACACGCTAATGAATGAAGTGGCAAACTAGCATTGCCATGTCACTCCGATCCATGATGAAATTGCATGACCTATATCCCAATGACGGATGCGGAACTGAATGACTCTCACGCAAGCCATGGAGCATATTAACGTTTTAACTCGAGGAAGTTGGATCTACACAGGCTATGGCACACGCACTGTGCCTTACTTGGCTAATAACGTCCACGCAGTCAGCTAGCAACAAAGACAATCGATGGTCGCCGTCAAGTCTGCTTGAGAGAGAGAGAGAGAGAGAGAGAGAGAGAGAGAGAGAGAGAGAGAGAGAGAGAGAGAGAGAGAGAGAGAGAGAGAAGAGAGAGAGAGAGAGAGAAGAGAGAGAGAGAGAGAGAGAACGTGAATTATGAGAAACAGCAGTCAGTTTGCATATGAAGGCATTGAAGCATGAAAGTAAGGTTGTGCAATGCCCAGCCCATAGTACTGGGATCAGGCCATAGTACTGGGACCAGGCCATAGCATAAATTCTGTTGATGCGAGTGCAGCAAACAGTCTTGAAAAAACATCACGACCCTATGAACATTGCCGTTGAACATGGTGACAGCCTAGTTTGGGAAACGCAGCCGCTCAGACAGTGCATGAAACACGTCTGTGATGGTGTGCGCATGAGCTCCTGCATGCAAGCATACCTGTTCATGCATACACCTGTGACAATTACACACGCAGAGTGGAATGCATTGATTCTCACATACATAGTGCCATCCAGTGTGCTAACACCAGGCTGGTATCCAGCAGGCAGCTCAATGCGTACATGAAACGTGTCCTCCTGTATTGGGAACACAGTGAAACAAGCACACAGCACATGCAGTTATTTGCCAGCCCCGACTGCCATCGGATTTCCCGTGCGGTGCCAAGTAAGTTCACCACCCGGCCCGCTCTTTCATGCCCCACATGTGGATTTCCTACCATATGCCACAGTGACGTGTGTGACATCACGGCACGTCACGATATATATGATGTGTGGGGCAGTGAAACCCCACTTCCAGTCAGTGACAGGAGAGAAATTTCGCCTTCACTCCGTGAATGTCCAAGAACAAGGCTGCCTAGATGTACCTGCCATCATGGCCAGTTGCCTTTGAAGTTGCCGGTTTGAGCACACGTTTATCGACGTCAGGGTGTTTAACCTGTATGCGTCCTCAAATTGATAACCTGTCCCAGAGGACCAGCATAACCAGAAACAAGGGGGGGGGGGGTGCTTTCCAGCCTAATGACCCTGGATACGGAGACCACCTGGTAGAAGAGGTCACGTTTGAAGGTCCCTTGAGAGGTCGTCTTCCTCACTGTACAATGTAGTGCGTTTATTCCGAAACTGGTCCAATCATTCAGAAATTGGTCCAATCATTCAGAAACTGGTCCAATCATTCCAAAACTGGTCCAATCATTCCGAAACTGGTCCAATCATTCCGAAACTGGTCCTATCATTCCGAAACTGGTCCTATCATTCCGAAACTGGTCCTATCATTCCGAAACTGGTGCATTCCTTCCAGACCTGCTGCAATCATTCCGGAATTGGTGCAATCATTCCGAAACGGTCCAATCATTCCGAAACTGGTCCAATCATTCCGAAACTGATCCAATCATTCCGAAACTGGTCCTATCATTCCTTCCAGAACTGGTGCAATCGCTCCGGAACTGGTGCAATCATTCAGAAACTGGTGCATCCATTCCGGAACTACTGCATTCGGATAATATTCTGACTGCTATGGTCTCGGACCTCGAGCAGCTGGAGCAATTTGGCCGTTCAACGTTTTACACTGTTTCCAAATATGGATCAGTTGATGTGCCACAAAGTATGCGAAGTGCAGCACTGTAAACTCGACAAAGTTTAGTTTAGTAAAGTAAAGTTTGCACGTCCGCGTTACCACCGGCTATACAATTGCGTTGAGAAACACAACCAGCTTAGGAAGTTTCGCATGTGCCAGGCCACCACCATGCCTGTGATACCAGGGTGGCAGATGCAGCGCCTAACGGCGAGGGTGAGGTGGTAAGTCTCACAACCAATGCCCGACAAGGGGGCTAACCTCGTTAGCTGCATCCATGTTACCCTCACTCCGAGTAGTGAGCACCCAGTTGACCGTGGGTGTCGGCGCAGTTCACTGCATGTAAAGTGGTTCACGCGTGCATCACCGCATTTGCTAGCACAGTACACGCTCCCTGCTCCCAGCGCGAGTCTCGAACTCGGGACCTTGTGATTCGCAGGCAAGCCCACAACCACTCGGCCAAAGCGCTGGTGTTTAGTTTAACGACAAATATATTCAACGACTTCATTTTGATGGTCGTTTCTCGGTATTTCAATTTAGTATTTAGTGATTGAAGAACTCAACTATGTACATGACACAGGACGCTGGGAGTTCGCGACGTCAAACCTTAGCGAAATCAGTCCATTCGCAAAGACCACGGAGCTCTCCTGTTGCCAAAATTTCCCGGGGTTTACAGTACATGTACCGACCGGTATTGGAGTTTTCCGCCGAGTTTTCCGCCAACGCCAATCACACTACATGGCCATACACACAGTGATAGGGAAATATAGTACCGTAAAGTACCGTTGATCCGCCCCCTCTCTAATTGCCGCCCCCTGTCGATTTTCTGCCTGTGAAGCTACTTCAGCGTATGTACAACGAAATACGATATTGAACCGACGCATGCACTGCTCTACGCAATACGTGCGAGTGCAGGATAACAATGTGCACAATCCAGCACATCGAGTCAGAACTTCCACGTTTTTGTACATCGTACTGCACTTGACAGCCTTGATCTAATTCCCGCCCCCTGCCGAAAACCCAGCTGGGAAGCGACATGGATGGGGGGGGGGGGGGGGATCAACAGTACTTTACGGTATATGCATCATCCTTTGATCTGCTCAAGGCTGCTGCTGTTTTTAAGATATTCCGATTGTTCAGTTCTGTACCGGGCCGTCATGATCAAACGTATCCTCGGTGAATTCACTTGGACATATTATTTTGAATCTCTCGACTCTGTCAGTTTTAGCTGTTCACAGTTCAGGCTGGCCGTACTGATGCTATGATAAACTCTAGTTTCCAGTGGCGAAAGTATGGGATTTTAAACAAGCTGGTAAAAATCATTGCACATTTACAATGTATAAAAGTTTCTTACTTTCACATTGATGAAACCTTCATAAATTTTGAATTTCGAATCCACAGGAAGCAGTGTGGGGAAGATACTGCCAACGTCATCCATCATACACGCAGGTTGTGCAATCTACAGACTGCACCACCTCCTCCACAACTTCCACCTGTACTGTCTCCAACAACTACTTCTACAATCAAGGTCTCTGTGTCTAAAATAATTTACTTCGAAATGCTTGCAATTATACTGCATGGCCATTGCACATAATCATTGAATAATTGATGGATATGGCCATATGGATGGAGGTTTGGTTGAACCATGACCAGATGACCCTGTTTCGAATTTCGTGCACACGAAACCCATGCGTTTTTTAGTTTGTCAAAAATGTTCACGGCATCGCGCAGCCTTTTTCGTTGGGTTTTAAATTTTGCTGATGAGTCGAGTCTTGATTTCTCTGTCTTGCACTTTGTTGACTTCTCGTACTCGTACATGTACAGCGCGCGGCTAGCTACCGTAGATCTACTGCCACTGGCCCGTAGTTTTGAGCCGTAGTTTTGATGGTGGTTTGACTTTTCAGTTTTGTTTTGATTTTGACTTCATTTCATGCATTTCAATTTTGAACGGCGTTTGAGAGTTGGATGTGTAATGCCAACCATCGAGACCTTTTACTAATCAGTTTGCTTCTTCATTTACTTGATTCGTGGCAATGGCGGACGGAGGACCCCCTGACGATGATATTTCGCTGCCGAGAAGTGAGTTTGAATTCGTGAATGAAATAGTATTGGCGAAATTCGAAAATAATACTCTACTGCTTTTTGATTTGTATGTGATCAAAATCTAGACACTCAGCTTTCTCCTTTAAATAGGGGAGTAGTTCGGATAAAACTTCTTCACCGAATCCTATTTTTCAGAGTGAGATTTATTTGAGTTGTGTAGTGAATTCAGTTTCAATTCACAGATCAATGACGCCATAGGTATCTGCTGAAGATTTCTATGGACAGTGAATAAATGAATACGATATCTACAACAATGTACATGTACTGTGCTAATAGCCTATAGTGTAGTGTCAGAGGAGAACGATCAACATCTGTGGAGTTTCTTTTCTTTTGCTTGTTGGCTATCCAACACAGCTTATTACTGTCAACGAAGTTTGCATCAATTCAAGTCTTGTTTCTTAGACTAGCTTGGAGAGTCTAATACAAATGATTGACAGAGAAGATGTCCTACAGTGTAGCAGGCCTATATAAACCCGTGCGAAGAATCCATACAACACTACACCCTGTATTACGGCAGCTAAGCTAAGGCTGCAACCACACTAGGTACAAAATCGCGTACAAACGGCATTACAGTAGAAATCGTCATGGCGACCCGCCCGAAATGCAAAATGCACTTAGTAGGTTTTCAGCAACCGGCGCACCCTGTAGAAAGCCGCGTTTGTCGTTTTCGTCGTTTTCGCGCTCCATCTCCTGTGTACAACTTTTTTTGTACCTGGTCTTCGTACGTATAGCGTATAGCATCAGCATCAGCATTGTTTTTGAATTTCCCGGTCTTTTCCACCGCATGGCACATGCTTTGGTATGACAACGTCACGTGCTGGTCGCGTGAAAACGTCATCTATACAGACCGGAAAGTGTAGTGTGGTTGCGTACCGACTTGTACTGAGATTAGCCTGAAAATTTGTACTGTGATTTTGACGTAGTGTGGTTGCGGCCTAAGCTCCTGGCCAGGCCCAGGCTGAATGGCATCTGTAGCTGATGTCTCTATTACGTGTTACAGTCATGTATATGCAGTTTAGGTCTCAGTCAGAGCCGCAGTGAGTTGCGGCAGCACAAGACAGTGCTCAATGCACCTAGACCCAGAACCTCATACAGGCACAGAGAAGGGACTTGCTGTTTGATGATCGCTAGTAACAGCAACACAGTTTGTGTCTCTCTTCTCTGTACCTGTATAGCTATGATCTCCAGTGCATGTACACTGCTATTTGATAGTACTGTACTAAAACACTGCATGCAGATCTCTAGTCTCCTTCGGACGCGTTTCTCTAAATATTATCATACATCTCTTCCCCCCCCCCCCCCCCCCCCCTCTATTTCTTTCTTTCACACACACACACCTTGGACCTTGAACGCCCATCACATAGCGATGATGGCTCAGGCGCGGCAGTGGGGGGCGTGCCTCTTCAGGTCACCAATGCGGCCAAAGGGACGGCCACATGCGCAACGGAACTCTTTCGGTCCGGGTGGAGGAGGCTGCTGACAACACAACCGCCTCCAGGTTGGGCGATCCTGGGCTTGACGGGTCCATTCTCCCTCTCCGATCTGGGCCGCAGCTAGGTCAGTGACAACAACGTCACGCCATCGCTTCTTCGGACGATGGCGTGGGCGAGTGGCATATAACTCGCCAAATACCATCTGCTGCGGAGTGCGGTGTTCCTCCATACGTGCAATGTGCCCCAGCCAGCGCAAACGATGCTGTCGCAGCAAATCGGAGACGTCAAGAGACATGCCAAATCGCCTGCCCAATTCTGCCGATGTGAGCCTGTCCTCCCACTGCTGGATCCGCGATACGCCGAGGATAGACCGAATACAGGAGCGATGGAAGACGGTCAGCCAATGGACGTGGGTAGCCTTCACAGCCCATGTCTCTGCACCGTAGAACAGAGTGCTCAGGACAAAAGCGCGATATACCATGCACTTAATGCCGATGGATAAACCCCGGCACCGGAAAATCGGGGTCAGGAGGCAACCAAACACACGAGATGCCTTGGCCAAGCGGGAGGTGATCTCCACGTCCAGTGACCCATCGCAACTCACCACACTACCGAGGTAAGTAAACCCGGAGACCATCTCCACAACCCCACCATCATCGAGGACGGCATCAGGTTGTAGGTCCCCCAGGCCGACTGGTATGGCCTTGGTCTTGACGATGCTGACAGTGAGACCCCGCTGAGAGGCACAGGCGATGAACTCGTTTGCCAGGGTCTCCAGATGTTCTCTTGATGTGGTGTATACAGCGGCATCATCAGCGAACTGGGACTCGGTAACTTGGTACGTGTTCAGTCGCGCCTTGGTTGTTCGATCCCCAACGAGCTTCCGGCCAGGGCGTGAGCGCAGGGACACGCCGGGAACAGAAGAGCGGGAAGGCCAAGACGACATTACGGCAGCAAAATACAGATTGAATAAGGTGGGGGCAAGAGTACAGCCTTGGCGAAGACCATTGTTAACATATATGTCCTCCGTCAAGCGACCAGATATACGAACCCGAGCCCTCATGCCGACATGTAGGCACCGAATCAAGCTGAGAAGGGTAGGTGGAATACCGAGCTTCCCGAGGACAAGCCACAACGCCTCACGAGGTATGCTGTCATAAGCCTTCTTCAGGTCGACAAATATGACATACAGTGGCGTATCATGTTCGATGGCCTTCTCGATTAGCTGGCGCGCCACAAACACCATGTGGCACACACACACACACACACACACACACACACACACACACACACACACACGCACACATACACCACACACACACACACACACACACACACACACACACACACACACACACACACCACTCACACACTCACACACTCACACACTCACACTCACACTTTTTTTCTCTCTATTTCTCCCTCCCTGTCTCGCACAGTCAGTCCGAGGAAACTCCCTTGATAGGCATCCATTTGCCTTTGGAGAATGCATGTTATGCAATACATGTACACTGTAATCCTATGCCACACTGTATGACCGTTGTGTGATAGATGGCGACACTGCTGTGGTGAACCGTATAGCTGGATAGTGCATGAATGAATACCGGTAGCAGAGAGTGGTGCAGTTCAGTGCACTACATCCACTATACTAGTGTTGTCTAAGAGATAGTACACTGTATTTGCAGCACACAATGTACTGTCGTGGACATGGCCATCCGGTCGGAGGTCAAGCGGCCCCAGGGCGCTGGCCATGCAGCTGTGAGCACGCATACGGCACACCCATGCAACATTCTGTATGCACTGAGGGTGCCGGCCCCGATCTCCACGTCCACGACACTACATGTACCAGTACTTGCGATAGGTCCTACTGATGGTACCCTGCCTGCATCTTTGCTGGATTCAATGACTTGTATACAATGTGGCCTCATCAGCGAAACTGAACCCATGTGTGTTTGTGTGCAGCGGCTGTGAATAAGTTGATAAAGGAGATGTTGCCAAACATGCGTATATCCAATGACGCAAGGGAGCTGGTTCTCAACTGCTGTACAGGTTAGTTGTGATTGCTAGCTAGCTACATGTATTCGTGTATTCGGCTATTTCACAGTGCTGGTACTGTATCCGTGCTGCTAGTGTTGCTTGCAGTACCAATCGTGCTGCCTTAGGTGTTTCAATGAGTGCAGCTGCTGCTGCTGCTGACAGCATGACTAAAAACTGCCTTTTGCCTATTACGTGCATAGTGCATACACCCAAAGAGCTGAAGAAGAGGGGGAGACAGGGAGGGTGAAGGCACAATGACTTAGGGGCCGTTTACATGAGAAAAATAAGCCCAGGCTTACTCGCCTCGGGCTTATTTTTCAACCGTTTACATGACAGTTGTGCGCAGCTGAGTTCAAGTGGGTGACTGCGAGTTATGCGTGCATTTGATTTTTCAAATTGCACATGAAGGCAGTGGTAAATGTTCATGGAGATGAAACTTGGGTCAAGACGTGCCTTCTCACGCTTCTACTGCCTTTCCAATTGTCACTTTTTTCCCAAAAAGGTGAAGCCTTTGCTGAACAAAAATTCTTAAGAAATATCGCCAAGAAGAGAAACAAGAGACGCACTGTCCACGACGAAATCCTCTCCGGTTCACGAGGCAAAATCGAAAAATACGAAAAAATCGCTTACAAGCCCAGAGCTTATTTTCTTGACCGTTTACATGAGAAAATGAGCCCTGGTTGGATAAGCTCGGGGTCAAGGGTAGGACCAGTTCAGCTCGGGGCGAGCTGAATAAGCCCGCCACACCATATCAACGCCCGCTCTAAAATGACTGGGTGACAATTCAAGGGGGGGGGGGGGGAGGGGGCTTATCGTAAGCCTAGGGTTGAATTGACCAAGATGGTATTTTTGTCCATACAAGAGGCTTGGGATTTTAAAAAATAAGCCTGGGCTTATGTTTCTCATGTAGCGGCCCCTCAGAAGGGTGAGGAGAAGGGATAGAAAGGTTGTATTGAAGATAATAAGATGACTCGATGGGTGTGACGCGCAGTGTGCTCAGCTTTGTAGCACGGCGATCATGCTTTTGTGTTGAATGTAGCTAGGGGTGAAACAATTATACCGAATATTCGAATACTCGTTTGGATTTTTCGAATATAATCGTACTCGGAATAAATCAGAGTACTCGCTCATACATGGTACATACATTTACCACAGAAGTCTGCAGTTTCAGAGCAGCAGTCAGCAGATATTGATGTGCAGACTGTGTGGTGAACATTTGTGCACGAGTAGAGAGAGCCCAAATGATCCACCAACCAATACACCCGAGAAAAGAACTGCCAATCGGTTCAATCAGGGTTGTATCATGTGATTTTTGAGGCGGTTGGTGTGCAATGTTTAGAATATCAAGAATACTCGAATACTCGAATATTCGATCGGAGAAAATCAGAGTACTCGAACTCGGGATCTCAGTGCCAACTTTCACCCCTAAATGTAGCACATGTGACAGAAACTGGTCAAACAGTGCAGTGTTCAATATAACACAAGTATGGGAGCTGGGTGGCTCCTTTACACTGCAGGTGTGACCCACCCGTCTCCACTACTTGTGCTATATGTATCACTGCATATATCACTGCATATATCACTGCATGTATCACTGCATGTATCACTGCATGTATCACTGCACTGTTTGACCAACCTGTGCTACGAAAAGCCTCTTGTACGGGCAAAGCAAAAGTGCCTGTGCTATGTGCATTACTGCACTGTTTGACCAGCCTTTATCGTTTGTGCTACGGTCATAGTAGAAAGACGTGAAGACTCCAATGCAGCATCTTAATTAATAATAGAAGGGAAGCGGTGGTTACACCTGGCAAAGTGGCGGTAAACACACAACCCGCACGTCCCTATCCGAGCCAAGTCGCTGCTGTGTCATCACCTATGCGCCAGGCGCTAACTGATGTACCAGCCAGCTGTATGTATGTGGATACATCACCAGCCATGCGTCGACTAAGCCCCGTGGGCAAACAGGTGATAGTGTTGAGGGAAGGAGAGCTCTTGGCCAGAATTTTACAGCTTAGAGAGCGCTTTGTGTGGGTAGGCGTGTATGTACCGCCATTTTGCCAGGTGTGTGTTTTACCGCCGTTTCTCTGCTAGGTCTATATTAAAATACTAAAGCGTGATCACCATGCTACTCAACCTTGCGCTTCATCTTAGTATCTTACTACCTTGTCATAATCGAGCTAATTTTTGACCTTTCCTCACCCCTTGTCCTCACCCCTTCGGACTCATCGCGCCTTCACCCTCCCTGCCTTCACCCTCTTCTTTAGATCTTAGGGTATATATGCTAGGTGAATAGCAGTTTCTAGGTTTGCTGCCTAAGGAAGGTTTTGCACTCGAAACTCTGAGTAACGGCAGAGAAGACTTGATTGTACCGTTGCTGCGTACCCACGTTATTGTTTGCTCCGACCTCCGCGCACTGAGCACTTTTCACAACCTGAGGATTAGTCGGCATGTGGGTAGGTATGTGTGTAGGTAGGTGTGTGTCATGTGTTGGATGTGCCATGTAACTATTGTTTACGAGTGCTGTGTGCTACTGCATCGTATACTTATGCACTAGGCATGTACATGTGTCAGTAGGTATATAATTATCATGTGTAGTACTGTACATGTGTGCTATGTGTTGTACTGTAGATATGTGCCTTGTGTAGTACATGTACTGTACGTATGTACGAGTATCATGTGTGGTAGGTATGTGCCATGTGTTGCATTGTCCTGTGTACACATTTACACATGTACATGTGTATTACTTGCTTCTCTGTGTACATGTACAAGACTGTATTACTTGCTTCTCTGTGTACATGTGCATATGCAGAGTTTATACATCTACTGGCGGCAGAGGCCAATGAGGAGTGTGGTCGGCAAGCCAAGAAGACCATTGGTCCTGAGCACATCCTTGCTGCACTGAAGGTGAGTGGGAACTGTGCAGTGTCACCATCTGGTCTCCCTGTGTGTCCGGTACACATGCATGCACTCATACTTGTCTTGTTGAACAGTGAACCTTCGGTATGCCCAAGTACACATACCCTGGGTTGAATCTCAGATACAAAGTACCGTGTAGCTCGCTATTTCAGAGTGATGGTATGCCTCGCGGAGGTGTTATACATACTGAAGTTGCACTGCGTCTTCACTTTTGTAGCGGATGGCTTGTTTTCTGGCTTTATAGTGCACTGGTGTGTGTGTGCTCACACACATTTGCGTGCTCCATTGGATGTATGTGCTTGTAGTCTATACTTTCAAGTACATGTAGATGCAAGCAGCAGTGGCTGGCAAATGGTGTCATGTTCATTGTACTGCTGTCCAGGATGTGAATATTCATGCTGGTTGTACCCCTCTCCCATGCTGGTTGTACCCCTCTCCCATGCTGGTTGTACCCCTCTCCCATGCTGGTTGTACCCCTCTCCCATGCTGGTTGTACCCCCTCCCCCATGCTGGTTGTTTTTTTTTTGTTTTTTTACGTGTACGAAACCTCTTGTACGGGCAATATTAATAAACCGATACAATCATGTCATGAAAATACAAAAGATGACCAAAATGATAAAGTAATAAAGCTGACAGAATGGAGGGAAAACTTATTTACAAAGCACGAAGAAGTGTAAAAACAACAGAAAAATGATAAGGCACCCATTTTGATAATCCAGGGGATGGCCCACGCCTGGTACTGCCACTGCATTATAAATCATACCGTTTTATTACGTAATGACTGATAAAAGGTGTGAAGCAAACTAATAAAAATAGTGTAAATGAAAATCGCTGCTAGATCACACCTTACTGAGAGAGAAGCCATGACGTGCGAGGGGCCTACAGGTCAGCCAACTTGAAGCACCCTTCTCAGAGGCAAGTTGGATGACACGCTGCTGGTCGGCATTAAGGGTAGCAGTAATCATCGTGACCTCAGCCCACAGTGCATCCCGAGATTGGGAGGTGGCAAGACGCTTCTGGGTGCGGATGAACACCAGTGCATCACCCAGAGATGGGTCCTGGCGGACAATCCGTTGCACTAGGGAATCGGTTAGGGCAAGGGACGACTGATGCTGTGAAGCCATAGAGCTGGGGACGACGAGGCCCAGGCCACCAAAACGGCAGGGCAAAGCGAGCAGAGTGCGTTCCATGTTACTATCCGGACGACTCAACAGAGCCGGGATGAACTTACTAGTGACTAAGGAATCCAATTCTTCCAGAGCCACAGTCAGCTGAGGTGTTGTGCGGCAGAGGAAAGCCCATTTGCTCTTGAACCCGTGGACGAAGGCAGAGTAAGCTGCTTGAGGCTGGGTCAGAGCAATCTCGGATAGCTTCGTGAGCTGATCGCACCGGGAGCGTGCCGCTTCCTCAATGTACCGGGTGATGAATTCAGGGGAGCCAATGGCTGACCCCAGATATCGGACGCCATCAGATCGGATCTGAACGCCAGTCGACTGGAAAACTCGGCGTGCCTCATCCAGGAACTCTGGCTTGACGAGAAGGATAGACTTTGCTGGATTGGGGAGGTACCCAAAAGAGGGCCCTTTCTCGGCAAGGCTATCCCACCATTGGCGAAAAGGCCTCACCTTGCCACCAGCCGCAGAGTCGTCAGCATACCAGGCTTGGGACCCTCGGATGCAACTCCCTGCAAGAGAGGAAGGGTGGCAATAGCGTACAGCGGCATCGCTATTGGATCACCCTGGGTGGTACCTTCACTGGAGAGCATAGACTCACCACCTACATATAGGGTGGCTGAGTGGCGGTAACAATTGATGGCGATTGGGGCCAACGCTGGGCAGAGGTGCTGTACATTGCGGAGGCACACTTCCCTGTTGATGCTGTTGAAGGCATTGGTTGCATCCGCAAGGAGAACACACTCAGACTTGCTGCTGTTGAAGACTTGTCGCATGGCGTGAACTGCGGCTTCGATCCCGCATTCCTGCCCAGCACACAACTGAAGACTTCCTGCGGCCTTTTGGACGTCTCCGCCAATGACAGCAAGGATGGCCTTTCCAATTATGCAACTAAGGACCTCACCTATGCCAATGGGCCGCACACCAGGCTGTTTGTCCAGAGGGATGAGGCGACAGGCGACATAGGCGTTGAGACATGCTGGATCCACATAAGTTGTAGCGAGCCGCTGGGCACAAGCCATGATAGCGTCGCATAGGGTGTCAGAGGCATCTTTGAAGGAGGTGCACATGTGTCGCCAGCAATCAGCATCAACTCCTGAGGGGCCAGCAGCTCCACGGGTGTGTAAAGCCGCTTTGCGGACTGTCTCACGTGTTAGTGAAGCCCCATGCTGGTTGTACCCCCATGTCTGTTGTCCTTACGTACCGTATTTTTCCCAATAAATGTACAGTCTTTTTTATTTTTTCAAAGGTGGTCAGACCTGTACTACTATAGGAGACTGTACTAGTATTGGAGACGTGTACTTTTATTGTTTCTGGAAAGATTGACTGTCTGAGTTGGGTGGTAAACAACTAGTGATAATGATACTGTAAATCTGTAAATACATGCAACCATGGTAAGAATCAGTGTACAGAGGCACAAAGATGATAAACGGGTAAGAAAAACGAAGTAAGGTGGGCCATAGTACCTGTACCCCAGTAATGCCCATCACATCATTCCGCCATGTACTATTACTAGAGACGTGTCCTTTTATATTTTTGATCCACACTCAACATGTACTACAGTTGGAGACGTACTAGTATTGGAGACGTGTACGTTTAATGGGGAAAATACGGTATGCGTATCTGGCTTGTCTGTGTGCTGTGATCTGTGGATCTGGTTCTCGTGTTTTTTGGCGTGGCGGCGAGCAGGAGCTAGGTTTTGATCATTATGTCCCTGAGGTTGAGGATGTCTTGGAGGATTACAAAGTCCAGGCAACGGTAAGCATGATGTAATGATGATGTAATTATGATGTGATTATGATGTAAGGATGTGCAATGATGATGTATAAGGCGTGAAAGTGATGATGTCACAAAACGGCCAGGGAATAGTAAGTTCACACCAGATTTCTACTTTGGATCCACTAAGGTGTGACTTTGCTATTGCCTCAGTATGTGGGTGCATAGCAACCCATTCATGTCGTATGCAGTTGGCAGTTGTCACCCCACCCCCATTAGCCAAATCAGTCGATTTCACCGGCAATATCGCCTTGCTGTGAGTAAGACCACTTGAAATGTGCTTGGATCCATGTAAATCCAGTTTTTGAATGTTTAAATTTGTTGCTATGCTGTGACGTAGCACTGTCAAGCCCTATTACTTCTACAGTGTATTGTGCATGGTCACAGTGCTGACTGAAAGCTACTAGTAATGCTACAGTATAGTAGTAATGCTACAGTATAGTAGTAATGCTACTGTATAGTAGTAATGCTACAGTATAGTAGTAATGCTACAGTATAGTAGTAATGCTACAGTATAGTAGTAATGCTACAGTATTAGTAATGCTACAGTATAGTAGTAATGCTACAGTATAGTAGTAATGCTACAGTGTAGTAGTAATGCTACAGTATAGTAGTAATGCTACTGTATAGTAGTAATGCTACAGTATGGTAGTAATGCTACAGTATAGTAGTAATGCTACAGTATAGTAGTAATGCTACAGTATAGTAGTGTGTGCATGGTAGTAGTGTTTGTGTGCAATTATTTGACTGGACTGGATTACTTTTTGATTTGCTACAGAGTGCACTCAGTGCAGGCAGTATATTGTATTGTTGTATGAATTGGTAAAACATGACTTACCGTAAAAATCCGTAAATAAGTATGTATTTACTTTCGAATTTAGTGACCACACCCGTACTAACTTTCGGGCGGGTACTGACTTAAGGGCGCGAACCAACTTTCGGACCTGACTTGTGTGTAGTGGAGAAGTCATTTTCATGTCGATGTACATGCTACGTACTGCATGTGCGCACCGTACCGGTACTTATTTTGGGCAGTATGTTTATCGGGCTTGACTTGACTTCAACGGACAGAGCCAAAAGAATGAAGGGGGTATTTCTTTTGGGCAGGTACTTATTTACGGACTTTTACGGTGCTACTTCAGTAGTAGCAGACTAGGTCATGCAGCAGCTCTGCATGACATGCATGTTAGCTGGTGTGAGCTACTGTAATATAAGCACTTGGTGTTTATAGTCATCCGTGTCTCTGTGCTGTATAATGTTTTTGAGTGTCATGCGTTTTTTGGTGACCTGTCAACACTGCACTATGCAATGATGAATGATTGTGCAAGCTTGTGAAACAATTT